CAAACTAGGTATGTGCAAGATTATATCTCTTGATTTAAGTCCCTGTGTTTTCAAATTGATAATATTTTGAAGGCGGAAATAATGGATCGATTCCTATGATGTTTGAAACCTAAGGTCCAATGAAAGGTGGAGCAAAGAAATCCACAAACATTCAAAGATGTAATTTGGATTGCAAAAAGGGTCGATGCTATAGATTTCAAAAATTGTAGTATACAACCTATAATACAAAGTCCTATGCCACTGTCTAATACTATGGTACAATAACTAATGCCAATAGAGATTGATGCTCTAAAAAGATCATTCATACTACTAAGATAATAAATATTGATACAAAAGAGATTGTGTTTCTATTGTCAAAAGTCAGACCATCAGATCGAAGGTTGTACAAAACATCAAAATTCAAGCACCAAAAAAACAAGGTGGATTCACAATCTCCAGATTTATCAAGTTGATAATAAGACAAAGCAAGAAAATAAAGCTTTCTAGTAAAGACACTAAAGGCTAGTATTAGAGATAGCTACTATCTCTCACAGACAAATGACATGGCTTTGGACAACTATAAAAAGAATCGATTGGTACATTTAATGAGACTACTAAGAGGACAAGCATATCGAGTGCTTATAGATTGTGACTCTAAAAAAAATTGCATCTCAACTGAAATTGATGATCAAATTAGAATTAAAACTAATGCAATCAAAAGAAAAAGTATATACCTTGCAAATGATTGAGAGAATATATTGATAGGGATATGTGAAGAAGAAACCTTAAAGTTGATAGATACTTACATCTTAAGAAAAAAGTTCAAGGTGACAAAGCCAAGATATGATATTATCCTTGATATACCATAGTTAGAGATAAAAAATAAGCATGTTGATTGAGTAGGAAGGATAATCTCTATAAAAGATGGTAGATGCAAGGTGACTCTTCACACTTCCATATCAATTGAAGAAAAAAGAGAATTTGCAATCAAAGAATAACTCTTAGAGACGACTTTTATAAAGAAGAAAATATAGCATAATCAACTAATATATATATATATATATAGTGGTTTCAAATCTTTCATTAGTAGTAGAAAAGACAATTGAAGGAATAGAATGCGCAAATCAATCCATATGGGAATATCAAGATATCTTTCCAATCAACCTACCTAGTAGCATGCCCCCTGATTAAGGTGTCATCTTTCAAATAGAACTATTATTTAGAGCCAAATCAGTAAGTTGATCAATTTAATGCCTAGTACCAAAAAAACTTGAAAAGCTAGAGAAGATATTGGTATAACCATTTGTAGTAAATTGGATCTTTGGAGCAGCTATTAGCAGACATCTATTGTAGTAGAAGATGTAGAATGGAAGGAAGCTGTGTATCGAAATGCTTCTTTTGTAATGGTTAGTGATTGGATGAAGATAGGCAATATACAGTATCAAGATTACAATCTTAGTGATGGCTTGCTTTATTTCAAGAAGCATATTTATGTACTCAATAATACTATATTCCGAACATACATACTTCAAGAGGGACAACATCTCTATATCTAGATATCTAGTATAAAAAAAGATTCTAGAACAAATCTCAAGGACATTGTTTTGGACAAGTTTGGATTGTGATGTTTGAGTTTTTGTATACTCTTATGAATTATGTCAATACAATAAAGCATGTAATGTAGCATCGTTTGAACTATTGCAATCAATTTCGGTACTTACAGTATGTTGGGAGCATGTGACTATGGATCTAATTACGTATTTGCCGCAAACGCTTCATAATCATATTGCAATTGCCATCTTTGTGGATTGACTCTCGAAGCAACTTCAATTCACCATGGCACAGTCAAATATTGTTCCTTCAATGCTTATCTTCTTTGATACCATCTTTCGTATCTTCTTTGATATCATCTTTCATCACCATGTATATTCTTTGCTATTGTCTTTTGTCACCATTTATATTCTTTGTTAGTGTCTTTTGTCACTATAGATTATATCATGTCATTGTTTCAGATTGGAATTCATGCTTCACGAGAAGTTTTAAGCAAGTCTTATTTAAGCTACTAGGCATACGACTTGTCATGTTTACAGTCTTCTATTTTCAAACAGATGGACAAAAAGAACATATAAATGGGATCTTGAAAGATATGTTATGAGCATTTGTGGTGATTCATCATGATGATTGGGATGAATACTTCATGCTCTTAGAGTTTACTTACAAAGATAGTATTCAAGTAAGTACCAATCATTTACCATTTTTTCTTAACACCAGTTAGCATCTGATTACTCCGGCAACTCTCCATTGTCTCATCGATACCAATAATTCAACAATAGAGGAATTTATATAATGACTTATAATGGAGAATCAAGAACCAGCACATTCAACTCAAGAGCTTTCACTTGCTGACTTCCCAGATGAGATATTGCAATTGTTACAACCTTCAAGATAATATAATTAAGATGAAAATCTTCAAAAAAAAACATGTCTAGTCTTAAATAGATGGCAAAATTCAACATGTTTGGTATCACAACCTCAGAAGAGACTCTCATTATTTGGTGATTTTATTAGAGGTAGGAATAATTCCTAACGATGTTTCAAATGTTTTATTTAAAATGAAGTTATGTAGGCTTCAACAAAGACCAAATAATAGTAGGATCTTCTGACCCTGGTATGGAACATTATTAATGGTTGAGAGGACTTGTCAACCATTTTCAAAGAAAATAAAGATCAAAGTATGTGGCAAACACAATTTGCCTTATTTTAGATATCTTCAATATATGAAGATTGGTCTTTATAGAACTTGTTACTGAAAAAAGAGGTAATGTCATAGACATTATAATTGGATATAAATAAAATATTTATATAAGAATAGATAGTTAGAATCATGGAAGTTTCTAAAATTTAATTTGGATAATAGACTAAGTAGGATCTACAATGGAACATTCTAAAAAGAATTTAGGACGGTTGTTAAGGTGGGATCTACCATAAAATCTTCTACAAAAAGAGTTTAATGTAGTTATTTAAATAGGTCTACTACCTAAGAACATTTTAAGAAGCCTACGGTGGTAGAATAAGATATAAATATGATTGGTCATGGCCTTTGGAGGCATCTAGTCAAGTATGGCTTTGGACCCTTTTTCTTAGTGAAATTTTGCTTTGCATCTTTTTATTTTGTTTTATTTTGTTCTGTTTTTACTTTCTTAGTTTTGTCTTTTATGCCCTATTTTGTTAAAATTTGTTACGTTTTGTTTAGGTCTAATTTGTCTTGTCTTGTGATGAGTTTTTATGTTACTATGGATTAGAAAGATCTTAGACACTTGAAATAGACCGGTCCTATTTCATTTGTAGATTTTTTTTTTTTTTTTTTTTTTTTAAATCTTTGCAGAGTTGGAAAAGAAAGAAAAATCTACATATAATCAAAATCTCCTCAAATTGAACAATAATTTTCAACATCAGTGATAATGGTGTATATGTATATAGACAAATACACATGCATATATCAACTATATTCATGTCTGTCCGTCAATCCTTGTTTGAATCATATTATTTCACCATAATAAATTGATGCTCTTCTCAAATTGCATCCTCTCACAACAGTTTTGAAAGGCACTTCATGTTGCAGCAGGTTTATGTCCTGAACTTAAATGCTTCATCCATTTTCAGTTTTTTTTTTATGATTATATATATATATATATATATATACATAAATACTTTATTAGCATGTTTAATTTGTATTGATGAAATCGAATTGAAACCATTGCACTTGACCTGCTGGGGTTTGAAAATAATTCAAAACAATAACATTAGTAATTTTTCTAAATGTGTTGATTAATATAATAAACATAATAAAATGTAATATTCAGGAATATAAATCAACTAATATCAAATTAATATAAATTTCAGATCCATTCTTCAAAACTTGGGTGTTTCAGAGTAAGTTTTTTACATTTATTTTTACTTCAGAATATCATACCACAAGGTTACTATTTGTTTGAAACAATGCCAACTGCAAAATGTTACATCTAGTGGATTCAAAAGTTTTGAAATATATATATATATATATATATAGATATAAAGAGAGAGAAAGGTATTGCTAATTCCATTTCAAATTTTGTTATTGCCACAACTCCCTATTCATCACGTGCCACCTTTGTTCAATACCTTTCAAACCATTTAATTGAACAGACTTTTTGATTAGACTAATAAAAATTAAAAATATATGTTCATTGTTGTGGCAATGGCGAAAATTGTGGTGGCATTAGCACCTTTATTAACTTATATTGACTGCACCGTTGAAGATTAAGTTTAAAAATCAAAGTACAATAAATTCAGACACTTCAGTTTCATTGTTTGGTTTAATTCATGAAAAACATACATCCCCACTGTATCATATATGATTTACCATACACACATTGGTTTATTAGTTCAGATGCTCGCACAGATTTGTAAAGAAAATCAAAAACAAAACAAAACAAAATTCGTAGGTATGTATGTGTGCAATCGCGTATTACTTTAATACACAATGTTACACAAAGTGTAATCTTGGTTATCTGTTCAATACAATTGTTTTTAGTCCGATTAAATCATCTTTATGCTGTCTTCATTTCTGTAGCAGAGCCACGTTTGCTGCCCTCACCCCCATTGAAAACAGCACAGATGCGCCCACATCACCGGATGCAACAAAAGTTGATCCCTAAAATGGAGGTCGACGTGGTTGGATTTGTGCGCCACATCGTCGAGCAAAATCTAGTCCTAGTCCTTGGGGGCGTTGCTGGTCGAATGTGTCACATATACATAACAATACAGCATCCCTTCAACGTTGTTGCTTTGGTATTAGAACTCTTCTCAGCTGGCAATCCTTCCCAAAGTGACCAGTATCCAATTGGACATAGGGTTGCTGATTACAGGATAAATGGTTCATCTCTCAAAAAGAAGAAAGGAATGTATCCTCCCCTCGAATCCCGTGATTCAGGAGCAATAATTTACAAATATCTAATTACATCAACTTCCCACGGTGCTGATTAGTTCAGACAAGTACTTCGTTAAAATAATGAAACGTACTTTCATGAAGTGAAGAACATGTACAAGAGTACTTCGTTCAGCAACATCCATTTGTTAGTCAATGATGCCAGGAGGACCCCAGGAAAAAAGCACACGTAAAACTCAAAGCTCTTCGTCCTCAAGACTTTACCAGTACTACGAGATCCAGGGCCAAAATGCACCTCAATTTTCCACATTACCATCATCAGCCAAAAAAGAACTAAGCCTCGTGTAACAATCTACAAGAGTAATCTTGTATCAATCACTGAGGAGAGGTATCGACAGTGCCAAATCCACCACCATACGCACACGCACCAGCTCATAGAAGATGATTATTGACCGGACCTGTGAGAAGAGACGCCACAGTGAAATACACTTGTCTCATCGACAAGTAGCCGTGGTTTACGTGGGCGGTTGAAGCTACTTCCGTAGCTACCCACGTATTCTTCGTGTTTTCAGTGAAGACATTAATCAGGAAAACCTCGTTTTGCAACTAGCGCCTCGAATCTCTGACAAGAAACGGACCGAAGCTCCGTGGTAGTTTCTTGCTCTGGTGCTGGGTAGTAGTCTCCTCGCAGCTGCACATCCCGGAGACATCGACATCCAGTAATCATGTTAAGGAAGTGTTCATGAGCGGTTCCATGCACAAACAGCTTCCGAAGCTTTGAGCAAAGTGACAAGAGCCCTGCTCCAGGTAGGGATATTGCTCTCCTGTTGACTTCCTTGTCTGATGGAGGCCAGTAGTCGAGTTCTGTGAGGAGCAACTCGTTTATGCCGACTAGATAGTGTCTTTCCCACGAGCTGAGGTCCGTGAAGCCCTTGGGAGCACTCAAAGAGAACCCGGTAACTTCACTAAGATCTAACTCAACTTTCTCCAGTTTTGGGTATCGGCCGAAAGAATTGATCCCCCAGCCTTGTGTGCTAGGTTTCCGCAAAAGCCGACCATCACCTTCAACTTTGAGTTTCAGTTCATGGAGGGCTGGGCATTCCTCAAGACCCATAGCAGCCAAGGGAGAGATTACCTCTCCCACAGGAATCCAAAGTGAGAGACTTTCAAGAGATTTCCACACTTTTCCTGATGAAGTCTGTATCTTCTTTGCACCAGGCACAGACAACTGTTGAGTTCCGCCTGGACCCATCGATCTAGCTGGAAAACCCTGGGCAGAGTTTAAATTACCACTTCCAAGGCCTGTGCCAGGTCTTTCTTTTAATAAAAAAGACGCGGATGATGATGCCTCACCTCCAAAAATCTGCAAGCTCATTGATGAATAGGCAGTCGCGCGGCGGATATCCATTCCTGAGTCTCCTCCATTCTCTGCTTTGTTTAGCTTGCGACGCTTTGTAACTAGTCTGTGCGGGGTCAGGAAACTATCAGTCTTGGCTCCAATCATTTCGTTCATAGCGTAAGCTTCGAGGGTTGAAGAGAAGCGTTGCGACCAAGCGCTCATCCCTCCCATACAGCCGATATCGATCGGAAGTCCAAAACCTGATTGCTCATGATTCAAAGAGTCCACTGTGCTTTGGGTCCTTGCTGCAGATGCCTCTTGAGCCAAAATGCCTTCATCCCAGACACAGTCTAGATGCAGATTCTTCACTGTTACCTGGATTGGCTCGAGTGCTTTCAATGTCATTGCTGTCGGAAGCAACTTACAACCAGCAATCTCAACATCCTTGAGAGTGTGCGACAAATTCTTCACACACGCATGAAGCCCCTCCTTGGTGATTGACTTGCACTGTCGCAATCCCAGCTTTGAAAGCTTAGGGCATCCAACTGAAATGGCCTTCAATGCGTCATCCGTCAGATCTCCGCAGTTCTTCAACCTCAGCTCCTGAAGCGCATGACACAGCGCAATCCCATCTGGATGGGGTCCACCACAAACACCAAGAAAATTGCTGAGTTTCAAAGAACGAAGCTTCTTGCAACTCGAAGCAAGGATCTCAAAGGGAGCGCCCGAGTCTCGCAAGTTCTGTGATAGGTAAAAAACCAAGTCTTCTAAGTGCGGAAGTGCCTTGAACATTGCCTCTAGACCCTGACGAGAGAGACTTGAATCTTCCGCTGCAAACGCATCTTGGTTGGGATCATCTGAAACTGCACTCCATTCATTATAATCGACAAGGTGAAGCACTTTCAAGAGTGGGCAATTCGTGGCAATGGAAAGCAGGGCCTCATCACCAACAGAGTCTAGTAAGCGGTGGTCGAAATCACATAGGATGTAAAATTCCTCAAGATTAAAGCAGGAGCTGGTGATTGCTCCAACCTCCTGCGCTTTAAATCCATTAGGAGAAAGTTTCAGCAGGTTCAGTACTCGTAAATTCGCAGCAGTGGAAGCTCCTGCCCGTAACGCTGGGGGTATGTCTTCTGTCCAACAGTAGAACTTCGAGAGATCGAGGGACTTCAACCTCTTGCAAGCGCTCAACAGCCCTTCGATTTCGTTACCTAAGTCATCCGCCTCCGAACTCTCCATGGCTCGCGGATGCCACCGCACCAACTTAACAATCTCGAGATCTGGCCAAATCCAGGCAACCATCTGGATGTCCAAGGCATCGCGGACATATACCGTAAGGTTTACCACATTAGGAAACCCAATTCTCAAGCAATTTCCGATCTCCTCGCCGTTCTGAGTGGACTGAAAAAGAGAAGAACCCCACGGAGAGCACTGTGAAAGATCTAAGGTACAAATCTGTTGGAAGCAAGTTGGCAGTTCATGCATGACACAAATGTTGCCACGCAAGGAAAGCTCCGTCCGTGTCTGTCTCTCAATGAAATACCAGTCCCTGCAAGCAAGTGAAATGCAGTTCCGAACCCTTGGATTTGATACATAAGCGATGATGTTAGTGAGTATAACACTTGGCAAGTCGCTGATATGCGTCCCAGCAGGAGCCGCCTCTGGGGAAGATTGCATTGACTGACGATCAGATTCTGAATGCACGAACAGAGATGGCCACTGCACTGCTTCCATGTCTTGCCTCTGCTACACCACCCGAGACAGATGCTCATGACTCGAGACTAGGCATAATGTCGAAGAAGGCCCCTCCAACCAACAAAATGTGTAACCTAAAGAAGCAGTACTCCTCAGGTACAATGAGGACGCAGCAAGATGTCTTTGATTGCTTCAAAAAATATGTATGTGCGTGTATATGTATATATATACAAAACTGGAGGTGACCTCATGAGCCAGAAACTGAAGCAGATACGATGAAAACTCTGCGCTCCCTTTCACTGTAAGCAATCTAATCTAAATCTCAGCTCCCGAACATGAGGAAGAGAAGACGTTCGCACGCTCCGACACAATCCATGTACACATGGCACGTAACATGATAGAAAGACACAACTCCAGCTCAATAAGCGGTCACCACATTACAGACAGCTGTACAAGGGGCAGCAGAAGTATGTGCTTCAGATGTCCAAAAGTTGGTGGTCTCGCATCTCTCAAACAACCATGTCAGACTTGACAAAACCTAATCCCACAAGACTAGCTTGGGGGTCGACGACATCTATATCTAGGTGGGCCACTTGATAAGAGTCAGATGCTTAGATGAATAACTTTAGAACAACGTGTTGGCGAACAAGGCAACGGCCATGATCGTGCAACAGCAATCGGAAACCCGAAGTCCGGGGACTTCGCGTTACACGATGAAGCAACACGCGAGGTTCCCAATTCAAAAAACATTGACCTAATTGGGCCAAGAACTAGTTATTCTAAGACAGACTAGATAATTCGTGAATAAACGAATTAGCGGGAACTTCGTGTGAATATTTGAAAACATTGAGACCCATGTCTCCGAGCAGATCATATAGAGCTAGTCTCGGGAAAAGAAAAAAAAGGAAAAATAAAATAAAAAAATAAAAAACGAAAATGGAAAGTAAAAAAATATTCCTTACAAACAAAATCTCCAGGGCATAAAGAATGTCTCGCAAAACACGCCGCCGTGGAGTCGAAGCAAAATCACACCACTAAAGAAAGGCAAAATCACAACGTTAGAGAAAGCAAAACATTCGCGCGGAAGGCAGAAATGCAACCCACCAAAGATCAGTAGGCTGTAATCACATGCAGCAACTCACAAGGCCACGTTATGAACAGTACCCGAGCAGACTAAAAACCATCAAAAGCTACAAACCGAAGCTCCCCACAGTCGGGGGGGGGGGGGGGGACCACAAACAAACAAACAAACACACACACACACACGGAAAACGGAGCAAACCACCAGCTCACAATCGGAACCACCCGAAGCGTACTGCCCTTCCGAACTCAAGAATCCAAGAGACCCTCAAGAAGCCAAAACCTACGAGCCCCAACAGACTCAGCCCCGCTGCACATCCAACGCAACCAAGGAAAACACGACGATCAAGGGACGATGCAGCGCAGGCGACCTAGGTGCCACCCACCCAACAACAGAAGAAGAAGAAGAAGAAGAAGAAGAAGAGAACCATGCATGCATGCATGAGTGGGCCGGGCCAGAAAGAGGCACAAAATCACACATGCGAAGAAGCAGTGGGTACCCACATCACACAACAGAGGAGAAGGGATGTGAAGGGAGGGGCAGCAGCAGGAGCAGCACGGGTAGGGATGGGGGAGAGGGAGTCGAGCAGAGCAGAGCAGCGAGGGAAGAGAAGATGACGATGATGCAAAGATGGAAGGGAAGCAAGGAATACAATCTCTCTATCTCTCTCTCTCCGGGGTGAGCTGAACGAGGCGAAGGAAGGACGAGAAGGAGAAGGAGAAGGGAATGGGGAAAGGGCATGGGACTCTGTTTGTCTGACACACCTCTCTCTCCCCCACTCCCTTCTCTTCCCTTCCCACTTGCGCACATCCGGCATGGGAATCTATCCAAGTTATTGTAAAATAGGCATCTAAACAGCAGGTTCGGGAGGAGTAAGGAGTGAAGGGTGGGAGTCTTCTTCTCGGTAACCGAAAGCCTCATCCTACCCTTCTCTCTCTCTCACTCACTCACTCACAATGGTATTTCGTCTCTTGCTATTTTGCCATTAACATTGTTATTCACAAGCGCAATTCGTTGTTATTCTTCTTAATGTTGTTTGTATATCATTGTTTGTGAATTTAGTTTAAATGAGGATTCAAATGTATCTGGGAGAACATCTTGAAGAGAATCAATTTGAGTTGCATAGAAACAAATAACTATATTCATGGTAAAATATTATTCTGGAAGATTAATTTATCCAGTATGAAAATGAACGGATCTGTCACACAAAAACCGCATAATAATATTTTATATATTTTATATATTTTACTTATTTTTATATTTATTTATTTATTGTCTTTGTAAAACGTTCATTTTTACTCATGATTTTAGATAGAAAAACAACAAAAGATTTCTTAATGTATAAATAAAAATGTCATATCTAAGTATCGGGTATAATTTTACCGTGGTGTATGATTTTTAATCTTATAAATTTTGTAGTTTTGAGTAAACATTTCTAATGAAGGAAAATACGCTTCAGAAAATACTATATTATTTAGAGTGTAAGTTTTTTGGTCTATAAAAACTCTGTAAATAAAATGGCTAAAACTTGTTTCTGCTAGATACAACATTTCGGAAGATATCACTGCATGAAATTAAAAAAACAACAGTAAAAAAGAGATAAGTAAATAATTACTTTGATTTGCAAGAGAAGAATGAATACGTTTATCATAAACAGCAGAACACAATTGAAAAATATATTCCAAAAAAAAAAAAAAAAAAAAAAAAAAAACGATTAAAACTTCATGAAAGAGGAGTTACCTGAATAGTTTAGAAGTTTTACACTGTCACGTTTTCAGTTAGATTTTCGCAATACATAAAATCATGATCTTTGGAAGGGATTGATAAATAATGGCGATAATGTAAAATTATATTCAGGGTTCATCCAAAGTGGAGAGGAGTGAGCACGTGTTAAACTTTGTCCCTTGGTAAATTTCGATGTAATTTTGCAAATAGTGAAGTGGATAGAATTACATTTCTCTTTTTGTATTAAATCATGTAAAAATGTTCAATTGGGGTACAGTAAAAGGAGACAAAATAAAGGAAGGGGCGGGGGTGCGGGGACCAGACAAGTCACTTCAGTACTTGTCACAACCCTTTACAACCATATTTTGATTTTCCAGGGTCTTCAAGACGGAAGCTTAATGTTCCCTCAATCAAGCCTGGTTGCTGCTTGAGTTGTAAGAACCTACAAAAGACTACAATAACCTTTTAATCGATTCACTGCAAGGTTCTCGCTAGAAGATGCGTTGGCACTTCCGTAGTCACCTGCATATGATAACAAGAAAAATTACTTCGCTTCAAAGAGATTATGGTACGAAGCTAAACAGCTGCTTAATCCTCATCGCTGTGGAAAACTACCAAATCAAATTATACATGGACCGATTGGTTAACACAAGACAATATTACGCAGGGTAGGGAAATACTTACAGAAACCCATGAAATGTTACTTGGGATATGATACATGATCAAGCCCGCCCAGCACAATGTTCGACATGCCTTAAATTTGCAGTCTTGTATTAAGTTTATCCACTACACCTCCGTTTTTCTTTGTACAAATGACGGAGTACCTTGAAGGAAAATTCAGTTTCTGATTCGCTTCTTGGCATCTTGTTCGGATGGTCGGAGAGGTTCCTTGGCAAGGTTGCCAGGCTTTCTCCCACCTCTGGAGGGCCGTCCAACGGCTAGAGAACTGATGTCATGAGAATTGAGTACCCCACGAGCAGTTGTTGCAGCTCTTGACTTTGGTACAGGCTTTGTCTCGTCTTTCTGAGTTCCTCTAACCTGTTTCCCTCGAACCTTGTCTTTTTCTGGTTCTCTAATTCTAGCGGTTTCTGAATTAGCCTTTAGTTTCCCTTCCGCTGTTCCCTTCAAAGGTACTGTTGGCCTGTTTGGAGTTGGTTCCTCTTCTTTCACCTCGCTCAACTTTGGCCTACCCAGACCCTTATTGGCTGCAGTTTTCAAAAGAATGCCCTCCAGTAACTCCTCTCGGGGTGCTTTGCCCCTGCTGTTAGAGCCACTTCCTTTCTGTGACTTCTGCCTGTCTTCCAACCCGCCATTAACCTCCTGATCGTTCTCTTGAAATGTCTCTGCATCGTCAGCACGACTTGAACTTCGACCACCTGCAACGTGAACACTTCCGCTCCGTGCTGCTCCACCCTCTGATTGAGAGTTGGTGGGTGTTTCAACCAATCTCAATCGAGAACTTGTTCTTTTCCTACTGCCACTACCAGGCAGACTTGTGAGTGGTGAACTGGAACTAGCAAATTTAGCTGCAGAACCTCCATCATTTGATGGTGCCACAACCTTTGCAGGCGCTACTCGTTTCTTAACCTCCCTTGTCCGAATGGCAGTTGTATCCTGCTTCATTAGAGCTTCTGCTTGAAAGATTCTGTGCATCTCTTTTGTTGCTTCAGCCAAGAGCACTTTTGCGGCTTGAAACTCAATCGATGTCCGAGGGTAAAATACCATCGCATTGTTGAATATCAGTAGTAGGTCACGAAAAAACTCACTACTGACTGAATATGCACCTTCCTTCAACCGTGCACGTACAATTGTCAGATCCAAATGTCTTCGAATCAACGAACTATACCTAGAATCCTGCACATACGTACGACACTGGGACTTGAGAACAGAACACGAAGCCCCTTGTTAAAAACTCCTAACAAGAGCGACAAATACACAAAATGAATATTCTTAGGATCCTTTTCTAAAATGGGGAATTTCTAGCCTCCAAGAATTCATCGTTGAATCCATGGTTGAATCTTCGCCATTGAGAGAGACTTGGCAAGGAAGCGAATTCCATGAATTTAGTGCATAGGTTCAAAACTAAATTTATGAAAGTTTGAAACCATCTGATGAATCGTGCTGCGATATTGGTGCTCTAAAACAAGGAACACTGAACCATATTGTTTGAGTAACTCTCTGACCTCTTGCCTCCCTTTGAAATGTACAGCTGACTTGTGATTGAAGAATTTGCGAAGAACATCAAGAAGGGGCAAAAGCTTTTCAGAAACACGAGGTTCCTTCCGAGAACGTCTGCTGGATGGAGACATTTGATCATCTCCATTTACAGGAGATGCAGCCTCACTTTTCTCCACATCGCTATCCACACATTCCCGAATTCCACGAGTTCGTTCTCTCTTACGACCACCACCTCCGTCCTTGTCTTGGTCTTGAACACTGCCGCTTCCTTCACGACTGGAAGGAACCTTTGTGTCTAAACCGCCTGCAAGGGATTCCACTGGGCTGTTGGGTTCAGCATCTGAATCCACCCCTGAGAGTTCCTCCTTTGTGTATTCCAACCCCATGTCTACAATTATCTTGGGCACTTTGGGAGTGCTTTCAAGAGAGGGGTCGTAAGGGTCTGTAGCATCTTGGCCGATGTTGACAGTAAGCTCTAGATCAGGTTTCGCGATCGCTAAGTTTTCAGGTTCAGAGATTGAAGGCATAGGGCACTTATCCACCTCCATAGAGCTGTCACTGGATTGATGACCTACAACTTCAGCTACATGAGATACAGATTGTGCTTGTTCAAGCATTAGACCCGAAGGGATTTGCAAATCCGTGTTGCCAGTAACATCACGTCTCTCGCTGGATTGCACATGCATTTCCGCACTGGTATTCATAAGAATGTCCTGATCCGCAACTGACGCAACGTCCTTTGAGGCTTCTATATCATCACTTGCTGCAGATTCTAAAGAGGATTGTACCAAGACTCGCTTGAGATGGCTTTCTGAGTTGCTTAGCTGCATGTCATTACCAGTTGCAGTTCCTTCCGTCATCTCAGTATCAATGTCCAGTTTAAGACCAGGGGCCTGACTACCCGCAGGTTTACCTTTGGGAGTCTCCGATAACACAGATGTGCTCGTTGCCACGTCAGAAGTGTGAACCATTTCTATACCCAATAATGTAGATTCAGAAGCATTTTCCTGTCCTATTTCGTGATTTCTCTCCAGCGAGCCCGTTGCGTTCGCAGGTGACTCATGGGCCCCCTCCCCTTCCATCAGCTCACGGCTGCCGATATCACTACTGTGTCGCGCAGAGGTATTGTGCTGCTCTTCCACGCCAGAGGCTTCTAAAACATCGACTACATCTGATCTAATTTGTACAATCGTTGGACACGTCTCTTCAACTCCAGCGCTACGAGGAATACCAGAGGCACTTTTGGGGCTAGAAACTGTCTCATCTGGACCATCCAGGGCAATAACTATTTGTCCTTCGACAATCGGACTTTCTTTACCCTCCTCAGCTACAGACAAGAGTCCAGAATTTTCACGAGTAGATCCCTTTGAGTTCTGTTTCACGAAGATGGTAATTGCACCACCTTTACTACTTTCAGACTTTACAGTAGATACAATTGGAACCACTGAGGAAACATCTAATTTTTCTGACTCCTTCGGCGAAGTAACGCTATACATCAATTTACTGTCAGAAGACTGACCAAGGTCTCTATTCTCAGCACCCAAGGTTTCAGACTTCTTCACTGCGTGCGGAGTGGAACTAACTTCCACGGAATCACACACTTCAGGATAGAGGTGCTTCTGCTGGCAAGGGACAAGCTCAACGAGTGTAGTTGAAGCCCCACCCTTGTTCAGTCCCTCTGGAACCGTAGCAACGATTAAGGTTGAATCGATAGCTTCGTCAACTGACTGTACAGCAGGAGGAGTAACATTATCAGAACGCTCCAGTCGTGCTCTACGCTTAGCATAGGCAAAACTTACTGGCTTGTCGACGCCTATTCCTAGAATTGGGGTGTGATCCTTCTCGGCAATTAGGGTTTGGTCCCCTTCCAGTACATCAGAGTCTTGCTCTTTGTTTAACTGGAAGTCGTGGTCTCCACCTTCAACAGGCATCCCTTGCCGATCTCCAGAATTTTCAATCTTTCCTGAAGGTTCAGCCTGCTGACTGGACAGGTCGGTGAACAAATCCACAGAGTCTCTTCTTACGTGGGTTACCCCTTCGTCACATTCCAAACTATTGTTTTTGTTGGTTTCCGTGCGCAGTACTGAATCGTCATTTGTCACTAAGACTTCATCTAATCGGCTGTGACCAGAATCAGCTTGAAACGTATCAACTCCACCATCCACCACAACTATTTCCACTGGTTTTTCTTGATAGCCTACCTGCTCAACCAGGTTACTTGCGTTGATTACGTCAATATCTTGACCATGTAACTCAACATCCGCTACTTCACAAGTGATCGAGACATCCGTCGACAAGTCCATCGATTGATCTCCACAAGGACGATTAACAAATTCTGGGAGATCACACTCCGTAGAGGTTTTTACCTTGTCTGCTATCACTTCCTGCAAAACATTTGCTGCTGCAGTCCCTGATACAGCAGGGATTTCGCCATGTTCAGTTTCAGATGGAGAATGGACAGCGTCAAACATCCTATCGTCTTCTTCATCAATGCTACCTTGTTCAATGCTATTTAGAGGAGAAGTATTTGTTACACGAGTACTAGCCGCCACATCCACGCATGCCGGAGAGCTATCTGGGAGATCTTGGGTAGCATTTGGTCGTCGCTCATCCTCCCCAGAGAGCTGATGATGCAAACTGGAAGCTGTTTGAGATGTACGTTTCTGTGAAACTCTTTCTGATTCCCGAACGACAGGATTGCTATGTAACTGTTTGCGTTCAACTTCGGAGCTTCCGTCATCCAATGTCTGAAGTCCCGTTTCACAAGTTAAACCTCCATATACATAATTAATGACTTGAGAACTCGGGAGACTTTTTCTAAGCTGCTTGCTTACAGATGTATCGCGTGCCTTTTCAGCCTTTAATCTCTTTATCTTAACCTGAAGTGTCCTGCATGTCAATCATAGTGGGAAAACTTTGATCAACCAAAGTGGGAGAATTTGTAAATATTTACCTGATCACCAACGAAAAGTACACGTTTTTCAACTAGAAATTAACGTGGCCTGCCACACTGACATACCCTTTCCTCACAACTAACTAAACAAACAAATCATTTTCAGCCCTAAACAAAATCACTGCATACATTAAATCGAGAAAAATTGTGCGGAGATGACATACCCGATCGACCCATCATACTGTTCAAGCTCCCGTTTCAAGTGGGCAACTCTCAACTTGCGCAACTCTTCAAACCAATACATGTCGTTTTCAAGGTCTCCTTTCCTGTTGTAAAGAAACGCGTAAGAAATTACTGCCCAAAAAATTTTGCAAACAAATTTGTCGCAACTTAGGATCAAAAATATTAACTTTGGCGACTAGACTGCGCAGACTTCAAGAATAAATTCCGTGAGCAATGCTAATCAGGAGCTGTAGTGGATACAAGTAGTGGGGATAAGACAGCATACCGACTCATGCTGGAACTGCTGGAACATGCATACCGTCCTCTCAGAATCGCATACTTCTGTTTACAAGCCTATCAAACAGCAATTAGAAACACAAATATAACTAAATAAATAAGTAAAAGGAAGGCAAACCATTCCATTGGACAAAAAACATTCGCAGACAGACCACAAATAATCGCAGTAAAATATAGAATGAACAACGTAAACCACGTTATCATCTTAAAAAAAAATGGAGGGAGCCAATGTGAGCAAGATAAACCGAAAGGATGGTCACATGCGGGACGGTAGGCATTCACAGAAGCTCGGTACAGCTGATGTCAACTTGCCATTTTATGTGTTCAGAGCACAAAAATGGGGCACCACTGGGAGGATGACTAAAAGGTGACGGATAAACATTAAACTAGGGTCTAATTAAAAACGAACCAACAGTCACCCCACGCTACACATCATCGTCTCTCAATATTCAAGATCTCTTCTGGGTACCGATCAATGAGCTAAATTAGTAATTCGTCCTACAGTGCACCCTCGAGACGTAATGGAAAAAACTCAAGCAACTTACTGCTTCAGAGAAGTACAGCGGGCTGACATTAAGGGATATAGCACGGGCCTTCAGCTCTTCGGAGATTAAGTTCCAGTTGTTGACACCATGGCGTTTAATAGCACTAACAAGCAGCAATTCTTCACAAGTTCCCCAGCCAGCCCCAGCACCAGTCCCAGAAGTTTCTGGCTGCTCTTGGGGCGTGGCAGCAACATCATGCCCCTCCATTATTAATCTATTGAAGATTCCTACTTCATGTCCTGCATCTGAATCACGCATGAACCATTCCTTTTATCAATATTAAATCCATGTTTGAAACGTAAACGATCGCTTCTTCTCTATGCTTGTACAAATCCAACAACAACTGCATGTCCTGTGAAACCCTGAGCAGTCATCTTAGCTCCAAAAATCAGAAATTTGATCCCAAGTATCACTGAAACATAGGAGAGCATCAGCACACTCCCTCCATGAAGTTTCTGGACGCAGCTAGACTTCACATCGTTCAATCTTCCACAAGGCCTTCATTAATAAATCATCCGAACGTTCTACATTAAACCAAGAGTACTTGCCTAACAAGCGGTTGTGTGGCTCGTTCGTCAACACCTCAGAAACCTAAACCATAATCCAGAACCTAGTACCAGATATCTGGGAAATGGTTGAGGTTTAGGGCTTCAACACACCATTGGATACAAAGTGTCAAGTACAACTGCTGCTCAGAAAGTCTAAGAAGCGCATTTACGGGAAAGAAATGGGGCTCTCACTTCAGTAACTAATGGAATCCTTGTTCCTCTTGAAGGAATTTACTCCAGTACCCCTTTTTGAAGCCGGTGTGAAGTGCGTCCAAGTACGAGGCCTCTACGTGCAGACACAAGCAGTATGTACAAACATGATAATAAATAAATAAATAAATAAACTGTACACACACCTTCTGTTTGCACACAACACCACCACCAAAACCAATCAGGTTACTTGCTATATTTTCCACCTCTCGTATCAGACAAATTGCAGGTAATGTATCTCTAGCATTCCATTGAGTGCAACAGCACTTGATTATACTGTATCGCCGACTGATACAAGCTCCCCCTTAGGGCAAAAAGCTTACTAGAACAACATTCTATACTTGCCAGGTACCTACAAGCATGAAAATTTCCACTGAACAGCTACGTGCAGCATTACCAGCCTTGCACATTTTAGACGGAACCACGCTCGGAATCTCGACCACATCTCCAAGTCGGTCGACGAAACACTGCCTCGGCTTCCATAACCTGAACCTCAGTTTCTGTGATTGCTGGCCAGCAACGAAGACATATATACATATATGTGGGCACACCCGTAGACAGGGGAGACTTGAGTGGATCTAGACGGGTTTGAAAATATCCCAATAATAGCATCCAGGCACTGATTTGCCCCATGAGTTTGAAAACCAAATCTTACTACCGACAGGATCCCACACCCAACCCCCCACCCCCTCCCCTCCCCCGACCCTGTTCTCCTTCTCATATTCCTTATACCCGGGACGATGCCCACACTCACCATACATGACATCAAACCAACGCATCACATGACACCAGTACATTTCGACCTAATCCCGCAACCACGACGAGTGAGGGATTCCAGAACCAGGGTCCCGCCCCAGGCAGAGAGAGAGAGAGAGAGAGAGAGAGAGAGAGATCACATACTTACAAGATGGGATCCGCGTAGGGCTAGAAGAAGCTCTCAGCGTCGGGGCGCAGTGGAGGAGAGGAGTTGGAGGATCGAGCACAGAGCCAAGAGGAAACCCACCAGCAGCACTAGCAGGAGCAGGGATAGGTTGGCAAAGCAAGCAAACAAACAAGCAAGCAACGAAGCAACGAAGGAGAGCCCCCTTCCCCGCACGAGACGACAAGCGCATCCGCGAGGGAGATGGCGCGCGATACCAGGAGGCACGAAGTAAGAGAAAGTGATCCGAGTGAGAGGGGGGGGGGGGTGGGGTTGGAGGAGATCCTGTACAAGCGTGACGAAGGAGGAGCAATCGTCACTGCGTCAGGCAATGCAAGCAAGCAAGAGAGGAAGCAAGCGACAGCACATGGCAATCAATGAATCCGCAGCAGGGAAGGGATGTGATTTGCTTGTTTTTTTGTTTGCTTTGTTTGCTTGCACGCACTCCCACGCTAACTCGCTTGTTTGCTTGCTTAACCCTAAAAATAACCCCCCTCCTCCTCCTGGGCCAGTGACGAAGAAGCTTCTGAGAGGCGTCCCACAAGGGGGGCATACATAAGGAAAGGTTGTGTTTTGAGGAATGTTTGTTTACTACGCACTTGTTGAATGAATGAAGGAAGGAATGGTAGTGTTGTTATTAGGACAATGTAGTGGTTTGTTTACCAAGATGTTTGCTTTTTTGGGTGATGTTTTAAGGTGTTTATTGTGTTTCTGTGGTTGTGGCTTGGATTGGGATCGTTCTTGATTGGTGGTTGAATTTGTTGTCGTTCATGTGTGAATGTGTGTGTGCACATGGTTTGATTTTCAGTGTCTAGTGACCAAGGTTTGATTTTGCTGAGTATGTATGTGCATTTGTTTTGATTTGGTGTTAAGTAGTTAATGCTCGTACTTTTGAGAGTGTATGTACAATTGTGTGAACTAGTACTTGTTTGCACAAGTTTTGCTGGCTAATTTTGTATTTTCTATTTTTATATCTAATGGTAGAATTTTTTTAAAAATGCAACATACATAATACATAATAGAATTAAATATATTTATATATTTTACAATACAACAAAATATTTAATTTAAGTATTAATAATAATAGTAATAATAGTACTTTTTAGTGGTTTTCAATTCCTTGTTTATTTGTATTTTTACAATAACATTTGACTTATTTTTATTTTGAAATTAAAAAAAATTTGATGATTTATGTCATATCATGTAGATATTGAAATTTGTCTTGGAAGTAACTCAAATAAAAGGAGCTATCATAAAAATATTTTGCAACTTATATACTTGTGAAATAAAATATTTTAAATACTTCTCAAGCCATATATTCTAAAAACTAAATTGTGTGATATATTCAATTCTAGTAATACACAAGTCTTTTATCAAAAATCAAAAGGATTTTGAATATATAATCATTTTATAATTGAGATGCTCCATAAGATGTATGTATGTATGTATGTAGCGAGAGAGATCTGGAAATGGATACAAAGTCAAAAAGATGAATTTGGGTTGCTTTAAATAAAATTTCAAATTTAATTTACAACCTGCAAAATTTTAGCATGTAAACATGTTTGAATTACTACTATTAATGCATTTTGTAAAACAAAGTTAAATAGCATACTTCATATGACTTTAATGATTTAAAAAAAAAAAAAAAAAAAAAAAAAGCGTGAATTTACTGACATAAGTGTTTACTGTTGTGCTTTAGAATTTTACTTAAATACTTACAATAAGTCATGAATGTCAAGTTTGAAAATTGTACTTTGTTAAGTACTTTACAATTAATTCTAATAATTTTTAAAAATAAGAAAATTATTGTAGATACTTGTGAATTTTATTGTTAGATGGGGAACAGCATATATCAAGGTTAAATTCCAATAATGTAGTATAATGTTAAAACCAAATCAATTTCAGAATTTTTAATTAATGAACAGAATTTGAGTGTTTGAAAAAAAGAATATAATTTATAGCATTAATACTAAAATTCGGTAATACTGGTGGGCATTTGGAAAACAATTAGCCAACTTAAACAAATAGACATCTATATGTTACATGGATTTTTTTATTTTATTTATATTTTATACCCGCATAAAGATAATTATAATCAATCACAAATATTAGTCATTTAAGTTATTGAAAGAGCAAAGTAAACTAACATGCAAGTTGGTTAGATAGGCATTAATGTATTTCAAAATATAATTTTTAAACTATGGACAGGATTTAGCTAATTAATAGATGTGCATATGGTAAAATAAGAATCAATAATATACCTGTATAGATCCAAGAAGAGATAAGTAGCATCTAAATAAAAATGGAAATTACCAAATTAAGTATAAGGATATAACACTATATATATATATATATATATATATTTGTATATAATCAATTAGTTAAAGAAACCATACTTTGAAAGGTTTGCAAGTAATGTAGGCTGTTTTGGTCTATATTACCATCTGAATTATTTTGAATGTGTTCTCGAATCAAAATTAAATTTCAATATTATGTTGACGTGACTATTGAATATAAATACTGTCAGATACAAAAGGATCTATAATGAACCCCCAATTTTTACTATATATATGTATTTTGTTTTCTTTTTTCTTTTTCTTTTTCTGTTTCGTAAAGTAAATATATCATGAAACTCAAAAACTATAGTTCCAATAAATAATTTTGATGGTATCGTCTCTACTTACAAATACATTCGTGAAATTTGCACAACTTTATGGCATTGGATGGAAATGTTTATATCAAATAACCTCTAGAAAAAATCACTGTACATTTTTGTGAATTTTTTTAATAAGCACATGCCAAAACACTGCTTTTGAATACTTTTTTTATTTTTTATTTTTTAACTTCAATATCAGTTGTATATTGAAGTTAAAAAACTAACATTGTAGATTGTACAGAAAGGTGGTTATTGTTTTAAAATTAACGCACAGTAATTATAAGAGAATTTGGTTTTATTGGTTAATTTAAATACCCTCATTGAAAAAGCTAATAAACGTAGTAATATTTTTTTTCGATTTATATATATATATATGTATATATTTGTTCTGTGGAAAGGATTTGAAGTTTTATTTTCTCTGTTTTTTTTGGCATAGTTATACATGTGTATGTATGTATGTATGTATGTATCTATGTAGGTGGTAAGAACAAAGAAATTTGATATAAGCTAAGTCTGTAAGTTTTTAATTACATTGCATTAATAAGTAACACCAACAACATTTGATAATCATATGTAATCAAGCCTTCAAAAAGCATTGTGATGTACAAGATATTATAAATGATAATCACAAGGAGAATACTCTTGAGTAAAGTGTTTTTGAAGAAATACTTTAATAATTTAGATGTGAGTATAAAACTTAAGTAATCTTACACATATTTTTATTTTAAAAATAACTTTGATTGGTTAAATAATGCATTGTTTAATATTGTTGTGAGACAAACTTGTTTATAGCAAATCGATATAATTATAATACTAAAAGCATCATTCAGATGAAATTTGATTCATAAATTGAATCACCAACATTCATACAGAAATTTGAAATTATAAATAACAAAAAAACAGATGCTGTTGAGAGAATAACAAAATAATGTTGAATTGGCTATGATTTTATTCTCTCGGTACATTTTCACTGTTTGTATTTGTTTGTATATACACACAAATTAATTAAACACGTTTTTTTGTTTTTTGTTTTGTATGACCCAATTTGTAATGTTTATCCTCACACATGCTTTTAGAAGAGGTATTGATTCAATGCTCAAGTAGGACCATCTTTGATTTTTTTAAGAAATTAGTGGTTGAAATCACTACAATGAAAACATTAAAGAACTTTATGTACATTTTCTAATCTATGTCGTGTTTATTCAAAAAAGTAAATAAAAATAAAAATAGTTCACAATATTGTATATACATATGTTGCTATGATAATAGCTTGCACAACTGAAAGAGAATGGTTCATCAGCAATAATATGTTGTATAGAATTTACTTCACAGCAAAACACATATTTATTTAAAACATGTTTACAAAATGTATATAAATATAAAGTTTAGCATTTGTAACCAAATAATTCAAATCACTGGTTGACTTGGTTTAAATAATTAGCAGAGTACCATGCTTACCTTATGTTTCATTGCAGGTCTATAAATTTATGGTATAAACAGATGTTTGTTTAGAAAAACATTCCTCACTTCTCTACCTCATTTTTTCATGAATTTTGGAGTGCTTTTGACACTATTGTTGAAATTTTCAATAGAACACTAAAGCATACATATATGCATAGTTTTCCCAATGATTATACTCTACATTACAATAGCACAAGAATTACAGCACCATGAATCTTCCATGCATGAATACAAAGACAAGTCAACTTCCAAATCATACATCAGTCAATTTGTTAGTGTATCATCTCTACTATGAGAGGATAATTTTACAAACTGTATCAAATTCAAGTTTTGCTGTCATTATTCTCATACAACTTAGATAAAACTACATATCCACATACACATATCATAGAAATTTTCACACAAAACTACATACCCACAACCAAAGGCAACAATTTTGCCGATGACAACCAGTTGTGAGGGAACATTGTTTTTTATAGATAGATAGATAGCTAGAGTAATATGACATACAAAGCAAGCACATAGTCTACATTTAGAGGACATGTCCATACATAGACAAATGGAGGATGATGTGGCATTGAAGTAACGAGGATGGTAGGGACCAGATGGCGTTAGGATATGGCAAGGGTGGGCGCCAATAATAGGGAGCCATGTCAGCAGGGGATGGGTAACGGGGACCGGTGGGTTTTATTACCCGATATGGGGGAGGGGGGAGCCCGTGCCGCCGAGCACCACACTCCACCCGCACTTGTCGGCATTGGGCCCACACGGCCCGACACCCGACCCGGCCCGGCCCGGCACTGGTGGACCAAGACCAGTGCAGGGCGTGGGGTGGGGTGCGTGGGGGGCATGAAGCTCTAGAGCTTCTCGTCGCAGGGGATGCAATTTTTTGCTTTTTTCCTTTTTTCCAGTGGTTGGTTGTAGTTGTGCTGCTGGTCGCTCGCCGCGGGGCGTCGTCATTGTTGTTGCTATATCGTGCATTGTACTGACGTTGTTATTGTCGTTGTAGAGTTTGTTTCTTATTTCGCATTTGTGTGTTGTGTTGTGTTGTTTATTTATTATTTTTTTTTAGGTGTGTGTGTTTTTGTGGGTTTTGGTTGGGGGGTCGTATTGCGCGTGAGGTGAGGGGGAGGAGATGGAAACAGGAGGGGGAATGGAAATGTGGATGACGTGGGGGATGTTTTGGGGCGCGATGGGTGCGTTGGGAGCGGGAGCGTATTATGTGTTGGTGTTAGCGGGAGCCGCAGAGAGGAAAGGGAAGCGGGCGGTGGATTTGGGGGGAGGGAGTATTACTCGGGAGCAAGTGAGGAGTAGCTACCAGAAGTATGCATCGTTCTTCGAGAAGCCGAAGCAGATCGAGGCGAAGGACAATGTGCCGAACTTCGTGGACACTTTCTACAATCTGGTGACGGACATCTACGAGTGGGGGTGGGGGCAGAGTTTCCACTTCTCCCCCGCCGTGCCTGGGAAGTCGCACAAGGAGTCGACGCGATTGCATGAGGAGCGGGTGGTAGATCTGCTAGGCGTGAAGCCCGGCCAGAAGGTGTTGGATGTGGGCTGCGGTGTGGGTGGACCCATGCGGGCAATCGCAGCGTACTCGCAGGCGCATGTCACTGGTATCACCATCAACGACTACCAGGTGGCGCGCGCGAGGAGCCACAACAAGAAGGCCGGGCTAGACAATCTGTGCGAGGTCGTGTGCGGGAACTTCCTGTTCATGCCCTTCGAAAACAATAGCTTTGACGGAGCGTATTCCATCGAAGCGACGTGCCACGCACCGGAGCTGAAGGATGTGTACGCCGAGGTTTTCCGGGTGCTGAAGCCTGGGCATCTGTACGTGACGTACGAGTGGGTGACCACCCCGCTGTTCAGGGCAGACAATGCCGAGCATGTGGAGTGCATTCACGGCATTGAGCACGGGGACGCGCTTCCCGGCCTAAGGAGTTACAAGCAGGTGGGCGAGATCGCGAAGGAGGTGGGGTTCAAGGTACTAGAGGACAGGGACCTAGCATTGCCACCGGCAAAGCCTTGGTGGATTCGTCTTAAGATGGGGCGTTTGGCATATTACCGGAACCATCTTGTGATTGCCTTGTTATCGTTCCTGGGAATCGCCCCGAAAGGCGTGGTGGATGTGCACGAGATGCTCTTCAAAACAGCCGATCATTTGACGCGCGGAGGAGAGACGGGAATTTTCAGTCCCATGCACCTGCTGGTGTTGCAGAAGCCGGAGGAAGGTTTGTGAGCGCAGGTCGTGAAGGATTGCTGCGCTCACTCCCGCGGCGATTTTTTTTTTTTTTTTTTTTTTTTTTTTTTTTTCTCTTTCTTTTCTTTTTCCCCTCATTTTCTGGGTCTTGATCTCTCCTTCTTTGTTGCCCCCCGGCCACAGCAAGTGTGAGGAGGGGAGGCTTGCGAGTTGGGCGTGAGTATGATTAGGTGGGCCGCCATCGGTTCCACCAAAGCCGCGTGGGAGCGAGGCAGACTAGGTGTCAAACACATCCAATTGCGAGTCCATTGCTCGAGATTGGTGTAGGTGGGAGGAGACTCTCCTGGATACTTCGGGGTCGGGGGGGATCTTAGGTTCAGATTGATTGATTCGTGCAGTGCAGGGTAGACAAAATGCGAGACGTGCAACATAATTGCTCCAGGCTAGGCTAGGCTGCCGTGGATGTAGAGATGAGCGGCATGCAGCGGGGCTTGGAAGAGTTATTGAGTGCGCGAGAGGCATAGAAAATTGCTCAATATTGACCGATGAATCATTCTTCAGAGGGTGAGTAGGACCCCAGTGTATATCTGGCGCGGCCTTTCAGATGGCATTGGCATTTATTGATTTGTTGTAGTGTGTGGTGATTGCTGGCAGTGTAGAGTAGTCGATTATCCACCGCAGGGGCATTTCCAGCAGTAGTTGCTAGCTAGCAAAGGATGCTAAAATCTCTTTTGAAATTGAAAATACCATGTCATTGTTTAATAGAGCGTGTTGATGGCATGTCGCCAAGCTTTTTTCTCTTTCGTCTATCTTCTGTTTTTCCCCCTTGCATGTGGTGAGTGATAAGCGTACATGTAATTGAGCTGGGTCTTATCGTTTTTGAATTATTTGTACTGATCATGCGAGAGAAAATTATCATAGCTTTAGTACAAGAGTCGGAACAGTGTGTACATGAACGTGAAACACTTGAAACCCAAACCGTGGCTCAAACTCTATAGTGATCCATCAACTGCAATCAGGTTTGCAGATCATGCCTCTCAACTCAGATTTGCAAGCTGTGCATGAACAACGGATGTGTTGATCTTGCTAAACTATAAACCCAGTTTAGCTTTCAACCTGAATTCTTTTTGCTTTGCTTGAAGTTTCTTTAGTCTAGATTGCCGGGAAGAATTGTGCTGGTCAGGGAACTGTTTTATGCTTATTAAGAAATCTGAATTTCTATCACTGTTTCCTTCTGCAGCGTACTGTCCTCTCTCCCTTGCTTCCTACAAGAATGTTCTTTTAGGACTCGTAATACACGTTTCATACTAAAATTACTGTTGTGTTCAATGACGTTAAAAGTAGTTCTATATATTATACTTATTAAATTTTAATCGAAAACAAAATAAATTTTCTTATCGAAGGTAATGGGTAGAATTCAGATCCTTTTGAATCTTAAAAAGAATTCGAGTAGTGATTATGTTACAGTACATAGCAAAATATTAATTGCCCAGGAAATGCTACATTTCTAAAAAGATTTACCTCTTGGTCATCAACAACATTCTAAAATCGATGAAGTAATTGACTTTAAGGGTGTAATTTTTTATTTTTATTTTTATTTTTTTTTTGAAGTTATTAAAGTGACTATTCTATATCCGATTGAAATGTATTTTTACAGAATACTATTTTTTGTATTTAACATATTCCTTATTCACATGATGAACAATTTTGAAGAGCACATACATTTATAATCGACAAACAACTAACAGTGAAAAAAATAGATGATTGACATGTGAGTGTATGTATAATTATGTGTTATAAATAAATTATGTTCATTTCATAGTTGTGACTGTTGGATTAATTTTTTAATATTAATAGTACTAGCAAACATCAAATATACAAGGCAAGAAATGCATGCAAACCAGTCTCAAGAGTGGATGAAAGACCTCAGCACATTGAAAATATGTGTACCACTAAAATAGCAAGGCTAAAACACATGAAGACTCAGAATCTACAAAATGAAGAAATTTACAAAAAACCAGAATTAATAAAATTGTAGATTGTTTCCACCTGCAAGATTGGAAGGAATTCTCTATGAAAACTCCTTGTTTAAGCTTTAAATAAATAACTATTGGAATAATGTTGGGACATTTTGAGATGATTTAAACAATGTTCTAAGTTCTTAGATGATTCCATATGAATTTTAGAAGTTTAAAGACAAGTAAGAGAAACAATTGTGTTGATCCTTTAAAATATATAAGTATACATGCAATAATCCCTTTGTAATTTAATATCCAATAATTCAATAACCTCTATTATATTTTGCTTCTGCCAAGTTCGTTCTATAGCGGTAATTTAACATTTTTATTACCTAATGTTTAATATTATTCTCATAATTCACCAAGTTGTAGAGGTTCATTGTAGCCAACAATCACTGATACATATACAAGAATTAGTGGTGGAAGAGTTCCATGCAAAGGTTACGCTACACTATAATACTATTGTATCTTAATCCAAAATCTCAAGATACACTACACTATAATATAATTGTACTTTAATCCTAAACCCCAAGATATGCTACACTACAATAGAATTGTACCTTAATGTCAAGGACATGAATCTCAAAGAAAATAAAACTTAATACACTCTTGTGTCACTTGAAAAGACTAAGAAATGACTCAAAGATGGTAACATATTGAACTAGAATGGCTATTGCCAAAGACAAGAAGATTAAAAAGGCTTGAAACAAGACTAAGGACTAGAAAAGTATTGACAAGAGTGAAGATGGCTTCATTCTTGCTTCCATATATACTATCTAACTAGGAGCTACATAGCGATGTTCTATAAGTCCTCCAACACATGTTGACTTTACAAGATATATGTCTTAACTTGCAAGACAAGTTTTCTATATATGCACCACAAAGTTAGCTTGTTCCACAAGCTACCAACATGTGTACTACATGGTTAACTTATTGACCAAGTTTCAAACCTATCAATCAATTATAAACACATGTAAAGTCAAAATTGCATCTATGAGGCTTTTTTGGAAGATATTATGAAATTAATCTACTTTTATCTACTTCTACGTAATTATATATGTAATTATTGGAATAAATATATATGTCCATGATACTTAATTCTAAACCCCAAGATATGCTACACAACAATACTATTGTACTTTAATCCAAAATCCTAAGCATTCAATCTAGTAATAGAATAGCCTCTGTTAGGTAATAATATTTGTGTCTACCAAACATATTGAATTACAAAGGGACCATTATATATATATATATATATATATTCATATATTTACATAGAATAATATAAAGCATAATATAAGGGAAGAAAAAATCAAAAAGTTTGTAAAGATTAGAAGTTTATTATGTAAAAGACTTAATATGTGTCTAAATAAAATTTGTGTGGTAATTTGTAAAGTTTGTTTCAAAGCATCATAAAAAAAATCTAATTTTTTAATATGTAATATTAGTATTGGTATTGGTTTTTTAATTGATAATTTTAGTATTATCATTTAAAAAGAAGTATCAAATTTGCCTTTCTATAAAAATTTAGCATTAGTAAATTTTTTTAAAAAAGATGAAATACACAACATTAAAACTATTAGCTATGGAATGAATTGAAATTTAACCATCAAGTTTTGGAGGATTGTTGAAAGCTACAAGGTTCAAAGGAGAAGAATCTGTATTTGTATTGCTAAAATCTTTCAAAAATATTTATGCTGAAATTTAAATTTTAAGTTTCGTGATATTAAAGAATGGAGGAAATGAATAGCAACAGGTAAGGACTTAATTTTTTTTACAAAATCATGTACATTTATGTACATTTTTGTATGGAAATTTACTGATGTCAAAGCATATTAAACATAATAAGTAAATTGAACATTGTTACAAAAATGTTTTGAAAATACTTTGCATGATTTTATTCAATACATACATAATAAAAGTATTGATTATTCACACAATTTACTAGAATTTTCTTATTTGTATATGTACATACATACACAATTTACAAGACTCCAAATATTTTACCTTTTTTTTGTTTTTTTTTTGTTTTAAATGAAGTTCTCTTCATTGTGGGGTGCCTCAAAACTAAATTCTTTTGTAGGTTCTATATTAGTATCAAGAAGCTCTGGATATTCTTCTAAAATCCTCTTCTTAGTTTTGGTGCTCATGGTGTTAACCAATCGAACTTTGATAGGTAGATTATTGGGCACACTTTTATGATCAAGTTTAACATCTTCATGAGTTTGTATGGGTAATTCCATAGTTGTGGTGGGTGGTGTTGTGCTTTCCCAAATAGCATAATTTTCTCCAGATGTTGCTAGCTTCCAAAATCTTTCATTAGGCAACAATAATCCCATGTCCATTCTGTAATACAATACAACACATTTTTGGGTTAAAAAAAAAAATTAGTATAATTTTACATGAAAAATAAACAATGAAGTTTCAATATTCATGTTAATTAGATACATATGATAATACAAGTTACATAATTAATTTTTTTGATATAATTTAAAGACATCACAAAAAAAATTCCTACTATTACAAACTTCAGTATTTATGAATATTTGTGAGTGCATCTATCTATCTATCTATCTATATGTTTAATAAACATACACTTATTTAAGAGAGAGAAATGGGCACTTGCCGAGGGCCAAGCTTTACAAGCACACGATCGGCAATACTGGCCACATATATATCAGCTTCCGCAATTTTAATACTGACTTTACTTTCAGTATTTATATGGTTGCGCAAGCGAACTTGGACAAGCTCTTTGATTTGAAATTTCAAATGTGTATTAAAATAGTGATCATAAAACTATGCATGCATGAAATAAACAATAGAAGTTTTAAAATATAAAAAAAATCACAGCTGATAATTTTAAATTCAGGATTAATATTGCAAGCATAATATGGTAATAGAACTCTTTTGAAATTAATTAACTCAACGAAAAAAAAGGATGCATTTTTTTCTATTGTAAAGAATTGTATGATCTAAATCATGTTATTATAAAAATTTTCATAACAAAAAAAATTAATGCAAATTTTATTATAGAAATTACAACATGTGATTGAATTTTGGGTTACAAATGGCATTGAATCATACATGAATATATACATACATGTATATAAATATATATATATATATATATATATAACCTTAATATTTTATCAACTACACAACTGTTGTATTTGACATCACCAAAATGTGTTTAGTTGAATAACAATAAATTTAGCATTTTTTTCTACCAATAAACTTTACTGCGAAATTAATTTGTCACACGTGATGTAAGGTATGAATAATTCACGTTATTTAAATTTTTTGGCTTAAAAACCAATTAGTTATAAATTTAGCAAGAATTCACTTTGAGTAAATCCATTAGATATTTTAGGATACACAACAAGTTAAAAAATTCACGAAATTTAAACTTTTTTGTGCTAAATTTATTTTCATAATTGCATCATTCTTTAATCTAAATCTGCTATATTTTCAAATCATGCTGTGTTCTATACAAGCCTATACATTATTATTAAGCACCATACGTTTATTCTATGTATAAATCCTTCTGTAAACATAGAACTTGAATTATTAGGACTTAAAACAAATTACCTAATTTTAGTTAAATAATCCTTAAAAAATATTAAATAATGAATGATTTTAAAAAAAAGTGAATGTGTATATATTTATATAATTTACCAACGCATATCTTAATTATAAAAACTTAAGTTAAAAACAAAAAAAACTTCAAATGCATTGTCTTATTAAAAAATGAAAAAAATAATTAATGCTTATAATGCAATAGATCAAGATTAAAATATTTAGTCACAACACACCCTTCAAATCACACTTGCACATTTAAAAAGTACTGTTCAACATATCTGATTATTAAGTTTTTGACAATAAAAATTCTACTCTAGCTTATTCTGTATATTATTTGGAGCTAGAAAACCACAAACAGGCATAATTATGGACATCCACTCAACATTTGAAATGAAATGCTCTGTAGTTTTTCTAACAAATAAATCATCTATCTTTTAATCTAGTTATTTTACAAAATGATCCTATCATATACAAAGTATCCTTGGTGCATGCTTGAGGATATAAATATTTGAATGCGATCTCATATTCATTCATATATATATATATATATATATATAATACTTCACTAATTAATATTAGTTGTAGAAAAGTGGAAGAGTAAAGAAAGAAGTGGATGGTGGGTATGATTACATACAATGCAAGGAATGCCGGGGTGGGTGAGAATGTAGGCATAGCCCATGGCAATCTTATCGTCCGGAAAACTCCAATGTCGTTGTGTGGACCCCGTATCATGGTTGTCAACAAATGTTACTGCTTTTTGCGGCCACCATCCTTTCAACCCACAAAAAGAAATAAAACAACATTAGTTCTAAGAATGGAACTATTAATTCAATGGAAAAATCACTTTTAACTGCATGATTCTGAATTCCAAAACTTATGCTTATAGTTTTACAATAATGGTGATGTTCTTGTGCTACTCTCTATCAAGTGCCATATAGAAATCACTGCTGAGATTATAATTGACAACATCTTTGGTGCAAATTGCAATTTTGTTTTGGTACAGCATTTTAGTGTTTTGGACCCAACAAAAATTATTTTACAAATTTAGTAAAAACATTCTTATAATATACTGAAATTCCAAATTCAAGTTAGAATGAGTGCAGGTTAGCTAGTGAATGTGAGTATATATGTACAAATATATATATATATATATATATACATACCAATAAGGCCTGGCGGTTTTCCAAAGGAGTCTTGTAGACGCCAGAGTTGGCCTTCAACAGCAGTTTGGAGGATGCCTTTGGTGGTGAAATCAAAGGCACACACTCTCCCTCCCGTTCCATCGATCCAATCACATAGTTTTTGCCGGTGTGCATCTAAAATAATAATAATAATAGTATGCAATTGAATAGAATTATACTCACTCAAAAATCTATTAATATTTAACATTAAAAATAAATAAGAAAAGAAAAGAAAAGAATTATATAGCAAAAAGAATGGAAAAGATAGATTTTTTTTGAAAACAAGAACACACATTATGATGTAAGAATATATAATGGTTGAATTGATTGTGATGTTGCACCATAATTTTATGAGAAATTCACAAGAATTAAAATCATGCAAAAATTACCTTGATCTGCAAGAAGTGATGAATCTTTATATGACATGGAGGTCCAAATCTCTCCCACTGCAAATGATGGACATGTACGCTCACAATACCTGCTTTCAAAACCACTTTTTTCATTAACAATGTTTTTACCTCCACAAGTTTTGATGTAAGATTGACTTGTATCTGAGTTTTTGTAATTTTTGTTTTGTTTTGTTTATTTTTTATAAAAAAATATTTCAATGAAAATATCAACAATGTTTAGAGCATTGAATTCATAAAAATGTAAGCATTATAGCTTTCACTAAGCTTAGTAGGGAGAATTGTTTTAAGAAATTATTTTGCTTCAGGATAAGGCAAGAACGAACACAAAGTACAGTAGATAAAATTACAATACTTCTTGCTAGCCAATTATTAATACATTCAAATGATAGCAAGTAAGAAAAATGAAAAATTTAAAATCAGCGCTTTAAAATAAAAATCATGAGTTCAACTTGTATAAGCCTCATAGAAAACGAACTTTGAAGGAGAAAAAAAAAAAAAAAAAAAAAAAAAAAAATTGGCATAGCTAGAAGAATTGTAGTTTTATTACTTTAGTTTCTTTTTTTTAGACCTCATATGAATTAGGGTATGCATGAGTTTATTATTATTATTATTATTATTATTTTCTTTCTAAAAATCATGACAATTTGGGAGAAATTGGAAGAAATAAGGAAATTTTAGTTTTTAGTTTTTATTTTATTTATGATTGTTAGAAAATCTGAGAGAGAGAGAATTTGCAATTAGTGTGGATTACGTGGCACTCACAAACCACAATATTGAGGACCATAACCTTTGGCAAAATCAAACCTCCAACCATCGAATCCCACCTCAGCTCTCAACCAATTCATCCAATCAGTGAGTTCATCTTGCACTCGTTTGCTTGTGTGGTCTAAGTCCGGAGCGGCCCCATAACTCTCCCCCGTGTCATGCTTCCCTTTCCCTCCACTATTGTATACATCATTGTCCACCACCTAAATAAGACACATGCCAAAAACATCATACATTATACTCACTCACAAAATAACATATATTTTATAGAATTACTGAACTAAATCAAAGAATATATATATATATATATATACACATATCTAAATAGCGTAAGGATTTATTTTTAGGATATTTACTAATATTATTATTATTATTATTTTGTTTTAACCAATAATCTTCTTGAGCATGTTTATTAATATTAAATGTGTAAATCTTGTTTTTGAAATTCATTTACTTGTTTCATTATTTTACTTACAAACTTGAACGCTTACATGCAGATAAAAATAGGTCTTTCAAACTGAAAGTGTTATTAAAGCAAAGAGCATGTCTACATGAGTTTCCACTGAATCCAAAATCAATAGTCTTAATCCTTATAACAATCCAAAAGATACACCCATGAATCGAAGTAATTAAAACCACAAAAAAATCAGCCACATGGGTAAATGGATCAGTTAGAAGAAGTGACTTTGTTATACCAGAAAGTCGTTTCATTTGCTCTCACGAGGTTTTAATATCACATTGTTCATACCTCCGTCAAAAACTCATCAGACGCATCTTATGCACAGTCTCTCAAACAGTCAACAAATCGAGGACAGCTCACATGGACAACAACAACAACTACTACTAAATCGATTACACACAATTTTACACAAGAAGGAGCAATCACAAGAGTCAATAGCAGAGTCCAGTGTCCAGCATGCAAATTATCTATATATATATATATATATGCACCTGTGCAATTGTGTGTAGTTAGTTGTGGATACATGTGGAGAATGGATATGGAAGTATAGCAGGTGGGGGAGAGAGCGAGCGAGAGAGAGAGAGAGCAGGAGCCCTACAGCCCAAGCGCCCCAAGCGAGACGCTTATCGGGGACGCCGCCGTCGAAGATGTTCCAGTGGCCCTGCTTATCCTGTGTGCCCGCCGTGCGGTGGTTGATCACAATGTCCGCAATCCCACACATCCCGTGCATATGCAGCACGTCCAGCAGGTTGCGCAGCTCGATGCCTTTCCCGTACCTAGACGAATCTAGATTGTACAGCTGACCCGGCAGATACCCTTTCCTCCCCACAGCAAACACCGAAGAATCACGTGCGTCACACACACATCACACACGCACACACCCTTCGACGATAATGAATCATGCACTCAAGCAGGTCAATCGAGCAAGCCAACCAGCAACGCGAGACCGACTGCAGGTTGTCGATAATGCATATACCATGCTTGTCGACGGATTGAGAAGCTGGAGGGAGCCAGACGTCGGTGATGCCCAGCTCGAACAAATCCTCTATCTTAGACTGGAAGTGGATCCACCAGCTTGGGTTGTGATTGTGTGACTCCCAGTCGAACCCCTGCGAAAAAACACCGCGTGTTCCGATCAGACCGCCTCACATTTTTCCGGCGATTTCACCGATATCGGCTTCGTTCCAGATGGAATCAAGCGTATAGCGCGATTGTGATCGAGGGGACGAAATTGGCACACAACCTGAAACAGGATGATGTTGGAATTGTCCACAGGGACTGGACGTGCGGGCCGCATTCGTCCACCGCGGTGATACTCAAACTGCCGCTTATGCAGCTCTTTGTTGTAGAACCGCTCCTGTCCGTCGCTGGTGAACAGCGACGCAACGGCTCCCGACCGAGTTCCGCTCCGGCGGCTGCAGATGATTCTTCCCGGAGACACGGAGCGATTCCAACCTGGACCAGGCATGGTTCTCGCGGGTTGCTTCTTCTGCTGAAGCACCCCGGTCCATCGTTCCGCGCCGTGCTTGCTCCACAGCGATGAGCATTGTGCGCCGATGCAGCAGCTCACGCTGAGGAAGCTCATCTTTCTATCGATTCTGGCAGCGTCACCGATGCGCTTCTTCGCATCGGGATTCCGGCACGCACGCATTCATTGTCAGAAACCTGCAGATTCATCGACCAGCATCTGATTCTTCACGCGCCGCGCCGGATTCTCTTACTTCTCCTCGTGCTTCCTGTGCACAACCTGCAGCAGCTTCATATTTAGGGTTTGTTTTGTTTTGTTTTGTTTGTGGGTTGTTTTGCTTTTTGTACTAATCTGTTGGTAGGATAGGAACTGAAAGGTGCGGAGTTTGGAGCTTTGTTTAGATTATGGGGAATCTTAGGGTTGTTGAGCTTGGTGTGTCAGTGCTTTAACTGAACTTAATGGAAAAAAACATACATGTATCATACATTGAGTTTTGTGGTCTGGCTTTGTGATTGTAACACGTATTGCTTTGAAAATCGTTATGTTTGAAACGTTGAAAACAGGTTCAACAACCTAATTTGAAAGAACGAAAAAGGTGAAGGATGATTTGTATCTACACATAATTTGTTGGTCTTTAGAATTTGCTAACATTGGAGGCCCTTGCTTTGTCTTGGGAATAATATGATAAATCAAGTTAATGGATTATTTTTAATATAAATTACAATCTACACAAATATATAGTATTTATGCCTAGGAATAATAATCAAAATAATGAAAAGAAAAAATAGACACGTGAAAAAATTTACACATTCAACTTGAATTTATAAATTGAAAAAGTGTGAGTTTAAATAAAAAAGAGAAAATAGAGGAAGTATGATATACAAAAACATAAATCTAATGGTTTCAGTTGTTGATATGTTTTTGAATTTTATACACATATATGTGGAATAAAGTTTCATTGGTTTTTGATAAATTTAGTGACTTAAAATTATAAAATTCATTACAAGAAGTCAATGTCTTATTACTAAAATATAGTTTTTTATTTAAGATTTTATAACTATATTTTATTCTTTAAAAAATGACAATGCTTTTAGATGTATTTTAACACTATCTTAATATTAAAACAAAAAAAATCAAAAATAATATAACATCATTTACTATTATAAGTATGATATTAAGTTTATATTATAAAAAATACAAAAGTAAGAATAATATATATATATATATATATATATATATTATATAAAACAAATTTGAACCTAACAATAGATTCTTCACTAGCTACACTCATTGAGGTCCTATACTTGCCTCTCTTTGCATCCACTATTGCTCTCCATTCTTACAAGATCTCTCACCCTCTCACAAGATCTTTCACCTTCTTACCATCACCATTACTTTGTTACAAGATCTAAAGCCATCTTTGCATAGCCATGAAATTATATTAGTTGTACAAAGTGCAAGATTTGGGGTGATTATTATGGATTAGACAATAGGTGTTACTAATCAGAAGTCAGGTGGTGATGATTGACAAATGCTTATGTACTTCAAGAGTATAATGCAATCTTGTCTTTCTCCCATCAACTACAAATTTGGTGGTACAATTTCCTATTTATTTATTTATTTATTTGATAGAAGATTTTAGAGATGCATCAATTCAAGGGCTTTCAAGCTACAACCATTTTTATTATTTTTATTTTTTTTCTTAATTGAAAAGATAATATATTTTTACATGTTTCTATATGAGGTGATGTTGATAGGGTTTCATTTATTCAATCCACATCTTCTTAATCTACTTTGATTGTAGAGTCTATCTATTTGAGTCTTTTACATTATAAGTTCCACTCTTCCAAGTGTTGCTATTTTGTTTTGCTTGGATTTGTCTATATCCAACAATTGCCTAAGCTTAGGAGTTATGACTAATCAAGGCAAATGTAGAATTATTTTAGATTTCTTTTAGAACAAACTACAAAGTGTTATTTGAGATTTTATTCTCCTATGCTAAGAAAGATTTAGATTTTATATGGTATTGGTTGATATATAGAATTATTGCTTGGCCTTACATCCATCCAATTGTTTTGAAGGAAATTAATATTACTATATATGACAAGAAGCATAATAAGATAGATTTATTAAACCGAAATCTTAGGTATGTGTGTTCTATTTATTATTTCAGATTTCGTATTTATTTATTGATTTATTGATTTATTTTTATTTTTTCTTTATTTCTGTTTCTTTTTGCCTGCTTTGTTGATCCATGTGATTGTCATTGCTGCCAATAAGGTTTATCTTCATTGTCTTGTAGCTTCCATTGTTCAAATCGGTTTTTATGTGCAAATATTCTGTTGTTTTGTCGCTTTAGATGAGTTTTCATGTGCAAATTAGTGATCAAATCAATTTCTAAGTAGTTTCTTGCAAAAATCTTCTATTCTAGTCATTATCATTAGAAGCTCTAATCCTCTAAGTGTCATTATTCCACTCCATCCAACAATGCCAAGGCTTTGGATGAGTGACTGATTTTAAAAAAAAAAAAAAAAAAAAAAAAAACATGGAATCATTTTGGAGGGCTATAGAATCAATCTGCCTACTGTTATTTAAGATTTTAGAATTGGAGGATGTATAAGGATGTGAAATTGCAAGTAGAAAATGCATTTGTAGCATGTAGTTGGAATATATAATGAATAAGAACACAAATGAGTGCATATGTTATGTATAGTGCAGATATAGGATATAGGCCACTCATTTTGGTACTAAAAATTCACCATTATTTTGGAACCAATATTGGTCTATTGGACCTTACATAATAAATTTATATGGTGTTTAATTAAAAAAACACGTGCATTGTAATCAAAAAACATTACATGATCATATCTATCTTAAATAAGCATATATAACATTTGAGACATTGTTCATAAACCAATGTTTGATTTTAGAAATATTTTTGAGACATATTCTCATATATTCTTTTTTATTATTTATAATCAAAGGGCATAAATTTTATTATATTATAAAGATGGTTTATTTTGTTGTTGTGATTTATATTGAAAAGATCCGTTGTTGTTATTAAATAACTACTTCATTGATAAGATTAATAAATCAAGGAATTTTGGAAGACTATTTGATAATACAATGCCACACATGCATTTAAATCTCTTAATGCAAGAATTAACAATAATATCTTGTAAGGATATAGTCCATTTAGCTTTGGCATACTTAAAGAGCATTGTCATCAAATGGACATTCTTTTACCAGAACAAGGTATAGAGGCAAGTTATATGCAACTTTATATTTACAATATCAATATTTCACATGAAGCAAGGATGGCATGTAACTCCAATTTTTTAACCTAGACAATGTAAGAGATTTAAGACTATTTAAAAAAACATCACATATTTCTTCTGCTTTGTCAATAAGTTCATAAAATATTTTCTAAAGCAAACAAAAGATGAGAGAGAGAGATGATGATATACATGTATATCTTTACTTTAGTATAGATGTCAACAAAAGACATTGTAATCTTCCAACTTTTAATGAGGTTGTTGTTGTTGTTGTTGTTGTTATGTCAAATAATAGAAAAAGACAAAAGGAATAGAAAATATAATTGTCCAATAGAGAAGAGGTATATTGCAAAACATTTATGAAGGATATTTTATATACTTGCCCCTTCACTATATTATTCTTTTTCCATGCAAAGAACATGGATGGCATAATCAAATAAGACATAGCAATATGAATGTCAATAAAGATGGGATACAAATATAAAAAATTTGTGTATTATTCAAATAGAGTTTTATTTGTATTGATTGTTTCTACAATATAAAAAATAGTCAAAGTTATATTACAAATAAGTTATCTTACAAAGTTATCTTATAAAGTTAATATATAAAATCTAAGGAAGAGGATAATTCTTTTAATGACTTATTTTAGATATATATGAAACTTATTTGAGATTTTTCAAGATTCTATGGCCATTATTTCTATTTGTTAATATCCAAATATATTTGGTACAATGATTTCAAATTTTTAGTGGCTAAAAATTCAAAGTGTAATTTTTTTAGATCAAAGACCTAATGATCATTCCAACTTGGTAATAAGAGTATTAAAACTCAAGTGTTATGCATTGATTGAAGATATTTAAAAGCATCACATTTTAAGACATATTCTTGCAATAGTGCATATTATTGAGTTTAAAAAAAAAAGTTTTTTGTACATGCACTTCTTACTATTTTTTGAAGAAAACTATAAATTAAAAAATTTGACCAATGTTGATAGGATTGTTTGTGTGGAATAACAATGTATTAAGAAAAAAGATCCATTGTTATTAGAGATAATTATCACTTGCATGGTTCATAGTCTATGTTGACCTCAAAATATACAAGCTTCATACATAATGGATAGAATATGTCAAAAGAGATATCCAAAAGAATACCAAGAAATAGTATTATCATTAACAACAATGGATAGTAATGCCTATTTTCAATATCATAGATAAAATGATGGAAGTATGATCAATGTTGTCAATCATATTATAAAAAATTAAGATATTTTTTCAAAAATTCTTACTTTTAGCAAAAAATATAATGGATATATGCACATTGAGGTTTGAGATTCAGTTTATATTGTAGAAAATATTCATAAGTATATCTATAAATGATATAGTTGCACAACAATGCAAATTGAAAATGAGAAAGATAAGGTTAAGTAATATATTGATGCATAATATATTCTAGCTCAAAAAGTAGTATGGCATTTGTTTGGGATGAAAATGCATGAAGAAATTCCAAATCTGCTTTGATCGATATTGCATCTTTTTAAAATGTATTAAGTAATTTTTATCCAAATGATGATGCAATTGAAGTTTTAGTCTATAGAAAATGGCAAAAAATAACTTTGAGTGCATTTTTGAAATATATAAATCTATAGAGATTTCCATGCAATATAAGTACCAAAAGATTCTACAATATTTTGTGTAGAACAAGATCTCAAAGAAATAGACAATAAGATAATATGGATTTGTAATTATCAGGTTAAATTTTGATGATCCTATTATAGGAGAAAAATTCTATCTAAGACTTCTTCCAATAAAGGTATATGGGCCATGCTCATTTGAAGATTTATATACTATACATAAAATACTCAAACCAAATTTTAAGATTATATTCTTAGAAATGGAATTATTGCAAGATGACAAAGAATGGAATCAAACTTAGGAGAAATCCTTTGTAACAAAAAAAAAAAAAAAAAAAAAAAAAAAAAAAAAACTACTAAAAGTATTGTTTGCTATTATTCTTGTTCACTGTTCACTTGCATATCCAAAAGAGCTATGGGATAAGTTTAAAGATTTTTTTTTGTGATGATGTAACTTACTATTTGGCTCAAAATTATAGAATTGAGAGGCCAACAAAAAGCCAAATATTAGATTACTAACAATATCTTCTTCATGAAATTCTTTAAGAATTAAGCAAAATAATTATTAATTTTTTATTGATGCTATTGTCAAAAATGAATTGGAATAAAAATGCTACAAATTAAATATTTATAAAGCATATGATATGAGAGTGTGATGAGCTAAAAACAAATAGTAGAAGAATGTATGCTAAAATTGAATAATGAATAATACATCATATATTTTATTATCCTTGCTTCTATGGATAATAATCTAGGAAACTTGAACTTTTTTAAAAAGACAAAAAGAAGTGAAAAAATATTTATTTACAATACAACAGCAATAAAATTTCAAAGTGATGGAAATATTGTTTTGTGTGTTGTTTTTTCTAAAATTGCACTTAATATTGATAATGATTTGTTTTATAATATTGCAAAGAACTCACTCTATACAAATGTGCTAAGAAAGACAATTCTTATTATTTGAAATGAGGTACTAATGCAATATCACTATTGTCTTGAGATAGTTCATAAAACTTTTTAGGACATGAATAGCACTAACAAGTTATTTGGTGGAATTATTATAGTCTTTACTAGAATGTTTTAGCAAATTCTTCATGTTGTTATTAAAGGCTCAAGAAAAGAAATTATTAATGCTTTTTTACAATGATCAAATTTTGGTTTCATATTAAAGTATGTTACTTGACCAAAAATATGTCTTTAGAAGATATATTTGATGAGAATCAATTATTTTCTAAAAAACTCTTGAAAGTATGCATTACATAAGACCATTCCTTATAAAAGTTATTTTCTATGATATAATGTTTATGTTTAATATATCAGGGAATAGTTCCTATTTGTAGATTGGAAATGGATCAACAATTATAGATCTATTAAGAAGTACGGCAATTCTTCTAAAACTTATGAAAGTAGATTCAACATCAAATGATTTGATTTAAGTTACATATTTGAGACTGGATGAGGATGGAATACTTGGAGATGAATTTTTCATTGACAAGTCTATTTTATTTGCACAAAATTTTAATGTTGATGATCTAAACAAATGTGCTATAGAGAGATTTTTTTAGAGTTTCACATATTTATCTTATTGAATATATAACAGTTATAAAAGATGGTGCCAACAATAGTAATTGTTATTCAATTGAATATTTGAATAGCTTATGTTTATCCAGATTGTTTATTTAATTTAGAGCTAAAGGTTGGATATCCTATTATATTGTTGCAAAACATTGCTTTATATCAAGGACTTTGGAATAGATTACAGTTAGTCATTATGTAGCTCATTGATCAAATTATAGATGTAAGACTTTTATCTGAAGACTACAAGAGAGAATTGGCTTTTCTTCAAAAGTTTACATTATATCCATCATCTACAAAGATTTTGTTCAAGTTGTAGTGAAGGCAATTTCTAATAAAGATGGAATTTACATTGACTATTAACAAATCTCAAAGACAATTATTGAAGATCATAGGAATAGATCTTAGAACCCCCATATTTATATATGAATAATTATATGTTGCATTTTTACAATGCACTTCTTTGAATATGATCAAGATCAAGATCCTATATCCTAAAAATAATGAAGATGAAAACACAATAGTACATAAAATTTATTCCAAAGTTCTTTTAATTTAGCTATTTCAATTTTCGTAATAAATAAAAATTACATTTGTCAATTACAATGAAGAAACATAAATGATTCTATTATTATGCATACATTCTTTTCTTTTTTTTTTCTTTTTTTTTTCTTTTTATTTTTGATTAACAATTCTTTAGGAGTAGTCAATTTTTAACTTAGCAACCACAAATTAAAGTTTCAAACCTTTTTTGTGGCCAAAGTCGTAGGTTTCCACTAATATATAATAAAGTAGCTCATAATGAAAAAGTACAACGAAAGATGTTCATAATTAGGACCATTGTGTGGACAATTTAGCAAAAATGCTCATACTATTGTTAAGCACCAAGAGTTAACAGCCATAACCACATCTATCAAAGCTCAATCAGATCAATACAAGTAGACATTGTTGCTCATGTCCCAAAGTCCGCCATTTTTGTAATTGTTTTTATTTATCAAAAGTTTATGGAAAGACATCTGAGGGAGTTGTGGATAGTGGATATGCAATTCAAGCAGAAATGACATTGATATTTTCAAGTAAAAATAACCTAATTTTGAATTTACAAACATTGATATTTAAACATGCAACAAACAAATAATTATACATACATATATAGACATACACACATTAGTAATTAGCCAATCTATTTGAATTAACAATAGATGCTGATGTAAAGTAGTATGAAAGTATTAAAAAGTTATATTATGATAGATTGTTGTTGAAACATGGATAAGTTGAATAGATTTTTCTTTTTGACTTTGTCCTTTTTGTTGGGAAGGACAAGAACAATAAAAAAAATAAACAAAAAGACTGCATTAGTTAATATAAATATAAATATTTACTTGTACATGACTAGCTCACTAAACTAATTATACACTAGAAAATTGGCAAATGTTAAAGAATGTAACAGTGGGGTAATGGTTCAAATTCTAGAGACATGCTCAAGATTTTTAAAAAAAAAGAGAAGAAAAAGCAGCATGATGTTCAGAAACTGATACTACTCATGATGGGCCAATTTAGACAATAGTCAAATAAATATGCACTGTTTTTTTTCAATACATATTTATAAAATCATTAAATTCAGTTTTCCTTGTAATTGATATTTCAGATTTCAAAATTTTTGATGAAATGATAATAATTTTGTTATGATAAAATCTGAGAGATTTGGAACACATCACTGCAGTTCCTCACATCCACTTTAAGAAATGTCATTATTCAAGAAATAGAAGGATTCAGACGACTATGGTTATCTTTAGTACAGATCTGTTATAGAAACATGGACCTGTTATTTACAGTTTGAATAACTGATACATAGCATTGACAGACACATCAACAAATGTCTTCTATGAGGTTCAAAGGAATTTATCCGAATTCCAATGAACAGTCATGTTTTCTACAAATTAGTCAAGCGCATGTCAAATAGTTTACAAATGTAACGATCACCGCAAAGGTAAGTCGCAGATAAACAGCACAAAAATTCGTATGTGCAGCATGCCATGGGGAAGGCTTTTCCCAGTGTGTTCAGCAGTCTTCGGGTCACAGCCAAAGAAAACAATTTAGACTAATTATCAGCGTTTCAGCCACCATTTGGCAACTGCGAAGAGTTGTCCATAGGGTTTTACACTGCATGTTTCGCACAGTCGCTTTGGCCTCGAACTTATCACGAAGATATTGTAATATTGGCATATGTAGTGACTACCACCCGATCGTAAGTACCGTGATGAGATGCTAAAATATCCACAACGTTTTCTAAATTGTGTCAGAAGGTAATGCTGAATGTACTTCCATTCAAACGGGCGTCACATCCTCTCGGCAGAGTGCTCAAGCAATAATCTATGCCAGGAGATTTGAAGGGATAGAGTTCACCTTCATAAGCAGAGGTTCATTCGATGTCACATTCCCCACCTAATTGCAGTGAATTAGTCAGACCAATCTGTTTGAATGACAACCAGTGGGATTTTTGCTACAATTGTTGAACTAGTAATCAGTCAAAACTGTTTCACCCCACAGTGCCGTATGAAAAGGTGACTAGTCCACACAAAGATGCACACCGCAATAATTTTAAGTAAAAGACTATTCAAGTGTTACACTGGAAAATGTTGCACACAATGAGTGGCCGGTTTATGAGCTGAATCCCATTAATTGCGATAGTACAAAACGGATGTGTGAGTCGTTGTAATCCAACAATATACCCCTACTACTGCATCCGAGCTACAATTCTTCGGAAAAGTGTTGTCAGCGAATATTTTCCTTAACATAACTCTTGTTGTCCTCCTAGCAAGAAATACAAAGAAACTCTCAATTAGTCAAAAGGCCACCTCTTCTCTAATTTAATCCCAGCGAGTAATTCCTCCAACAATGTATCGCGAGAGTTCTATTTGAGGTGATATTGGCAGCGGTATCGCCTGAACTACAAACGCGAACACACAATCGAGTCTTACTACCAAACGACCTCACAGGGGTTGCACAGGGGATGCAAAATCGATAAACCGATTGGAGAAAAGGCATTGAGGACAAATCAAAGCAGTCTAATTCGTCAAGGATTAGATGACAAAGCATTGAAAGAAAAAGGGATAAAAGATTGAAATAAAGAAGGCAACATTTTCAGGAAGAGGTCCAATGAGAAAGAAACAACACCATCAGGATGGTCGAATGAATACACATACATGAGGGAGCCGAAAGCTACGACCCACAAAAAACCTGACAAACTCACCATCGGTGGAGCAAGGCATCATACTCTATCGAAACCAAAGACTGCATGTTCACTTCTTCCCGAAGAGGTTGAACCCGCTCTTCTTGGGGGCGGGGGCGGGGGCGGCAGCGCCCTTGTTGGCGCCGACGGCAGGTCTGCCATTGCTCTTGCCGCTGTCCACCTTGTTGAGCACATCGTCCGTCTCGCGCAACGCATCCTTGTCGAGCGCATCACGGAACCAATCCAGAAACCCCTGCTTCTCGCCTTTGTTGACGGCCGAGGCACGCAACGAAATCATGGGGCTAGGTGCAGCGGTGACTGCCAAAGAGGTCACGCCCATCGTCATCGCCATGGCTGCTGCTGGGGGAAGGGAACAGTAGAAGCGATGGGAACAAGTGAGTGGGGAAGGGCGAGGTGGGGGAATGGGATTCCGGGGCAAGGTCGGGCGGGGGACACACTCGGTGAAGGAAGATAAGCGAGGAGAATGGGATGAAGTAGAGAGAGGGAGCAGGAACGCAGCATTCGTGCAACGGGGGGTTGTGCTTTCGGATGAGAGACGTGTGGGGGCCTGGCTCTCACCACACACTCCCCACCCTCGCGCAGCCATGGCCTCATCCTCCGCGGCCCCACCACGGATAAGCCCCCCCCCCACCCCCTTTTTGCGAAACCCCACACACACACCTACAGACACAGACACACGCACTCAGGCTGCGACGTCGCGGCGACCCCGCCACCGCAACGGTCGTCCATTTAGTGAACGATAGTCTATATGTGTGACGATAATCCGTCGCTTGTTTGACGGTCGCCGGCGTTTGAGACGATAGCTGATGCCGGTAACGAGAATGCGTCGCATGGAAAACGATCGCCTGAAGGAGTGACGATAGCGCAAGTAAGTGACGATAACTGACTGTTTGGATGACGATGGTTCATAGTGGTGACGATAAGCCATATTCTTCGTCCATTTCAACGCCTCCGTCCATTGATATTGCTCCTGCTGCTGCCACTGTTTTCATCTTCTTCTTCTCTCATTTTTTTTTTCTTTTTTTTCTTTTAAAAAAAAATTATGAATAAGTCATGAAATGTAGGGGATGCTTGAAAACTTGTGTTGTGTTTGAGTTGGGGAGTTGTTTCTTTTTTATATGTATTTATTTTATTTTATTTAGTCTTTTTTTGGTGTGTGTATTTTGACTGATTTTTACTTATTTTTATTTTTATTCTTTTATTTATATTTTTTATGATGTTATTGTGTTTCTGAGTGGGTGTTGGTTGGTAAGGCAAATGAGAATGTTTGATGTATTAATCCACAAACTTCTGACTAAACTATTGTACTTCCAAAACTGCAACATAATCTTAAATTATATATTTCTCAACCCACAAACAAATTTCAATACCAAACACTTTACTTCTCCGAATTATCAACTTTAATTGGCAATGTAACTAAGAGCTGCTGTTTCTTTTTATCCCATTTTGCGTTACTTTGAAAATTATCTACCTTGTATTTCAAATCCACCTACAAATAAATCACACATTATAAAAAAGAATAGTTTGTTAGTTGTTTTTCTATTATATTTTTAAGTATACATGTGTACATAGATATGAAAATTTGAGAACAAAAATATTTCAAATTATGTTCCAACATTTTGATAATTTTAATCATGAACATTTATTTTGTAATTAAGATGAATGTAACAAACAAATGATGTCAGTGGCAATATAAAAACTCAGATGTGAATATGAATTGGTGAATTACCTTGAGTCTATACTTCCCGGGAACTCTTAGAAATACTTGGTCTTTTTCAAGGTCCAATTGCACATCATGGACACTAGTCTGACATTGTATGTCTTCTTAAATACCATAGGAAATATAAATATAAATATATATATATATATATATATATATATATATCTGAATTATGGCTTATTTAAACTGATATATATATATATATATATATATATAGTAATTTGTTACATCATTTATAATTGTGTTTTGTATTACAATATAAACGTGATTTTGAAAAAATGGATTGCGTTTTTCTTTAAACCTCAAAGTTAGAATTTTCACTTACAACATCTTTTAAATGGACACGCAATACAATCCATGTTGGACTTGAATTCTCATTGTTCAATTTGGTGTCTTCCCTGCCAGATCAAATTACAACAATTATACTCTTGTGTTTAATTGCTGACCAGATAATTAAATGCAATGAAACTTTATGATCCTTTGGAATTGTTTGAAGTGTGAATCCTTTTGTTCTGTTGGATGAATTGAATATGTTGTAAATTTCTTTACAATACAATTTAATTTATGATCACGTTAAACTTATTAATACTGTATGATATAAATATATATATATATATATATATATATAATATGTTGAAATCAGATAATGGATTAGAAAAATTGTATATTAACTTTTGAAATTGTCGGTATTTACTGAACCGATAAATCATGTAAATCATGTATCATATTAACAAAAAAAAACAAAAAAAAAAACAAAACAAAAAACTGGTTGTTTAAATTTAATTTTTCTATTCATGTACGATCAATTGTGCCAAAAAACATACTTACTACACTAATCAAAACAATAACATACAATTTCTATGCATCAGTTTAGAAGTAATTCATGTAACAAGTAGGATCATAAGTTAGACATTCCCGATTTTAAAGCAGGGATCAGTACACAAAATATCAAATTTCAATTTCAAAAATTAGATTTGTAATGTGTTTTGAATTAAAGATTGAATATAAATCATTTCATTAAAATTTTGAATGGAAGTGTCACGTTAGTTTTAAGTCAGGATTGAGATTGATAATAACAATTCAATACAAGACTGAAATTTATGTAATTCAATTTTAATATTAATCTTTCATGCAAGATTGAAATGTTCCTTATTATTTTCTCTAATTAGTATTACTTCTTTTTGGAGAGCTAATAAAAATCACTTAAAATATGCTCTGCACAAAGCTTTATAATTAACAGTATTAAAATTTTCTTGTGGATCTTTTTTGCAATGCTTTGCAAAGATATATATATATGGACTGATTTGAAAGTTTCAATAGATATATATATATAGAGAGAGAGAGAGAGAAAGATAGATATATTTATTCACACACACACAGTTAAAGAAAAAAGATTGTACTTAACATTCTTTTCATTTTCACTGCCAGAATGAAATTGAAGAACACTACAACTTCATTTACTAATCATTTACTAATCATTTACTTAGTTCTAAGCTAATAACTAAACAATTGAACAATCTCTCAAAAAAGAAGAGTGAATAATAATAATAATAATAATAATAATGATGATAATAATAATAATAATAAACAATACAAGTTATGAAAATTTGTCCAAAGTATGTTCAAAGCAAAACAACAATGTGACAACTATAATTGACTATAAGAGCAAATCCTTGACAACATTAAAAAAGAATTATGATTTAGAATACTATGGTTCTACTACGAGAAGGTTCTACAATTAAGGTTTTGAATTAGGGTTTATGAATTAGGGTTTTGGATTAGGATTTATGAATTAGGGTTTTGGATTAGGGTTTTGAATTAGGATTTGTGGGTATGTGGGTACCAGTAGTGGGAGTAGTCCACAGTGCTGCGGTGGAGCACCTCAAACATGGGCTCCGTCTCCGACCTCCACTCAGCCAGTGCCCTGCTCTCCATGGCCGACCCTGTCTCCCCTGCAGCATGACCGCAACTTGGCAATGCTCCTCCCTTATCTGCCCGTCTCCTCACATTCCCATCACAACCCAATTCTATGGGGCTCGGCCTTTTAGGGTTTTTGCCATCCTTCGTCTCCAATGCCATTTGGGGTGTCAATGACGCATCATCATCAGCCTTGCCTTGTGCATTGCTCCCTGTGTTTTTGGGTTCCTTGGGGATGGTGAACACACGCGGCTCTTTGGCTCCGTTTTTTCCTTTGTAGCTCATCAATGGCAGGGCAAAATCTGAACCATCACTGCTGCTGCTTTTAAAATCAGTGTAACAATCTCACATTGAGTAATACAAATGTGAAAGTTGGGTGTTACATGGTTTTGTAAACAAAAAATTTGTTGAACAACTTCATAGAGTAAATAAAAATGGTTACGTGATCCAGGTACCTTTGCTTAATTCAATTGATTTTTGCTTTTCAATGGCTTCAATAGCAGTCAGAATGAGGAATTGCTTGAATGGTTTGTGATCTTTTGCATTTTCATGAGTCTTCACACCAACAATGAAATCAAAGACAATGCATTCTTTCCCCACTGAAACACATCATGGACAAATAAATTTATTCTCATGATTTTATTATTAAAATTCACAGAATTATTGAAATTTATACAAGTGAATATAATTTAAAGTAAAAATAGACACATCCCTTTTGCAATAATAATACTATACAACTAAATATTGAGTAAAACAACCTTTGATAAACGGTTGTTAACTTTTAATTATGTAACTAGTAAGAGATAAAATCTAAAATTTTAATGAGTTTTAATTAGTAGTTTATTTATGATAAGAACTATCTGCTTGTGCAAAAATGTAAGTATTATCAACCCTAAACCCTTTAATAAATCAACCAAAGTAATAAACATTAATGTTTGAATTGGATAACAAATATAACAGTAAAAATGTTCTTCTGAGAAATCCCCATAGCAATTTATACAGCTATTTCTTCTTAATTTTTAACAATAACAAACAATAAAAAATTATGAAAATAACCTAAAATTTATGCCAATTAATGCATGACTTCATAAATGTTTGCAACCAATAACTCTTTTTTTAGCCAAAAAAATTAAAAATCATTTTTTAAAAAATTATCTTCTAAAGTGGAAATAATAATATACTTTAAAAAAATTAAAAAAAACTTTCTATGGTACAAAATATTAATTTAATGCTACAGTAAACTGCAGTAAATTATAAAATTATAATTTTAATAATATACTTTAAGTAAAATCTTTCTATGGTAAAAAATATTAATTTAAGTTGTTAATTTATAAAATAATGGATTTTGAATTTTTTAATTTTTTTTTGAATATTTTCTTATTATCATTAAAAGGAATAAATTTATCCAAAAGAATTCTACAACTTAAAAAAAATTATGATGAAAGTATGAAGTATTTTTGAGGATTTTGCAAGTATTTCAGACACAATTGCTGGCACTTACCTTTATCAATATCTAACGAAGGGCCTCCCAATGAATATGGTATCTCCCAATGAGTGCCTTTTTGAATGGAATCATCATAAGCTTTAGAATTTTTAATTTTCTCACAATAACAAATATTGATGAAAACCTAGTCAATTGGATGTACCACAAAAAACACACACACACACACACACAATTTGATAATTAGAAATAAATACCTAACAAGGGCATTACAATTCATAAACAAATAATGTTTTAAAAAGCTTGTATTTTATTGCATTAAAGTATCTAAAACTTGTGGGTTGGGCTTTGGAAATTTTTTTCATGGTTTAAGCAATTTATTATTCCTTGGAATTAGTTAAAATTAAATTAATAGAGATTTAAACTAGCTGTTTAGGATACTGAAAATTACTGTTTGTCTATATTTACGACATGTCATTAGATGTGAAATATGATTATTCAGAACAATATAATTATTGAAAAAAAGGTATTATGATATAAAGATCAAAATCTTAATTTAATGGAAATATAAAAGTTCAACTGTGATTTCATAGATATACATAAAGTGATTTCATTTAATTTTATTATCGATCCTCTATTGTTGAAGTCCAAAATCTTACATTCAAAAAAACATACAATAATGATAACAATAACATAAATACAATGTATTTAGAGTTTTGCAATCTATTGAGAAAATATGCTTGTGACATCAAAACCTTGGTTATGCTACTATTGTGAAGACCTTTTGTTTGGTCTTGAGATTATGAGTTTTGACGCAAAAGTCTTTGAGTGGAAGTAGCAAAATCTTGCCCTCCATACAAAACCCTCCATTTGGGGAGTTTTGGCCTCGCTCACATTGCTTAATGTGTCTCTCCATTGCCTACACAAAAATCCAATTCCAAAAACAACCCAATTATTCAAAATCATCTTATATCTTCATAGAAACAAATCATGATAGTCTTCAATATATATATATATATATATATATATATATTTCATGCTACATGTAAATGTTGTTTACTAGATACCTCTTTTTCATCACAATTGGAGATTTCTTTGATATAGTCCATAAATAATTCTTTAAACTTGGGGTCTTTCATAGCCGTTGCAAATTGACCCACTTCCTATGGCACAATAAAAGACAAAGAAGAAGAAGAAGAAGAAGAAGAAGAAGGCCATCATCTTTTATGTCGTAGATTGTACATTGAACTCTTTGAGGAATTGACTTCAAGAGGTGGTGCAAGGAATGACACAATAGTTCTTCCACTTTTTAAAAGCAATTTTCACACAAATTAGGGTTTTAAGAGCTTACTTCGTTACTCATGTTGAGACTCTTAAGATGCTCCATCATTTCAGCAGCTTGACAATCAGAACCCATATGTTTTTTAAAATTCTTCCTTTCTCACAATGTTCTTTTGTTTTCTTGGTTGTGTGAGTGTACACTCAAGTATATAAATGTATGAATTTTTTAAAATTTGATTAATCTGCAAAGCCTCATGGATGCTCTCATTGAGACTCTCTCCCAAAATCTGTGAAGAAATTGCAAAAATCTGTCTGAGGACCTAAAGTGGTAGTAGTGAAAAAAACACTTTGATAGCATTTAGTATTCTAATTTATTATTCTAAACCTTGTGTTAAGTCTAAATTTTGAATTGTGAAGAATTTCGATGTGTGATGTGGATTTATGTGGTCATTTAAAGTAAACTATTCCATCTGTTTTGACACTTTTTCCTTTTTTTATGTGTTATTGTTAATGAAGTAGATTTTTCTTTAGAGAATCAATACTACAAATTTTTAGAACCTTTTGTGATATCTATATATATATATATATATATAAACATATTAACAAGTGAGAGTATTTGGGATCTGCATTTGTTGTTGAGTAATTATTTTAATCCAACAGAACCACAAAATAATTTGGATGTTTTATATTTACATTGTGTATACTTTTATATATTGCAAATAAGCTGTACCTGTCATAAAAATAATTATGGTATGAATAAATATAAAACTAATAATTATATTTCTTCAAAATTATATATATATATATATATATATATATATATATCAATGATGTTTGTCAAAAAGAAAAAAGAAAGGTTTTGTATTAAGAACATAATTATATTGTTGTGCTTATCATTTTTTAATGTGATTATTAAGTTTTATTTTCTAATTGCTAAATGATATCAAGGAATTTGATTAATTAAAATCTGATATTTTATAAGTTATATATTGGTTAATGTTGATTAACAAGTTTTTTAATGGTTGGATTTATCAGAACATCATAAACATATGAATTTGGTGATAATATCGATTAAAATAAAAATTGACTTGTAGCTATGAGAAGTTAACTTTTTGAAGAATAAAGTTTGATTTACAATAAGTTTAAAAAAATTGATTGTATCAATTGTCAACATTAGAATAGAATTTTAACCATAAGTAGGTTTAAGTAGTAATAATTGGTTAAATCAATCCATGGCTTAAAAGTTTACAAAGTTATCATTATAATGAAAACCTTAAAATGTTAAGGTGATTCATTAGAATTTATTTCTAAAAATCAGCATATTAACAAATTTTGACTATCCTTATTCCGTGTTAAAATTTGTATGCTCACTGTTATGTGTGTATTGTTTAATCTGTGTGACCATAATATTATTTCAAAAACTCAGAAATCATTCAACTCTTTAAAAGCTGTGTTAAAATTACACACATTAAAAATTTACAGTTTAATTATACAATGTCTAAATTAGTATTGTTTTGTATTAGATTATTTTCAGTAATTGAACCCTTACTTTCATAATTGTGTTAAAAAAATTTACTATTGTTACATATGAATACATATATATATACATATATATATATATATATATATATATATATATGTGTGTGTGTGTGTGTGTGTATATTTGTTTATTTATTAGTGGTAACATAATATTCAGAACTACATTGATTTCTTTTCTAAAACATTGTACATTAGTTGTACTTTTGAGACAGCCTTTGCCTAAAATATTAATATACAAACAGACAAAGTCTAATTTTTAAAACAGATGTTATCACACATTTAATGTAAAATTTAAATCAAGCAACGATACTCCATAGGTTAGTAAATAAATAAAAATTGTATTGGCCAGGGAATGAAAACTGTGTTTGAAAATACAATATTATATTAACTGTATGTTTCCCATTGACACGAGAGGTTCAACTTCGAAGAAACAGAACCACCCAGACCAGCTCACAAGATCAAAGAATTGATTCACATAGTGTGCATTTACAAATTCAGGTACAAGATAAGAGGCGATTTAAGAGTTGTGAAGTATTGCAACCAACCGCAATGCGGTTGGTTCCATAAACAACCCATAAAACAAGGCATTCTATTGCCGTGTTATGTACCCTGACTATGAAAACAAGGCAGTTTCTCCGAGAGACGAAGTAAAAAAAGAAGGCCCGCTGCTACAAACTTGGCTCTCCAAAGTAAAATACGATCAGTCCTGCTGTTTACCGAGTCACCATAAAACAAGAGAGTGCTGGCCCACATCAGTATCAAGACTGAGGCCGATTTCTGTGCAAAATTTGACTGCAGAGTGTGATGTTGAATGGATTGGGCTAAAAACGCGTGACCCTAATAGTTAGTGCTATGCATACCTAGCTAATGACCCATTGGGTAGCCCTTTCTATACTCCTTATTCCAGAATAGGCTCTGGCGTGCGCACACAAAAAGGGAAATAAATACATACAAGGAAAAAAACGAGATAATATCCAGATTCCACCAGGTTCGGACTGCAGGGAATGGGACCTTGGATTACAAGATCCAGGAGCGCTGGGGAGGAGCCACAGATTTAGAGCATAAGCTTGGCGAAGTATTCATCGAAGTCTCGATCTATCGTGGGTGCTACTGCATCATCTTGCACAGCTGCACAATGAACAGACAATTAAGTTTTAAGATGCTGACCGTTTCAATTCTAGTCAAAAATAAATGTGCCACATCTAGTGTGAGAGAAACACTGAGTAGAGTAAATGCGATGAATTCTCTAAATGCCTACGAAGTAAGATTCTCTCAAGACAAGACTGTACGGAACCTGTGAAACCACGGCTCAACGATAGCACACCATGCAATTCAGTGTCCTGAGCAGTGAGTCAATTCAACGCTCGAAGGTCAGTTCCATTGAAAGATCAAAATTCCGCAAACTGACGCTTCAGAATGGTCGTTGAGCATGTCACCGACGATTTATAGTCTTAACATACAGAATTGTACAAACGGACATACCTTCAACTTGGCTTTGTCGGCCTGATGAAAGCACAAACGTATGCTGCAGTTCTTTACTCCGCAACTTGTGCGCCTCTTTCTCCAATCGATACGACGAAAACGATGAGCGCCCAAGCTCTCGTCTGGTGTCGAGTGAATAAAGTCGCTCTTCGGATTCACTAGCCACAATACTCTCTAAGTTTTTTGAGCCTTCTTCTCCATTCTTGAGGAAATCGCAATTATCCACTCTCTTGTTCCTAACAGATGGCAAGGGCATTGAGCTCGAATCGCTAGAATGTAATACTGCTCCGTAAGATCGAATCTGACTACTCCCGGCGAATGACCTACTGGCTCCTGAGATACCAGACAACAAGCCACTACTTCTTGTTGATCGTCCATTATGCATTCCTGTAACGGGCTCCATATTTGTATAACCACGTAAATAGGCAGAGAGTACGTGCTCACTCAAGTCACAACTCCCCTCCTCATACTCGGACTCCAGCTTTTGCCTCTCTTTCTGGATGTAGGAACCAAGTTGTATTTGCAGTAGGTTGCTGCCTCCGGTCCACAAGTCGTCCCTTTGCTTCCTAGATTTATCTGACGAAGACTTGTCCCGTTTGGCAAGGCCAAAAAAGTCATGGCACTGGAGGTTTTGCTCACTACAACCTTCTTCACTGGAGTTGAAAGTGCTAGTGGCACCCCTGCTATCCTCATCATCGCCGGCAGTGTAGTTATCTGTACTCCAATTGCTGGTGTCTAATACTGTAGCCCCCAACGCCGCTGCAGAAGTACCGCGTTCTAAACCGCGTTGGCTTGGACAAGATGATACAACACAGTGACTCGGCGTAGCGTGAGGCTTCACAAAGTCCGAATTGCAGTTGGATGAATCCACATTATACTCCGTAAATTCGTGCCTGTTCCGCTTGTTTGGATCATGCTTTATAGTAACGTCTGTTTCACCACTTGGTAAACTGAAAACACCAACATTGCAATGAATTTCGCCAAAAATTAGTCTCACCGAAGTCAACGTCTGGATGTATCAAACCCAGAATTTCACCTCCCACGGATAACAAGACGTGTGCCACAATGAAAAACTATTCAAGACCTAAGATCTCCCGATCACGAAAAATGTGATGTTCAGATCATTGGTTTTGTAAAAGCGTAGGATGCAAAAATGCGTACATTTAATCAGAAAACTCATCTCGAAAAATAACGAAGAAAATGAGCGAAAGAAGGTGCACATATCCACAAACAAACCCACTGAACCCTTACTTAAGAAAATCTGCATGGTGCAGAGTAACAAAGGATGTTCAAATCCTACTTCCAACTTCACAGTTGAAACCGCCTCTACCCAACCAAGAGCAAAAATAAAGATACAATGCCCGAATTCCGCGACGTTAACGCATACGAGAGGACTTCGATGCTAATGGCTGAGGCACCGTCACAAGATGCTTCGATACGAGAACACAAGGCAAACCCAGTAAGAACCTACACCCTGTGCTGCGGCTGAAATGGTGTTCAAACACACGAAATGAACTTGCAAACCGACCTCAACGAAACCTCGGCCGACCCAGCAATTGACACCTAAAAAGACGTGCCTGTGCGTTCAGACTGAACAAACTCACCCTAGGGAACAATACAACGTACAGACTGCACGAACGAACTAGCGCACGAGAAAGCTAAGTAGTGCTCAAGAGGACTCACGTTTTGCGCTTCCGAGTTTCTAGGTTGTTGACAGTGAGGCCTGCGTTTTCACAGGCATCCGAGACGGGTTCAGCAACACCAAACTCACAAGGATCCGTAAGCATGGCCACCAACCCCACCCGGTCACGCCATATTCTCACACTAGACGCCGTCCCTCCCACACCATCCACCTTCCCCGTCGTCATCGGTTTGATCCCGTCAGCTGATACGCCCTCCGCCTTCCGCACTACGCACCCAATTTCTCATGCTATGTAAAATTCCACCCCTTAACCCCACTGATACCCTCCTCTTCTCTCGATTCTCACCCCAATAACATCTCTCATCCCCGTCCTACTCCACAAATTAAGACGATCAAGCCACGAATTCCAGTCGCAGTCTACCAAATTCCACTCCAACATCCAACCCCTTCCCTGTCATAAAACAACACCACGCTCTCGCTCACGGGCCAAATTTCCATCCAACGGCAAAACCCCGAATAGCCTCAGCTCTTCTTCTTCTTCTTCTTCTTCTTCTTCCTCCGCCTCCTCCTCCTCCTCGCTAGCTACACGGATAGCTCACTCGGTGCTCTCTTCAACCAACCCACTTCACGTTCCATCGGCCGCCCGGCGCGCTACCTCACCCTCGCCACAACTCTCCCCCCTACGTTCTGCCCGAGACAAATGTGATCCTGACCCAGAAAAACTCTCGCTGTGAGTCCGAATGCTCCAAAAGCGAAACAGCAGTAGCAGCAGCAGCACTTTCACCCAACGCCCTAATCGCGAAAACCAGAAATCGAGTGTTGACATTACCCTGCTACGACTAAAAACTACTGCTAGAACCCCCGAGCAGAGTGGCGATGGGGTTGTTAGTAGCCCCTCCATCCCCTCCCTCCTAAGCGACGCGGTCCCCCCACATTACCCAAACCCACACAGCCCTAAAATCGTCGCCTTGGCTTAAAGCGGAATTTGGACCCATCCCGGACGGATGTTCATCCGCGTCTGCCTGCCTATCCCAGATTGCTTTTGTGCGTTTCTTCGTCGATCTGGGGCCTGTTGTGTCTCGTTCATCCCGCTGTGCATCCTGTCGTGAAATTGGGTGGAGCCCTTGGAGGATGACTCTTATCGGCACTTTTTCGTTGGATCTCCGACGAGATGTTTGCCTGCCACACGCTCGCGGAGGATGATAGTTGCCACGGCAGCATCTAGAGAATTGGGTGTTTTAACAAATGTGTGCATCCTCCATCACAATGATTGTAACTTATTCTTACTGAATAAATAAATCATGTGTTTCTTTTCTTCTTTTTTTCAAGTTTTTGGTGTGTTTATATTGTTTAAACTTATGTTCAAAACGCTATCTCTTCGTCAAAGTAAAAGACAGATACTGTTTGTTGATTAAATCAGTGACCCGTTGTTGTGATTCGATAAAATCTTAATCCAAAAGTTTACACTGGAGCACCAGGAAAAAAAACACTCTTTGCTTTTTCATGTTAAAAGTACGATTTTCAGTTTATACTCGTTCATGCCAATCTCTCTTTGTGTCTTTTTCAGTATATAAATGGCAAGTTGTCTTGGTTTGTTGCAACAGATCTCCGCTTTTGTCACCCACCTTGGATCCCACCTCCAGCTTGCAGACCCAGTTGGCGCCAACTTGGCCTCATTATCATCGCACCAGTTGCCGCTATCAAGACGGGATCAGCACAGAACAGCACAGCGCATCGCATCCCCTCGAAGGAAGGACAACACGGCTTCCTCTACTGCCGCTGCTGCTGCTGCCGCAGATCTTCGGTACGTTGATACCGAAGCCTGCGGCATCTGGACGACATACAATCTGCCGCCTCCATTAGTTTCCAAGTGTCCTCTCCCGCACCTGCCGGTTCCACCTGGGCTAAGCGTCTTGGAGACCTAAACAAATCGAGGCGTGGACAGTTGGTGTTTTTGTTTTTAAATATGAACAGGATCTTTGTTCGGTTGGAAAGAGAGACACCGGAATCGCCTCGCCAACCGCTGGCGGAATTCAACGCTGCTGAGTTCTACATCTATTTTTTTTTTCAAATCTGTTGCGTGCAACAACGTCGGCGAAAAAGATGCTAGAACTTGGTTCTTCGTAGCCACGCGAGTCGTGCATCATAGGTAGATGGCAGGGAGTTAATGATCAAACGAGGCTCTGTTGGGCAAACAACCTAGCAACTTGACAGAACAGAACATAACGCCACTAGGCTAGAAATAATACAAAAACATGGAGCATCGCGGCAGATGTTTCGCAGACTGCATGGGGAGGCTAATCAGCGACACACTGCGATGTGCAGCGTGAAGTGGCACACTTCGGAACTCATCCACACATGGCTATAAATCCGCAGGATGGCCACGTTAGAGATAGGAACCAGTGGCAAGAGGGAGTGGGGAGCGGCGGTGTGATGCAGTGCAGGGCTGTGGTGAGGTGAGGTGCGGTGCAGTGCAGTGAATTAAATGCGAATGGCGATGATGTATCTGGTCGTGGATACGATAGTCGAAAGCGGCGCGGAGCCACGTGAAAATGCTTCCAAACCTGGCGATGGAGCCTGACATCGCTCCGCCTCCGCCATAGCCTCCGCGCACACTCACACACACTCCCCCGACGGACGGACAGACCCCGGGTGGACTGAGGGGCCACACATCACCTCTGTTGCCATCCCACGTTCATCACACCCTCATCCATTTGTTTTCATTGATGTATTTCATTCGTTTTACTTTTATCCATTTGCTTTATTTCACACGCGGCATGGTAGCAACTTCTCACCTTGTGCGTCTTCGAATGTTGCAAATTAGTGTGGGTTTGTTTGAGCTTTAATGGGTGGCAACGAAAAGTGTGATTACACTTATTGAAAGGTATTATCCATTATGCTTTTAACATAAAATTTGTTGTACACATATTAAATTGGATTTGCATTTGGAATATTAATATTTTAAAATAACATGAAATAAAATCATCAACTTTTGTTATACATACTGCACCAACTAATAAAATGAATCCATTTATTAAGTTTTGAATGTGGAAAGACGCTTGATCCTGAAAAATACATATCAAACATTTAAATGTGTATATGTGCAAGTATTTTTACATCTTTATTTTGTTTTGTGCTTTATTATATGAGATATTTACTAAAATATGGTTATAAATACACGAAAGTATATATACATAATAATCTTATTTTTAAAATGGTATTAATTTGGACTATATTATAAATCAAAATAAATCCTCAATTACTATTTAAAAATAGTCATAATAAGTATATATTTACACAAATACATTTGGATTTATATCCTGTAAATTACTTCAAAGTAGAACTAAATAGTTCGTACTTTAATATGATGCATTGATAATTTTAGAATTAAAATAACAAGTTTATAGGATTTAGATTTTAGAATGTAAAATTTGGTATTAACCACTGTTCACCCGAAGTCTGTCAATGAAGTGCAAACTATACAAGATTATTTTCACAAACACGTGAAGTTTGTGTTGAGAACAATAATAATAAAATGTTATATATGAATATAATTTATTAAGTTTTGATTTTTTATGAAAAAACCTTAAATAAATAAGATTGTATACTGGCTTTATGTATAGTTTTTGAAGAAGCATTTTAGCTTCACAGACGTGCATAATAGTTTTATTTTTCTTTAAAAAAATTTGGAAACCAAATGATTCAATAGAAAAGGAATCAGTTTTGAAAAGAGGCATGTATTGCAGAGGAACATAATTCTTTCTATCATCCTTGTCAATTGACAATATCAAAGTTAAATATAGTTCATGTTATGAAAATATTTAGCTTACACTTTTCATACATTTAAAAAAAAAAGAAAAAGAAAAAAAAGTTACTCTTTAAATTTTATATTTTACGTTACAATTTAACTACTAATAATGAGGGCTTGTGTTTTAAAAAAATCGAATCAAAATAATATACCACAAAACACCAACGCATCATGACATTACCTTGAAATTGTCATTTTTGAAGCTTTTTTTTTTATTAAAAAAATTAAAAATTAAAAAGCTCGTTCAGACGCTGTTGGAAATACTAGACAGCATTTCGGCAAACATCTTGATCCCAAAAATAACCTCCAAAATCGTACAGAACAATCAAGTCTGTCATCTTACAAAGTATTCTGAAACAAGTGTACATTCAACAACAGGAAAAATGATTACGAGATATAACATTCTCCACAAACTTAGTACATTTATAATGTTATCTCTCTCTCTCTCTCTCTCTCTCTCTCCCCCTCTCTCTCACTCTATATATAAGGGCACCTTTCACAACAACAATCTAAACCCCATCAACCGAAATTCACACATTTATTTATTTATTTATTTATCATTGTTCACTAATCACATCCACTTTGCTTCACAAAATCGTGTAGAAGACTGGATAATTCTCATCGTTTGTCAAGGGTCTAGCAACTGGGTCACAATCTCATCCATCCTCTGAACATACACTCAAACGTCGAAACCAACCAACCAAACAATGGCGAAGCAAAACATGGGTGTGACTGACTACTCGGGATGCACAGAGAAGCACAAGCCGAGCTATGGAAGAGTAACAGCCCCAGCCATCAGTCACGGTGGTGGCGGTGGTGAAGTCGGTGGTGTCGGTGGTGAATCGAAGTGACTGACTGACTGAGTGGCGATGGTGAGGGAGGGAGATCCGCCCATAAAGTGAAGAAGGAAAGTCGGGAGAGAGAGCAAGAGAGAGTGAGGGAGAGGAGGGAGCGGGCACATCGGGGGAGTTTGCAGGGACTCCTCTCATAACTGCTTCTTCATCAGTTGTAACAGTCCGCCGCCACTGCAGTAAGAACAGATCAGGACAGAACAGGACGGGAGAAACAGAGGGGCCTCAAGGAAAAGAAAAATGGAAAAGGAAAGGATGTGGAGGAGGAGGAGGGGATCATGGGTGCTGCTGCTGCTGCAGCGAGGGGTATTTGCAGGAGGAGGAGGAGGTGGAGGAGGATTGGATGATCAAGCGAGGAGGAGGGTGGAGGGGAGCAGTGGCATTGGCAAGCTCCTGCTGCTGTTGTGGTCATTTCATCTCGTGGCGTCCAGCTTCCCTCTACAGCTTCTCGCATCTGGGTCCACCACAGACGCAGCGCATGCTCGCAATCTCGCCACCCCGCTCGCGTCGCCACCCCAGCGCAGACGAGGTTCAACTCACACAACTCCCATTCTCAGTCCATTGTGGGTCTTGCATCCTCAGCTTCATGAGCGTCATGACTTTCATGAGTCTGTGAACTCACCGTGGGATATAGTGACACACGTTGTTGTTGTTGTTGTTGTTGTTGTGTGTACGTGTCCGCAGTGGGTAGGTTTGCTCTTGAAGCGAGGCGGGCGTCGACGAGCGCGCGGCGGCTGTCGGCGCCCTATGTGTGTCGATGGAATCAGGAGATTTGCAAGCAGGAGGCGATCGCCGTGCTGCTAGGACCGGACTGCTGCGGGTCCGTGTGCACCGACCTGAAAAACGACATCTTCAACTGCGGCTCCTGCGGGCACATCTGCTTCTACGGGAGTGTGTGCTGCAACGGCGATTGCGTGGATGTGTTCAGCAATCATCGGCACTGCGGGGTGTGTCACAACACCTGCCCTTTCGGCGCCTTGTGCCAGTTCGGTTTGTGTGAGTACACATGACGGCTCCACTACCACCAGAAATGCACTGCAATCCCGCGCAATTGCTCACCCGCGGCACTGATTCTGATTCCGCTTGTGTTCACTGTCTGAAGCGCAACGGTGCGTCATTCTGGTTGCCGCTGCCGCCGCCGCCGCTGCTGTTGCTCCCTATCTTTTGTTTTGTTTTGGTTTTAATTTTTAATTTTCTTTTTAGTGTTGCTATTTTTAGTGTTTCTTCTTTGGCCATTGCAGAAATGGGTCTCATGCGATCAATTGGGTTGCATCGCCTCCCAATTGTGGATGTGACCATCATTCATGACTGGAAAGGGAGAGTGAGAGAGCGATGAAGCGACACGACTAGTTGGGAATGGAGCCTTTGTACAACCATTCATTCCCCTTGTTCATACATTCCATTGTGAGGGTGTGTGTACATGTGTGTATGTAAATAAATAAATAAATGTGTATATATACACACAAGAAGGTCATGGATTCTTACATTTCCATCTGTGCACTGTAGATTTTTTTTTCTTCATAACTTTTCAATAGGAAAAAATTCATGTAGGTGTACCTTCATTTTTTGCAGATTTAAGAAAAAGGGAACTCTTGTTTGTTTGTTTTTTATGTTCTTTGCTTAATTCCTCTGGTGTTGATTGTAAAAATAATTATGTTACAGCACGTGAATAATGCTTTATTTCAAGTGAAATTAAAGGATGCAATTAGAAGTAGCAATTTACTAAGTTTCCAAAAGGTTTTTAGCTGAAAAAAGTGGTGAAACCTATTGTACATATTTTGCAAATTAAAAACTAAAATACTGAGTAAAAATGAAAATACTATGCTGCATGTAGGCTATCCTTAGTAGAGGATTAGGACGCTCTTTTGTTTGAAACCAAAAATTTCATTTCAAAGGTCTGTTCAGTTTTATCAAAAAACCTATTTTATCAAATCCAAATTAAATTTGAAAAGTGACATGAAGGGAATGTATTCTGCTAAGATTTATATTAAAATTCGGTACAACTTTGTTATTATATAGAAAATGAAATTAAAAAAAAAAAAAAAAAAAAAAACAATATGTGTCTGATATTAACCTCAAAAATGGTCTGAGTGAAGGTGAACAGTTTTGGCTACACTCTCATGGTGATGCACATTCCTCACTTGACTGTTAAGAAATAGTCCAAAACTTGATTTTATTTTATTTTATTTTATTTTTCTTTAATTTGAAAAAAAAATATTTAAGTTTTGATTATCATGGATTTACAATATACAAAATCAAATTCCATTTCTATTAAATGTTTGTATCATGTTTTTGGAGTTTGAACAATGAATTCATATAAGTTTGCATCAACATGTATTTTCTTAGGCAATAACATTCAAATGTATTATTATAGAATACAAATTTGGTACATTATGTGCTGCATATTCCATTCAATGCACATAACAATAATAAAAGCAGGTTTACAAAAATTGTAACGTCACATGAAATACTAAAAATTACAACATGAGTTATATTTTATTATTATTTACATTTACTGATCTTTTCATACTTCTTGAGGCTGTATAAAGATCAATTTGTATTGATAGGATCTTACAAATTTTAAATGTGGTGCAACTTGAATATATGCTACATTCAAACATAAAAACTCATTCGAAATTCATTCTTAAAGTAATATAATATGTGTCTAAATTTAAAACAAGAGAATTATTCTTTCTAGTACTACTATTTCATCATTTTAAAATTTAATGAGCATAGAAATACTAACAACAACTAGCAACAAAATAGAATCATGAAATGCATCAGCATAAATCTTATGGTTGTAGACTGTTTTGACCTCTTTTTACATCAAAAGAAAGAAAGATAATATTTTTAAATAAGACTAACAAACAAAGAATCACTGCTTTCAATATAGAAGAGAAAGTAATGATTTTAGAAACTATTATTTTTATTTTATTTTTAATTCCTTACAATGATTTTTTTAAAAAAAGTCTAATGTTTTCAATACTTTTCAAAATAATATTGATGCTATCAAATTATATATAAATTTATTCATATAGAAAATATGTACATGTACATATATAGTACTTTATTGATACTTGGTAACATTAAAATGCTTGTAATTCTACATAAAATACCATTGTATTAATATTTCAAAAATAAATTATAAATATTAATGAAATGTTTGATGCTTGTGCAATATTATTATTTTCTAAAATATCATTAATTCTACTCTAAAACCCACAAATATTCATCCTTAAAAAAGATGATGTCCTGTAATAGTACTGATGAAAAGTTGGTAATCTAAAAAGAATTTAGAGTTATTTTTTTTTGTAAGTTTTAGATTTCTACAAACCCTAAACCCTTCAAATTCAAGATTTAATTTGTATTTATACATCCTTTCCACAACCATACACTTATCACATTTTTATTTGAACATGGAGAATGATGCATCTGGGTGCTGCTGATCAAAAAACAAAGTTTAGAAATAAAAATCATTCATTGTTTTAAACAAAACGGTATCTGAATCACACTGAGTGACACATTTCAAAATCATTTCAAGAGTTGTAAAATAGTTTGGAACTATTGATATGTTTCATTCTGAAAGACCTGATTACAAAATAAAAAAAATCTCAAATCAGCAAATTATTCTCAACAACTTTAAGAGCCAAGTGCAACACAATAGTAGCATTTTCTATGACATTATCTTTTAGATTCTATTTTTTTATGTTTATTTTTTAGGTGTGACACTTGAAACCAGTTTAGGAAATTGTTGTGTGAAACCCTAAATCTTGGTTTTGTGTGGGTGCTACAGATATTATTATCCAAGGAGTTGCATATTTAGATAGATAAATTCTATGCATCCTTGAAGAAAGAGAGATGTTTGTGAAAAAATAATTTCGAGTTCCCCTCAAATTTGGTAAATCCATTGAAAGGATCAAATCATATGCACCCTTTGGAACATATAAGAATTGAATTTGACAATTATGATAAAAAAATTTAAAAAAGAACACTAGTATCATGTATATTATAATTTGACAAAACCTAATCAACGAAAAAGAAAAGAAAAGAAAAGAAAAAAAAAATACATACATACATTTTTCTAACACCTAGTAAAAAAGAAGAATGAATCTATAACTTAAACACACAAAAAGAAAGATATATTTATATAAATAAAAAAATAAAAAGAATGGCAATGAAAATAATCTTGCGCATCAAAAATTCTCACTATCTTAAAATAGAATGCTGTTGCTACAACCATGAACGCAATGAAATTTACACGGGTTCTCAAGATTGCCTTATTAAGGTTTTTTTTTACAAATGCTACAACTCTTTGAAGATTCCATTCTATTCTATTCTCTCTCTCTCTCTCTCTCTCTTTCTATATATTTATATATATATATATATATATATATATATATTCTTAGCAGGATAAAGATTTTATTTTATTTTATTTTATTTTTAAGGCATGGGACATGGAATCCGGGCGGCAACTACGTTTGCAACAGTCCCACTCCAATTGGGTAATGGGGTTGATATATGTGCCCAATCCTGTGAAAATGCTCTTCTCATGTTCTCTTGATGCCACCATTCTCACTTGGAATGACACTGGACGGCTCCTTCAGGTAAGCTGCAAATTATATTATATTATATTATGTCACTATTCCTGTGTGGGTTTAGGGCATGCATTATAATGAGCTAGAAAAATAAAACAATAAATAATGAACACAGATCTTCACTTTGTGTGAACTTATGTTTCTCATCCGTGTTTTTTTAATTTTTAATTTTTTTTCAAACTACATAATGGAGTTGTTCGTACCAAACATTGCTTATTCAAGTAAAGTTCAGGGCACAGGGAGAAGAAGGTCTTTACTTTCTTTAATTTTAATTTTATTTCTTTTCCTTTTGTTGTTTTTGAAACAGGTTATAGAGTATGGTGGTCCAGTCTACTGCTTAGCATGGGATTCAAAACAAAGGCAGTTGTTTGCTGGAGGTCGTGGTGTTGTACAAATTTTTAAAGTGTTGCGCCCTTCAAAAAACTACATGCAAATGGATTCTGAAAAAAAAGCATCCAACTATGTATGGAAAATAAATAAATAAATAAATAAATACATGTTGAATTATATGTGTGTATAGTTCTGAAATAATGAATATAAATGACATACAAAATTTGTGCGTGTGTGTATTTATTTTGGTGAAGCTTACAATATAATCAATTGATGCAACCAATTTCATACTTTGTAAGACACACACAAGTATATGTTTTTCTTTTTATTGATAGGATCCATTGTAGGTCAAATTTTTGGAATTTGTATACTGTGTCCTAGCCCATGAAGATATAGTTCAAGCTATTTGTTGCTCCCGAAAAGGAAAAGTATTCACCACTGGGTGTGAACACAGACTCCTTCATTCTTCCTTCCCTTTTATTTATCTATGGATGTGTATATATATATATATATATGTGTGTGTGTGTGTGTGTGTTTGTTGTTTTTAATATTTTTTACATAGTGGATGTGAATCGAGTCTTAAATTCATGTGAACTTATTTTAAATTTTTAATTTAAATTTAATTTTTTTTGCAGCGTAGACAGAACCATATGCATGTTTGAGAGTGACAGACCAGAGGAAACAGTCAGAAAAGTTAATTGTGCCCATGAGGTACACAACATTTCTCTTTTTCTACCCAATTCCAACTTTTGACAAAACAAATCCACAACCATTGTTCACATTAATCTCTGCCTAAACCCCAGTCCTCCAAACAAATTATATATATATATATATATATATATATAAAACAATTAAAGCAATTGCATTACTTAATAATTCTCTCGGCAAATCCATTGCCTATTAATTTACACAGGTGTACTTGGTGATGTATGTTGGGAGTCCAGGGGGGAGTGACAGCCGCAGCATTTGATATGGATGCAAATTTATTGGTGACAGGAGGGTACGATGGGTCCCTTAACATTTGGAGCCCCGAGGGCCATCGCCTTGACTCATTCCCAAACCTCACCAACCTCATCACCTCCATTGCCTACCTCCCTTCCACTCACACCTACTGGGTTTGTGGCAAACACAGGTCCCTAAACCTACCTACCTACTTACCCACCTACAAAAATGTGTGTTGTGTGTTGTGTCTAAATATGAAACCACAACATCAAACCCCAAATCCTAAAACCCTAAAACCTAAGTCTTAAACATTAAACTCTTAAATCCCAAAACCCTAAAACCTTAATCTTCAACCCTAAACTCTTAAATTCTAAAACTCTTAAATCCTAAACCCTATAACCCCAAATTCTACACCTCTAAACCATGATGTGTGTTTGGGAGGGTAAGGTAGGTCGGTAGTGGTGATTGACCCTGTTGCTCCCGCCATTATCACTCAATGGGTGGCTGACACGTCACAACTCCATGACCTCCTCCTTCACAAGGTAAATAAATAAAATAAAAACAAAATTAGACGCCAACTCAGCAAACGGAACCCAGTTTTGTTGCAGGAGTGAGCTTTAAACGGAAATATATATAAAATAGTAAAAAACATAATTCATTTATCGCTTCATCCCCTCGTGTTTCATCTACGGAATGAGCACGTGATCTGCCAGGTGTACCACGTGGAGGGGAAAGACATGGTGATAGGTCTCTCGGAGGTGGAGCACGAAGTAATCGTGTGGAGGTACGACTGCCTCATCCCCCACCGCGTCCTCCACGGTCACGCCAACTGGATCCAGGCCCTGGTAGTCGCCCACCGGAGGCCGCTCACGGAGCGGCTCCTGCGCCGGGACCTGTCCAATGTGCAACCGGGGAAAGCGCTGAAGCCCGCGCCCGCGGACCCCCGGGAACGGGAAATCCGCTTCAATGCGAAGGGGCTGCGAGAGGACGGGTCGGGGAAACCCGTGCTGGTGCCTAATCCCGCGGAGGCAGAGCTGGAAGTGTATAGCGGGTCCAGTGATGGGTCCATCCTGCGCTGGATCCCTGAAGCCGAGCCGCACAAGGACCTATGGACGCAGGAGGAACTTACTCGGAAGCCCTCCTGTGCTATAGTCTGCATTCTCTACCACCCTGAGCTCGATCTCCTCCTCACAGGTACATGCTGCATTGGCTCACCATGAACTTTCACTTTTTCTGATGATTTTTTTAATGGGTTTTTGTGGGTTTTTTCGGGGGAGATATTGGGTTACTTTTTAATTTGGTGATACTGTGGCTAACAGGGTCAACAGATCCGTTGATTCGTGTGTGGAGTATGGATTCCCAGCAAAACATTCCACCATGGAGAGGTGGGGATATGTGTGCCAAAGGACCTGATCTTATGAAAGGGCATACAGACATGGTTGTGGGCTTGGCTGCTTGCAAGAAACTGGTACCCCCCCAAATTACCCAACCCACCTTCATAATTGTTCAATTCCTGATATACTGCAAGATCTCAAAACCCTAACTTTTGAAAACCCTAAACGTGTAAAAAAGAAAGAAAGAAAATGAACCTTTTTCAGTTCCTAGAATCTACTTTTTATGTTCTTAATTGGGCAGAGTGGTTAATTTGGAATTTGTGACATTGTTGTGTTGGTTTCATGACTGAAGAGACATTTACCCCCTCAAACTGGTTAAATTGTTATAAAGGGAAAGAAAGAAAAAGAGAGAGAGCAAGGTGTTTCCATGTGGAATGACCATGATGATTGTGAGGCAGGTGGTAGTTTCTGCATCAGCAGATAAGACATTGAAGTGGTGGAATATGTGCACGCGCTTGGTGATAGACACAGTTCAATTTGGTTCTGAGTTCCCGTTCCAGGTGTGTAAATTGTTTAATTTATTTTTATATATTACATTTTGAAATGTTAACCACTATCATATGAGTTTATTTTGTAATAGTGTATATACAAATATACAACATTTCAAAAATCAAAATTTACATGTAACACAATAATCCTTAAGTTTTGGGAGGTATTGAATGCTACATTTGATCGCAACAAGAAACTCTATACATTTATAAATATTAGTACTTTTAACTTTTTTATTTGTTTGTGTTTTACTCAGTAATGTGGATTTAGAATATTTGCATAACATGCTTATAATTGATACTGGTGTTCCAGTTTATTTATTTAATTGTTATTGTATATACATATGTAGGACATGGCATATAGTGATTCAAGGGAAGAATTGGCAACATGTGGTGGGAGCAATATTGTCAAAGTGTGGAATGAATTTACTAAACAAACCAAGTACCTCCTGCACGGGGAATTACCAGAAGAAATAGTTATGGTTTGTGTTCATATATATATTTATATATATATACACTCATGCAAACATTTACATGTGTGTATGTATAAGATTCACTGTGATTATTATTAATTCTTTCTGCTTTAATTTTTTATGTAATGACTTGAATTTTTTTATATAAAAAGGTTATTTATTCATTTATTAAGAACATTTATAAAAGAACCAAATTACGTACTTTTGAGTGCATAATTGTATTTAATTGTTTGGATTTGAATACTTTGATTTTCTACATTAATACAAATTAGTTCTTTTATATGATTTTTACTATAAATTTTTGTAAATTTTTATTTAAATTTTTTTACTTCAATAATAAATCCTTGAAGAATTAAAAATTATAAATAACAATGTGTTTGATATGTTCTAGTTGAATTATCATTTATGTGTTAAAATAATTATGGCTTGACTTATCATTGATTTTGTTTTTTTTCACTCTCTGTTTTAAGTCTACATTTATTTTCTTTCATTTTATTTGCACTCAATTAATCATTCTCAAATCTCTTCAGTGCATTAGAGTAAGAAAATAAATCACAATGAAAGTTACTGTTTTTACACTTGAAAGACAGTTCACATATCACACATGATTTTCAGTAGTCATTTTGTAATGTGATATTTACAGAATTGATTACTTACAAATAGTTTCAATATTGTGTGGCCAATGAGTAATTGTGGTAGAACATAGAGATATTACATGAGTTAGCAAAACAATCGTTCATGGGTTACTTAGCACTTACTTGAATAATCATGTTTTCTCATATTTTTATCATAAAAATGAGAAATAATTTTTCGGTTCAAGATTGAATTCATTTACTTATCCGTCTTCAGGTTATCTAACAGTCATTGAGTAAATTTTCTGCTTTTTTATTCAATAACATATGCATCAAAGTATGATTTTGAATTGTCAATATATATATATATATATATATAATTTACTTGGCCTTCAAATAATACAGCACACCTCAAATCTTGAGATTGGCTGGGTGATCACAAACTTTTGCGCAGTTAAGAGTCTGACTGAAATCCATCGAACAGACAACACTACAGTGAACATTACTGATACATCCACTGCATCCTCCTGCACAACTGCTTTCTTATTAATCAACTTCCTTCATCATCGTTTATCTTTCTATATATATCTCTCTCTCTCTCTCTCTCTCTCTCTCTCTATATATATATATATGTATGTATTTGTGTGTGTGTGTCATTAAAAAGAACATTAAGAGTATCGTCCATGCACAGACTTGTTCCATCCGACTTCTGAATCCGCATTGTGAATCCACCGACAGTGGCAAACAGTAAGAACACGCACTGTCGATAAGAAGTGCGGCGTGGCTCTGTATATGCAAGTTCACCAGTGTCGGCGAGAATCACTGACTGGGTGTTGTTGTTGACGGTGTTGCTGGTCGCGTTTGGCCAGGTGAAATGGTGCAGGTCGAATGAGGGACTGTGGGTCACGGGCGGAAGCGCCGGAACCGTGAGCACCTGGAACCCGGAAACGGCGGCCCCTATGAACACCTTAAACTACCGCAACCAGGCGATCACGTCGCTGCTGGTGGACGAGCACAACGACGCGCTGCTGCTGTGCACGCTGCACGACGCCTCCATCCACATGTTCAGCCTGGCCTCATTCCAGGAGCTGGTCTCCTTCTCCGGCCACCAGGACCAGGTCCACGCCATGGTGCACATCAGCACGCGCAATCAGTACTTGTCTAGCTCCTGGGACTTGACACTCTGCGTGTGGCTCATCCCCGACGCAGCCTCTCTCGCCACCGCAACCTCCTCCTCCTCCATCTCCTCTTCAGGTAGGAACAAGCCCCAGATCCATGATAAAGAGGAAAGCAACGGGGTCGCGGCCACCACCCCAGCGGAGGAGGCGATCAACTGGGGCGACGACGCCAAGCCTTACATGAGCCAATACGAGAGGGACCATCCCGCAGTGATGCCGAAAGTACTCCAAGCGCACTTGCAGCAGACGAAGTCAGGGATTGTGACGCACCGATTCCACAGCTCCTCCTCGCATGATCCCGAGCTCAAGCAGCATCAGTCGGTGCTGCATCCGTCGTCGTCGTCGCTGTCGGTGACGCTGAAGGCTGCCCACCTCGGTTCCTCGCTGTTGTCGAAGATCGACCTCCTGGAAGCCCAACTGAAACCCAAGTGATTATGTTTTTTCATACTTCGGGATGTTTGTTTGTTTGCTAGTCGTGATACAATGACTTGAAACCATGTTTGTCTTTTTTACAGTTTGTGTTGCAAGCGTTCGGAGGTTGGTTTGTGATGCAGTTGGCTTGTTGATATCTGATCTTCTTCTTCAGCTGATTGGCAGACCTTGCGTTGAAAACAGTGGCCTCATTGTTGAGGTTCATTTCATTCCAAAACAAGTGTTGAATGATTTCGTGCACTACTGTCGATTTGAATGTGAGGAACGTGACAGAAGGTTTCTTCGGAATGTTGTTTTAGAGTTCAAGTGTTGTTGTAACTTTTGCATCGTAAATCACACGTTTATCTATATTTGGTTTGGAACTGATTTGAGTAATTGATTTAGAGTTTGATGGATTCTGGATTTTGCGTCCCACAGTAGTTCAGAATTTGTGCATCGATGCGATTGTTTTCCAACACTTCACCCTATCTTTTGCATTTTTTTGATGGAAAATGACACTCATGACTCACTTTCAAAGAAAATAAAATAGTGTGAAGATCAGTGTGATAATTAGCTTTCTTCAGATACAAAAACATGTAGCACAAATTCCACATTGGTGATAGGGTTAATCACTTAGAACTTTTGATTTGTTTACTCTGACTTTATTTAATCAGACCAGTGTTAGCAAAACATTTCTAAATGAGTTATTTTGTAATTTTTATAATAATAATTTGAAACATTTGTAGCACATGCAAAGTCATGGAAATAAGAGCAATTTTGGCAATCATTCTTTCTGCAATTCCAACCCAAGTTCACTCTTTTTAAACTGAAATCAAAGCCAAATTTTTATTATTTTATTAGTTTATAAGAAATAAAAAACCAACACATGTATATTAATTTCTACATAAACACGTATTTACTAAAATTTTATTTTAAAAATTTATCTCAAAATATCCAACTATTTGATTCTATGATATAAAATTATAAGTTTAAAAAACAAAAATAAAAAGAAAAATCATACTGGTTTAACACTTGTAAAACACACAAGATTAATATAAAAGGAGAAAAGATGACTACTTCTCCATTTGTACACGAAAGGATAAAAATTCAGACATAAGTACATTGTGCAGGATCATATATTACTGTATTTAAAAAGGATTACTGTAACTATTTGGAAATATGTTTTTTTTTATTTTTTTTTATTTTTTTATTTCAACATTGCTTCATCCATGCAATCTCTGTATTTTAGCATACTTTTACTTGTTGGTAGGTTGACATAATCAGAGAATTCGAATGAAATTAAATATACAGAATTAAAATTTGGAATATTAAAATAAATTCAAACTTCAAGTGTGTCTCTTTAAGGATAAGATGTAGTTCAATGCGAAGTAATAAACCATAAGACCCAATAAGTTTAATCTTGTACATGAAAGATTGAATATGGTTATTCTAAATTGTTATTTCATAAATAGAAATTATCATTCCATCAAACAGAATGGGATAATTCTATTGATGCATTAAAAAAATAAAAAAATAAAAAAATAAAAAATCTAGTTTGATTTCAATTCTGATTTAATAAATTTCACAATGAAATATTAGTTTACTTTTGCATTGATTGAATTGGAATAATCACAATTAAATCAAAAAATTAAAATTGAGAGAATACAAAAGATTTGAAAGAAACTGATGAAAATTGTCAGAATATTTTAATATGCATTCTGAAACGAGAGCACTTATTTCTTATAACGTTTGTGAAGATGTTTACTTAGTACATAATTTAAAAGATCAGCATAGAAATTATAGCATATGAATATTAAATAATACACATTGTGGTTAATAAGCTGTACGTGATGGAAAGGATTTTGTCAAAGTTCAAATATTTTCGTTGAATAATGAATTTGGAAATTTTTTGTTAAGCTTCGTTTGATTGAATTTGAAAACTTGTAGAAAATTTTGTGTTTTTAACCTAATTTTCAAAATATTGTGATTGAGAGCAATTATTCTGATTAACACATTTACAGCAAAAAAATTCCTCTGCCTTCTGATTATAAATGTCATTTCAAAGATGGTGTTCAAAAATTCATATTGTGAAAGATATTGTGAAAGAAAATTCAGGATGAAGAATGAATTGTGACTTGAAATAGAAAATCCTTGTAATATCAGTTTTAAAAAAAATTAAAGATCTTGAATCATTAGAGTTTTTCAAATGTTTATGCTGTGTAAAATGTGGAGATGGAAGAAATAAACAATAATAAAAACCATAGAGTGACATGTACAATGATTTTTCTTCAATGGTATTTTACTTCAATTTATAAAAAAAGAATTACAATGTTAGCTATTCCAATATCATGAAAAAAAAAAGAAGAAGTGATATTTAGTTATTGATTTTACATTATGGCGGAGATTGAAAAAGAACCAATAGATGCTCCTCCTCAACCTACTTTGGAATCATGGATCTTTGATTCCTTAGAACGCGACTTTCAAGAGGTAATATTCAAAACACCTCCATTGAAGATTCACTACAATTTCAATGATAAAATAATAATTTAATGTCTATATATATATATATATATATATATATATAGAGTCAATGAAGAGTCTTTTTGCTTATAGATTAAAATGCATAATTTATGATTGTATCAACTTCATAGTTGAATTCTAAACAAGCACTCAAATCATCTCTAGGTATTGACGGAGCTTGAGGGGGATAGAAGTTTTGATAGATTTCGCGAAGAATATGAGAAAATTCATCGTGCCTTGAGAAAATCACATGGTATAACAAACAATAAAAATTCAACAAATAAATCCTTTTTCACAAAACAGTTTTTGAAAGCTGTTTATTGCTTTTGGAAATTTCTAATGCAAAAGATTTATAAATATATCTTTTTTATTTATAGAAATTAACCTTCATTCAATACATAATTATTTTAATGTATATAGTAAATGTGCTAACAACACATATATTTTCATTTAACAGAGAGTGAGAAGAGGTTAGTAAAGAAATGTCGCGAATTGAATGGAGAAATTCAAAAGAATGCAAAAAAAGTAACAAGTTCATTAAAGTTGAATGAAGAAGATGCAAAGACAATAAGCAAATTGAAGGTTGAACTTGATAAAGCATGGCAGATGGTCGTTGAATCCCAAGACAAAGAAGCAAAAGCCAAAGAACACATTCAGTGAAGCATTTTAACAAAACCCTAAAACTCCCCTTTTTCTTATTTGTTATTTGACAATTCAGTAGTTCATTGCATATGAATTGTGAAGAATGTCCCATGATCTATTTTTTTTTTTTTTATATATATATATATATATATATATATATATATATCGTTTTTGAACATAAATATTATTGATCAATGTTGTGCAAATATTGTAGCATTGGAATCTCATTAAATTCAGAGTTTTCTCTTGATTATTATACACATTTTATAATTTTGATGTGAATCTATTAGAGTTCATTTTTCAAAATCTTGAATCTCAGAACAACAATGTATTAAAATTATGAACAGTTTAATTTGTTCATGTATCAATTTTTACGATATTATAACATTGAGAATGAACGTAATTTAAAAATTATTTGCTTGGATTCATGAGATTCGTAAGAATTGCATACAAAAAAATAAAAATAAAAGAAAAAGAAATAAAACTCTATAATAATAAACAATAAAAATTTAATAGACTGATGGATTCTTTTGTTACATTTATATTCTTATTCTTATATAATTCTTATTTTTAAATTTTCTTTCTTACCAATTATTTGCAAAAATTTTCAAATTTTTATTACAATTTTTTTTTTCCAACTTTCAAATTGATGAGTTGGAAATATTAACCTCAGAGGGAAAAAAAAAAAAAAAAAAAAAAAAAAAAACTTAACTTTATTTAATAAAAATGACAAGATAAGCATTCTAAAACACGTGAAGACCAAACAACTCAAACTTTTCTACTTGGATGTTGTCTTTAAAAGTGCATCCAAAAGTATTCATTTGCTTTTAGAGAAGGATTGAGGATAAGTTCAAGTTTATTTCTTATTTTATTAGTATTATTATTATCATTGTTCAGAATAGTGACAGCCTGGATATTCTGACAGGGCATTGAAAAAGCAACTTGCTGATCTGGGCGATGACGTGGTGGATCGCGGCGCTGCTGCGTCAGCACGTCCTAATTCCGAGGTGATCCATAACCGTGTCCCCCTTTTACATATATTTTTATTTTTTATTTATTTTTATTAATGAAATCAGATTACTTATGATTTTTTCAGACTTTTTAAAACTTTATAGATTTTTTAAATAATAATAATAATATTAATTAATGTTGTAAAACACTGTGTACTTTTTTCAATATTTTTTTGAACCCCACTGTTATTGTAGCTTTTAATTCTTAGTCCAATATAATTTTCCCCAAACCAAAAAGTTTCACCTACTTTTTGGAATTCGTTTCTTTGGAAAGTAGAATTCAACTTTATTTTTATACCTAAAAATTGTTTTGTTTCCCATTCACATGGTTTGAGTGTAAGTATAAATAATTACATTCAAACTTTTCATATCTTGCATATCAAAGGGATTCAAAATGTTTTGATGGAAACCTTGAAAAATTTCATGGATATATATATATATATATGGAAATCTTATTTATATATGAATAAGATTTGGTTACTAATTCCAAGCTTGGTTCATTAATTTCATATTCATGCCACCTCATTTTTATTTTCCTATTTAAGTTTAAAAAGTGTAATAATTATATCATTTTTTTGATTTTAAGAAAACCATCTATTCCATTAAAAAGAATAATAGAAATGATTCTAATGTAGTTCTAACTTATATATATATATATATATATATATATATGTATATCACAACTTAACTAATACCCATTATTTAGCCTCTCAAGGTTTTGGAACCGGATGAGGAGAAGGAGAAGACAATGCGCCAAATTGAAGCTTTAAAAGGATATATTGAAACCCTAAAAAAAGAAATTGATGGTTTGCAAGAAAAAACCACCCTAGCCAAAACAAGAGTCTCCGAGCTTGAGTATGAGTTGGGTAGTACCAAAGAATTGCTAGCTTCCAAAACATCCGAATATGAGAGGTAATACTACGTTCTCACTTATAACCATTCTATTCCTATTGTTCAAAAAACATGTTTATATGCAAACATGTTATCTAAATTATAATGCCATCATACAAAAGAAGAAGACGAAGAAGATGTGAATGTATATTTTATAGTGTGAACAAATTGGATCAACATTGTACATTACATTCATTATGTTTCTATTTATATTATCATTGAAACCACTACATGTGTTGATATTGAAAATTTCAGTTCATCATGCATGGTATTATTTATTTACTTACTTACTATTTATTTTCCTTGTACTTTTCCTTTTTGAATTAATTTCAAGGGAAGGCTGTCTTATTTGCTAGTAGCATATCCAAATGAATTTGAAATTGTAGACAATATTGTATGTGTTAAAACCAACATGGCTGCACATGATAACAACTTAATAATTTGGAATCTGAACCTATTAAGTTGATAGTGAGAGAATTGGTACAATGTATTAAATTCTCTGAAATCAAGTTAAGTAATAAAAGATTAAAAAAAAGCCGTGTTAATAAAAATATTCTATTGCACTACACATACCTCTGTGACATTTTTGTTTTATGTTATCACAAATACATTCTATATATATATATATATATATATAATACTGTTACATTCTGCATACATATTCATATTAAATTTATAAATTTTCCTAAAATATCAATGAGTTAACATATTATTAAAAGATGATAAGTTCTACCCATAGTTATTGACAAATAAGCACCACAAGTTTTCCAGTACCATAAAAATAGATAGTTTTCTTTCTTTAATATTTAAGTATAATACAGTTTTTACTCTATTTCTATGAATACATAAATTTATTTTGCCTGAATTTCATAAAATATGTATTAGTCATTTTAGTGAGAAATTATATTTACAGAAGTCTTAACCATGTGATTATTCAACAATAGAATTCATGGAATTATTGTGAGTTATGAATTACAATATATTCTGTCTTTGGAAAACTATTTAGTTTTTTTCATGCTTATCATTAAAATTATATTTTATAATGAGTGTGTGCAAATCTATATATATATATATATATATTTGGAGAATGCAGGAATCTATTCTGTCACATGTATCATTACATAATGGAACTATATAAAATAAAGTGAAGATAACAAACATATAAAAAAAATAGGTCGAATTTTCATTTCAGAATTAAAGATGCATATTCAAAAAATTACATTTTTTTAAACAATTCAGCAAGATTTGTAGTTGATAATTATTTGATGTTAACTCTTTATTTATTTATTTTATTTGGTATCTTTTATTTTATTTTATTTATTGCTCAAGTCTAAATTTTAAAACATTGTACTAGGAATTTTAGTTTCTATTATTGTATTAGAGTTAAACCATGTATTTTATAGATTCTGAAGTTATTATGCATTATAAAATATATATATATATATATATATATATATATATATATGTGTTTATAAAACATTTGCAATGATGAATTAAACTTGTAATTACGTTTGAGAATTTATTACAGTATATATATTCACTTATTTATTTATTTATTACTGTGATGTGTATGTACATATGTGCACAAAAATGTTGTAGTTTAAAAATGATTATTTATCTCATTTATTATTTTATAATAGTCATTGTATACTATTTTGAATTGCAGTTGATTAACATTTTTGAGAACTCTTAATCTGCAATCATATGTTTCAGTTAAACTAATTTTCTTAAGAGCAATGTGTATTTTTCTTTAATAATGATTAAATTTTAAAATTAGTCAATCTAGCCACAAACTATAGAGAGATCCAAATCCAAAAAGCTGAATTCTTTTAAAGATTTATTATTTCACAAAAATAGAAAGAAAGAAAATTAGAACAAATTTTTTCATATTTTAAAATTTGTAGTTTACATGGTGGCTATTCAAGCATATGTGTGTGTGTTTATACAAATATACACATATATATATATATATATATATATATATCTACGCACATATACACATGAAGAAATTATGACACAGAAAAGCACAAACAAACCAAATTAGTAGATTAAATGTTTATACAAAATAGAAATAAACTATCCTTTATAGTTATTGTAGAAAGAGTCAAATTTTACTGAAGACTCATGTAAATTTTCAGTTCATGTAGAAAATGATGTAATTTCATGAAAGTAATAATATTATTCCATTTCTAAATTATGATCTTTTTGGATTACAATGTAAATATTAAGTTTTATGAAAACGCATGTCAAATGAAAAAGTATTATGTTTTTTTTTTATAAAATTATGATAGAGAATTAAAAAAGAAAGAAAGGATTGCTAAACAACTAAAGACTCATATTGCTGAATTGACTTTTAAAGACAACGAGATAAAAAATCAAATTAGCTTATATGACTCAAGTCGACTCCAAGGAGTTCATCTCAGCGATGCTTTAAAAGAAGCCAAAGTTGTTGCTGAAAAGGCAACTAAAGACTTACAACTTTTGAACCTCCGGGTTTGTTTTTCTATTTTCTTATATATATGAAAAAGAAATTAGTCTACATTAAAATTATTGTGTGCAAGCTATTAAATATTTTAGTTGTTTGAGGAAAGTACCTTCAACATGAACATGTATATATATATATATATATATATATGTATACCTATACATACAATGAAGATTTTCAATTTCAACATTGTGGTTATATTATCATGTTAATTGAATTGTTTTTTGAGACTTTGAAAAATAAAAAAGTATTGTTGAATTAGAGCTTAAATTATTGCATCATATTTTAAGATTTAAAAATAATATGTTTAGATGTCAAATACGTTGATGTTTCAAAAAAAAAATTTTGGGTGCAATTTTAATTAATTTGAATCACACATTACAGATGGAAAAATTAAATGCTGAGATGGAGGAGCAAATTAGTGCTAACACGCAGTTGTTAGCTGATAATAGTCAGAAACAAGTTGAATTGAAGTTAAAAGAAGAAGACATTGAAAATCTAAAAGAAGAACTTGTTTCTGTCAACAAGGTACCTTTGAAAGTTGATTCAATAAATTCAACTAATAAAAATATAACACAATGATCAAAATACTGTAAAAAATTGAACAGATTTTATTAGTCTGAAATAAAGTTTGATTATTAAATACATGATATATGTATATACGTATATATATATATATATATATATATCATTGTTAAGAAGACATGACAAAGTATATTAGAAAATGCCAATAATCGGGTATTCAATGTTGTGGTTTGATCATTACATGGAATAGTTACAAGATGTGGCGTTGAACAAAATCAAATCCATGGAATATGCACATGAAGATTTAGATAATAAGCTTCGTTCCCTAGTGGACCAAAAGAATAAAATTGAGAGAGATTTGGATAATCAAACAAAAGTTGTTGAACAACAAAAAAGACGTATTGAGGAAATTGTTAGAGAAAAAGATATCATCAAAAAATTAAAAACCCAAGTGAGCCTAGTATCCTTCTTTAAATGATACTTGTAATGATAAACTATAATTTTTTTGAAAAAATTAGTAAATTTTCTTTGTTAATCTTATCATTCAGGGCATTTAATTTATTACATAAATGTTATATATATATATATATATATATATATATGTAATCTTATCTTTTCAAATAATGATTAATATTAACAGATGTTTTGTGTGCTTGAAGGCTGATGAAGAAACTATTAAACAAATGAGTCTTGTAAAAGTTGAGCATATTGCATTGAAAAATATTGAATGTGAACTAAATTTGTACAAGACTGCTAGCATCAAGCAAAATGCAAATATCAAAGCTTTGGAGGATCAAAAGCAGAAGGTTGCAATTGAATTAGCCGCAGAATTATCAAATTATAAACATGTAATTCTTCAAGCTGCCTACCTACTCATGTAAATGCCAACACTAATTATGAATGAATATATATATATATATATATATATAGAAAGTGTTTTTTTTAATAATACATATGAAAATAAATCACATATTTGTAGAATAAAAAAATAAAAAAACATTGTTATGATATTTTTAATGAGAAAAATTTCATACCCATAATCAAAACAACATACAATCTATATCGTTTTTAACTTTGATATGTATACGAAAATAGGGTGTAAATAACTAAAGATGTAAACTGTAAAAGATTTAATATAAATCACACTAAATGAAACATTTTTATTGTTACCATCGACACAGGCTCAAGAACTCATACAAGATCGAGAGTCTCAAATTTTAGATTTTCATAAAAAAATTGAGGAACTGAACATAAGTCTTAAGCAACAACAAAACAACAATGAAGCAATACGTAGCGAAAGAAACATTTATAGCAAAAATTTGGTGTCTGCTCAAGATGAAATAAAAGAAATGAAACGCAAATTCAAAGTCATGAATCATTTAGTGGAACAACTTAAGGAGGGCTTAAATTCAAAAGATGCTGCTATTATTAAAGAGCGTTTTGAATTGTTAAAGGTTTATAAACTTAACACATTGATTTAAAAAAAAATAAAAATGTAATAAATATTTACATTATACAACCTCTATCATTGTATGTAAATTACCCAAATCGTTTTGATAAATAAATGATTTTATTTATTGAAATCTAAACAATCAACACAATAATTGTTTTTATTATAAAAAAAACAAAAATAAATATATGTTTAATTGTTATATCTCTAAATGTCAGTATTTGAAATTATGATGAATGCCAATTATTTTGAATAATAAATAAATAGTTTTTATTTTTTATTTTTTGTAAACATGTAACATAAAATATAAAAGAACTTTAAATTTATGATCCAAATTGGTCGCAGAGAGAGTGAGAGAGAATATAAAATATAATATGTTCTGAACTTTATTTGTCTCTTAAAACCTAAAATTATTAGCATATATATATATATATATATATACATAAGTAAACTGAACACAATATTGAGATTATTCAATTTTTGTAACTATTTATTTCGTAATTAATGAGAATTATATTTTGAAAATAAATTACCACTATAGGTGGAGAAAGAAAGGGAAGTTCTTAAAAGAGAAATTAGCAAAGTGATGATCAGAGCACAAGCGGCAGAAGCATCAATAGTGGAACAATTAAGTGAAATAAGGCAACTTAACCAAACTTTAACACAAAATCAAAGCAACATTATTTCAATCCAAAAAGACCTTGAAGCTTATAAAAATGATAGAGACACTCTTGGAATTCAGGTACATTTTGAATATTCTTTGTTAATTTTTCAAATAAAATTATTAAAATGAAAATCTGAAAAAGAAGTCCATATATGAATATATATATATATATATAGATGCATTCATACATTCATTGCTTATTATATATGGATTTAGACTGTTTAAAATTAGACTTACCAATTTAGTTTTACATAACTAACTGTTCTATAGTATTGTTTTGTTCAAATTCACTTATTAACAATCTTGTGGGTATTCAAATAACTCATGAATTCAATATGTTTTTTTTGCTAATAAAAAATAAATTGACAGTTGGTAAAGAAAAACCAAGAAATAAAATTGATATATGAAAAGATGAAAATTCAGACTCTCACGCTTAGCAAAGGTCAAGCACAATATAAAGATCGAGTTCAAGAAATTCAGATCTTAAAGATTAAAATCACTAACCTTAAACGAGATCAAATAATATTTTCTCGTAGTGTGAAAAACATGTCTGTTCTCAAAAAGAATATATTCAATCTTTCTAAAGAACTTAATGCTGAAAAAACAAAGGTTCTTTCTTTTCTTTTTCTCAATTTTCAATTTTTTATTATTATGTTTTTAGGTTGGGTATTAAAATAATATCACATAACTTACAACCACATCTGAACTATATTTCTTATATGCATTGTCAAATCCAATATTATGGCAAAAATTACAAAAATTGTTAACTTTATTGAATCTCTCATGTATTGTTTGTTGACCTAAATAATGTATGATATAATTTTTTTTTTGCTTTTGTTGAGTTCAAACATGGAAATGAGAGTCAATATGAAATAATAAGCTCACAAAATTAAATGGGTAGATTACTTATATTGCCAATTAATATTTCCAAACGTGATGAAATGTAAAGTGAGCATCGAAACACGTTAAAGTTATTTTATTCTATTTAAAATTGAATGGTTGTATTAAATTACAACATAGGTAAGGGCATTATCAGAAGAACTAGAAAACCCATTAAATGTGCATAGGTGGCGCAAACTAGAAGGATCAGACCCTCAAGCTTATGAGATGATAATGAAGATCCAAACATTACAAAAAAGACTCATTCTTAAATCAGAAGAAGTGAGCCTTCATTTTTAAAATCTTATTGTTTTTAGTGAAAATTATTCACGATATATTAATAATATTTTTGTGAAATTTTTATAGAATTTGATGATTTTTTTTTTTTTAAAATACATGTGGTTGCATTTAAATGTACGATGCAACTATAAAACACAATCCTTTATGAAATTTACTTCATGTAATTTTTGATATTCATAAATACATAAATTCAAATACAAATAAAAAGAAAAAATGGGTGAAAGTGACACCGGAGTATTATACTTCTTTCAAAATACAGTTTGAAATATTCAAAATCAAAAGAGAATGCAATGTGTGGTCTTTTATTTTTTAATTTTTTTTGTGCAATTTTTCTGTTCGCTTAGAAATCTATGAAGACAATCACATAATTATAAACAATGAATCACTTGTTTTAATCCCTAGGAGAAGTCAATTATGTTTATAACACCTCAAATGCAAATGCAAGTAGTTTTAATTTTGAACCATCTAACTTCTTACTTCATACACATAATTATTATTACGATTTTTTTTTTTTTTTAAGAAATATATAATCAAATATATATATAAATATATATCAATCATTCACAGGTGGTGGAAAAAGATTTGTTGATACAAGACAAAGAGAAGCTGTATGCGGAGCTATGTGGTGTTTTGGCCAAACAACCCGGTCCCGAAATATTTGATCAAATCGTGTCATATGCCCGAAGTTTAAATCAAAAGTCTCAGCAAATAAAAGCAATGGCTTCTGAATTAAATATGTTCCAGGTTGGTAGAATCCCACATTTATATACAAAAAGAATAATACTCCTTTTGCTTAAAAACTATGCATGTATGTGTGCAAGTCTTAGTTGATATATGATATAACTAAAAAAAGATTGATTTGAAAAAAAAATTGGTCATTTTTTTATTATAATTATTACGACTTCAATTATTTCATGGTTTTTTAGAATTTGGTGACAATGTTCGTGTCTTTCAGCTGCTACACAACCCAACAAATCATTTAATTGTTATTTTTTTTCTAGATATTTTAGTAATTGAATTGCCATAAAAATCTTATGGTTTTTGGTGCTTGACTATATTTCAAAATATTGGGTTTCTAAATTATAAAGCTGAAAAGTAATACTAGATAAAATACAAAGTTTTTGGTGTTTTTTCTAAAATTAAAACCACCAAAATGCAACGAATATTAAAATTTATTTGTGCCAATCTACTTTGAAATTCAATAATGTTAAAACAAAGGAAGAAAATGGTTATTTTTAAGTAGAGACCTGCCTTTCCTTTACTACACCAACAACATACCATTGCTACAAGTTTTTAAACAACTTGGACACTAATGAGACTAAAAAGTATATTAAAAAAAACAATATCAATCCACATAGATACCCCTTTTTACACATTGTCTTGTTTGTTTTAATTAGCTATTGTTTTATGCTGCTAATGTTCCTATGTCGTATGTTGTTGTTGTGTTTTTCTATTATTTTAAAATCTTTTAGACTCATTAATGTTTTGACTTTTTGAAAAACTTGTAATACTAGTGTATTGTTGGTGTGGCATGGGAAGATGTTCATGAAATAAAACAAGAGTGTCCATAGAATAAAAGTGAAGTGTCTATCTTTTTTTTTTTTTTTTTTTTTATTTTAATGTGTATAATTGAGAATAGTTTTGACCAAAAACAATAAAAAAAAAATAAAAAATAAAAAAAATACACTAATACCCCAATGCATTGAAGTTTATACAATCAACATTATTCGTATCTTAATACTTTCTTTAAAGAATTGTTTTTCAAAATATTAGAGGTCTCATACCATCAACATTATTTTAATGAATTAGGGGTTAATATTTTAACTATTTTAGAATTCAAAAGTGTGTCTTAAACTACTTATTTGCATTCCATTTTTTATAAGATTTCAAATTCAGATTTATTGAAAGCCAATAATAATATTGTAAAAATTTGTTTTAATATCAAACATAGTTATGGATTGAAATCAAGGATTTTATCAAATTTTTTTTCTCATTATTATTTTCTGATTTCTAACTTTTAATTCCAAATAACTTTAAAAATCAAAACATACATTGTAATTGTAAAAACAGTCGTGTGTTTCCAATATGATTCTTGGATTTTGAAGTTCAAAATACGAAAGGAATTGATCAAATGACTTGTTTGTAACAATTTTTTCATAATAAACATAAATATTATTTGTAGCAATGTTTATACCTGAATATTAAAAATCTACGATGTCAAGTTCCGGGTGTGCTATAACAAATTATAATATTTGAATACTCAGACTTATAAATTAGACAGTTACACTTTTCAGTATATATATATATATATATATATATATGTATATTACATTAAAATTAAACATTTTAATTTTTTTCGATAAAAACATGGATAACTTTCTTCCTCTTGTTACTATTTTGTTCATTTTTTGAACTCTATCATATTCATTAATTTCACAAAACTCACCAATTAGGATTCAGTTGCTTTCATCCATAAACTAATGCGGTTTGTCAATTCCTTTGGAAATTAAAAGGCCCATGTAAATATGCTATTGCCAAATAAATGGATAAATATAATTAAATGAATGTTTGTGGCAGGTTCACATCGCCAAATACAAACTTGAGGTGGAACGATCACATAATGAAATTGATTCATTAAAAAAACAATTACATACAAGTAAACAACAAAGAGAATCTACTAATAACATCAAAGATAAAAGATAATATATTTTTGTAGAAAAGGTGCACAGGATCAATACATTAAGTAAAATTCATGGAAGTTGTAAACTAGATCTTGCAATTGAAAGGATATTTCTTAACACCTAAAGACGATTTTATTAAGCCATTATTCATCTTTCATATTGTTCAATAGTTAATTTTGAAATATTAAAAAAAACCCAATTTTTTGGTTACACTTAAATTTTATCTTTGGAATATTATTATTGGATAATAATGAATTTTTATTTGATTGACTGATTGATTATGGCAACTTAATGTTTTGAGTTTCAATGTGTGTATCATGGATTGAATTGGAAGTAAAAGAAATAAATGTAGAATAGTCTATTATTTTCATAGTTTGAAGAAATTGATTTACGTCCTTCAAGTAAAATCTATTGATTAAAATTGAAACATTGAAATAATCGAATCATGAAATAAAGTAGTCAAGTAAATACTAAAAAGTGTTCTATGGTGTATTATCTTCATTTGTTTTTCATAATACAACAATATTGATTCTTTTTCAAAAACAACTATACTTATTTTAGGTTTGATTTCAGAATGCCAACATTTGCTGATCATAATTTGAGGATGCAACTACTTTATTGAACACTTTAAATGCTAAACTTGTATGCAATTTCCGTTTGGTGTAAGTAAGAGTTTGAGTTAAACATACTCTGAATTTGCAATCTACATTTGCATTTGAAAATAGTAAATTGACATCTTGTTATAAGTTCATGTTTAACACAAGAATACACACAATTTTTTAAAAAATACAGCACAATATATTAATTGTAGCTTTTGTGTATATTTAGGTAATGAAATATTAGTTCTACAACTAATGATGACAAAGGAAAAATAAATAAAAAAATATAAGGGTTTTTTCAAATAGATTTTTTAGTTATTTTCTTCACTTTTGTTTGTCTTGTGCTTGTGAGACTTTTTTCTTTCTTTTGTTGCACTTCTATTATCATATTACAATTTAGTCAGAGTTTTTACTCTTATATCTCAATTTGATTGCATTCATGAATATTAACATATTGTGTTCTTGGAAATTGATCAAATAAATATAAATATAAATATATATATCAATTATTACTATTGTAATTCGAACCAATAGAATAGACTGTAAAAGTTATTCTTTGGATAAATTGACAAACAATTATCAAAAAACAAATGCCAATATTAGCTTATAATAGGATTGAACTCATTTAGGATTTTAAAGACATTAACTTCATAATCTATAGTGAAATATATATATATATATATATATATATATACATGTATATAGATACACAAACTATTATTTGGGGCACTTTACTTTGCTTCAAGAATAATGTGTTGGTTTGCTATTCTATTTTTTAAAATTAATTTTTCTAGGTAATATTACCTTTAAAATTAAAAATACGATTTAAAAAGTAAAATAATTTTGCATATTTATAAAAATTTATAAATCTAATTTTTTTATGGATATGTTGTATTGTTTTAAAGTTTAGTTTTATAAATATAGAAAGTTATATATATATATATATATATTAAATGTATCTTTTAATATAAAATATAATATATATTATTTTTAAGTATTTAATTACATATCATTTACAGATAAATCTTGAAGCCATACAAATTTGTATTTTTTATTTTATTATTTTTATACAATATTAATTTTATAAGAGAATAATATCCTGTTTCAAACATCATAGTATCATTCTAAATGCATTTTGTTTATACATAACGTATACAACCTTGTGCACATTCTAGACACTTTTAGTGCAATAAATAATAGCTCAAAAGGCTATTGATCTCAACATCATGGATTCCATATCTCACAACCCAACAAGGACCTTTAATTGCCAATGTCTTAAGCTCTTCTAGTTGTGTTTTCTCCACATTATTAGGATTATGTAAGATTTGTTATGTCTCAACAAGGATATATTTTTTTATAATTAAACATTATTGAAAAGTTTCTTGAGAAAATCAAATAAATTTCATGAAAATATTTACTCCAATCTTATTTTATAAAACAATCCACATGTTCCAAATCACAACCTTTTTTTTTATTAAAAGAAGAAGAAGAAGAAAAAAGAAAGAAAAAAATCACTATAACCTTTAACATCACATAATACACATTGTAATCACATAACTCATAAAAATAATGTTTGCCATATTATTATTAATATAATTTACATGCAGATTAATTCATTTCAACTTTTGATATGCATGTAGATTCATACAATATTTCTCAAATACTCAAGAAAAAAATGATTAACTAGACATTGCAAGACATGATAATAGAATACTAAACGTATTTATTACACACTCAAACCTTGAATTTTATTAAAATATTTAATTTGACATCCAATTTCCATCCATCTACGAGAATTCGTTTCCAATATCGAGGGCAAAATATCCCGATTACCTTTTACATTTTTTCCCTCTACCCTTTTTTTTTTTTTTTTTTTTTTTTTTGTGGTTCATCATTTACTTTTACAGAAAAAGCGAGCCAAATTTGGGCGCCCTGGAAATTAGGGTTTGAAATTCAAATCTTGCCTTCCTCGCATGTACGCATGCATGCATGCGAAGAGCTTCGTCAAGGTCACTAAGAACGTCGCGGAGACGATGACGACGACGACGACGACGACGAGCCAAAGGAAGGATAGAAGAAGCGAAGGAATCGAAGAAGTAGGAGCAGGAGGAGGAGAAGAATAAGTTGAGAAGTTGAGAATGTGGATGTTAGAGTAGTTGCGGAGTTGCTGATCAGTTTTAGGGGCCACGAGAAGTTGAGGAGAGCGCAATGAAAGGATGGGAAGCAAGCGGCGTGGAATCGAGCATTGAGGGTGAAGGTCGAGAAACGGAGAGGGACAGCCGCAACAGTGGTGGCAGCCACGTGACGCACTTGTTTTGCATCGGGATCAATGTGCGCAGCTTCAAAGCCGCACAGCATTTGCCGCTGCGTTCGGTGAACGCGTTTGTTCGTGTGTTTTTGCCGCCGGAGATCGTGCGGCCCGCACTGGAGGTCTGCAAGCTGCCCTCGAGGGTTACCGCGCCGCTTCGGACTCATCCCCCTGTGTTTGTTGAGCGCGGTACTGAAGTCACTTTTACGAACGGGTAAGCTTCTGTAGTGTTCCTGTTTCTTCTATTGTTGGTGTGTCCACAGTTGTTTTTATGCCGCTCCGTTTCGCGTTAAATCACAAGTATTTGTCCGCGCCCTCGGTCCTAGTTTCCGTGGAGGAGCAATTGGCGCTCTGCATTAAATTGAGGCAATTTCATGACATTCATCAGGTCGAAGCTGTTTTACCTGATGCGAATGGCTGGAATAGCACAAATTATGTTCATTTCAGGGTTCAAGGCTTATGGTATAGTATCTCTGGATTGGATTTGACAGAGATTTCAAAGCGAAATTCAAAAATCATTGGCTGATGGATAATGGTTGGGTGTTGGATTTTCTGTTGAAATGATGAATAATTTTTTTATCTGTCTTTACAGCTATGTTGCATTGGATGTTCCTGCGTCTCCAACTGGCATGGCATCTATACTTGCATTACAGCCCAAATTGGTAGCTCATGTTCTACACCGTGACAAGTAAGCTTGCGATTAATTTTTCTCTTAACTTCGTCTTCATTCTGCTGTCTGGATTGAAACAACATTTGTTATATATATATATATATATATATATATATATATATATATATGTGTGTGTGTGTGTGTGTATGTATGTGTGTATGTGTGTTCCCTGACGATTAAATGGTTTCTGTCATTCTGTTGCAATTGTAGATACGAATCAGACAGTGTACTTGGCGTGGCTACTGTACCCATGACGCGGCTAATGGAGCAACCAGTGGTGGATAGTTATGCTCAAGTTCGGGGTCCCTCTATTGTTCGAGGGATGATTGAAGACGTGAGCACAATGATCCCACTGTTGACGATTCTCTCATTTCAATAGTTCACTCATCTTGCCTCAAACTGTTGTTCCCAAGTCTAGCAGCACCAACTTCTGCATGTGACTAGATGTGGATCGTGCATTGTGTCCACCGTATGCACGGTGACGGTCCTGTTCGATGACGTATTATTTTTGTTGAGAGTATCGATACGAAGGCTCTTCAGGACTCTTCCAATTCCAATGCAGTACCCTCCTGCGAGCGACGAGTTTCCTGACCTTGACTACAGACCACGTCCTGCAATTGTGGAATGCGATGTGTAAGGTAAGCCTTCTGTCCGAGGGCTTTCTGTAACGAAATCCAAGCCCAAGTACTAGAGTTTAACCTAGCCTGGCTTCAAGTCACCGATATTTTTGATAAATTGGGAGCCTTTCTGTGCAAGGAGTACTAATTCTAGAATAGAAGCCCATGCACTGGTGGCAGCAGTGTTCCACAAAACTTTCTGATCTCGAGTTCGGGTTGATTTGTTCAGTCATGTGGACACAAATCGGTTATTCTTTGATATTAGATTTTAAACCTTTCCTTCTAATTTTGATAGTAAATCTAAGATTCATTATGTCCAGTCGTTGTGATGAGCTCGAAATGGTATGCCCCCAAAATGGTGAGTTTGTGAAAAAATTTACATCACTTGAATTGAGAGGTTCCGAGAGAAGGAAAAAAAAATCGTTTACTGGACTTTTTCTTATGTTTCTTAGTTGCATATACAAAAATCGTAAGAACAGTTATGCGCCAGATCTTTGAGATCTGTACTATTCAAGAGTTCAGTGACGCGCTCAAAGGAAGAATGGTATTCAAGTAGGGCTGCCCGGTTGCACAGTGTGTCTATCGTTCAGAACATCGCTGCTGGAGCGCCTTGGGGCTTCATTTTTAGTTCATTTACCCCTCAATGTAATTTCTGCTATTTTCACTTCTTTGCGGCTCATTCTTAAGATGTTTGAGATTCTCCACCTGGAGCTTAGCAAAATTTTGAATTGCAGGTCAAAATTGGATCACTACGAGTTGTACTTGCTATTGATGACATGGGTATTATGGGCACTTCTGACAGTGTAAATCTGAGGACTGGAGCATGTCCTAGCTTCATGAACCAACTTCAATCAGATGATCTTTCTATTGCGAAGCTCGACGATCGTATTCCTGCTGGGCTGAACCATGTGGAACGAGGGATGGAACCAGTCCATAATGTGAGCGAGGCAGAGCTACCTGGAAAGCTGGTGGAAAAACTGCATGTCGCACGTGAAGCTCCTGGTTACAAAACAAGGAAGAGTTCGTGTCGTAATGGCAAATCCACATCCTCGAATGGGAGTCTGTTAGGTGATAGTAAGGATGGGAATATGAAATCTGAAACTGGAAACGACGAGGAAGTTGTTCGAAAGCGACCAGAATATGAGATGGCTTGGGAGTTCGAGATTTGGCGAAGATCTGAAGAAATTAAGTGGTTAGCGGATTTGAAGCAGCAAGAAGCCATCAGGATGAAGGCGCTTGAGGAGGAATGGAGAAAGAAAGAGAAATTATGTATTGCAGACATGCGGAACTTCCAAGCCGAGCAAGATGAATTGGAGGCAAAATTACGGTATACTTTTCAACCATATTCACCTTTTTTGGTATAACTGGATGGGGTAAAACTGAAAAAATGAAGTGAGAATGGAGCCAAATGTTAATTTCTAAGTGTTATTTTTGCCCATCCATCAATAGTGAATGTTTTTAATGGAATAGGGCAAAGCTTCTTCAACTAGAGAAAAGAGAGAGGACTTTAAATATGGCAGAAGAAGATCTTGTGCGTCGGAAGGAAGAATTGGAACGATCATATTCAAATCGCACATCTGAGGCGCAGGTTCTACACTAGTAATGCATCATATTGAGCTCAACTTACTGGTTCCACATTAGAAGTCTAAGTTGGTTCGATAAATTTGGCACCTAAATCTGAATCATAATCTGAAGCGCATCTTGAGTACCAATATATACCAAGTCATTTCTTTCATGTTTATTCCTACCTCGAAATTGCGTTGTGTAGAGTTTTTTGTGTAAAATTTTAACAATTTCTTGTTTACACTTAGTACTCCTTTTTTTAATCAAGCCATACAAATAAGTAGTCATCCGTTTAAAGCATTTTCTTTTTCGTCAATCGGTGGAGTAAATTCTGCCTACTGTATTTTCTGGCCCCATTCCTGCTGCATGTTGATGATTGTGCACGATCTGTATGCTTGGTAAGTGCTAAATTATATATTTAATGTCAACGCATACTTAATTTCTGTTTCAAATGGGTCACTTAATACATATAAGTAAAGAACTGTTGCGTTGTTATTACCAGGTTGCAATTATGAGGCTTCAATCCGAATGTGAACATCGAGTTGAGCTTGAGCGTAGCAAGTTCACTGCTTTGCAACAGCAGTATGACATTCTTGAACAGAGATTATCAACTTCTAATAGTTCTTTTGCAAATTTGGAGGAGCAATTTCGTGAGTACCAATCAGCTCAAAGAAATACCGTGGAGGCTGACCTCTTGATGCAGATAATTGCCTTGGAACAGCAATGTAACAATCTGCAACGGAAAATGAAGTCAGTTCTCAAATCCAGAAATGATTATAAATCACAGGTATGTTCAGAGTGCTAAGAATCTAAAGTTGTGTTGGTACGATGTTATGTCCCGGTAACCACTTTTAATAGATCACTAGTGCAGCAGTGAGATTAGTTTACTTTAAAATGATTCGATAGGTGGAGTGTCCAAATTGCAGAATTGAAACGTGGTTGAGTGGTTCTTATAACTTCCGGTCCACCAATCTCAAGTCTTGCCACATGTACTGCTCTTTGAACACGAATCATTACTAGTTTGGTTCAATTTTACATGATGGGTCGAAACTTCGATAAATTTTAGATTTCATGTCGATAGTTTATTTCAAAAAAGAATGTGATTATCATTGAGGTGACGACCACACATTGCTGAGTTCGTTATTTGATTAGTTTCATTTGTACTAGCTGTGACCTTTGGATTGCCCCTCCCGCTTGTTAGGGTTGTGGTTTCGAAAAGAAGCTTTGTTTAAGACTTGAGTTCCACAACTTACTTGCCGTGCGATTTTCTCATAGCCTACTGTGAAATCATGTTTATTAACACGGCCTGAGATTTTTTGTGTGAAGGTATTGAGTATGGCTAAGGAACTGGGAAAGTTGCATCGCATGCGGGAGTTTCAGAGACCCGATAGTGACGCGAATCGTCATGTATTTAAGACTCAATCCGCAATTGAATCTCAGTGTCGAAAGGCAAGAGAGGATAGGTTGGAGCTGCAACGTCTTGAGGAACAGCTCACTTTGCTACAGCTACAGGAGCAAGAACCATCCAACAATCAGAAAGAGTTTCAGCATTCTCCAAAGCAAGTGGATTCTAAATCTATCGGACAAGAAACCCACCTTGTGAGTAAGAATAGACTGCCTAAGCTTATTCTAGCTAAAGCCAAGGAATGCAAGAATGGTACAGATTCATTTTGTTTAAGTATATCAGAGGTTTGTTGTGTTTCTTAGTCTTGTCGTCACTAAACACCTATTGTCCACGTTTTCGATTAAAAACTGAACATTTGCATTCCTCATAGCTTAATCGTATGTCCCATAAATTGTCTTCAACTCTGAACAGGTAGGTGCCATGTCATGTTACGTCCTCCATCTGTTAGTGAAAATGACATCTTTGTGGATCCCAATGTTCGTCTTTGACGATGGTTTTCAATTTCTCTTGCAGAATGCTCCTGAAAAGAAAGCAGATAAAAGCGATACTGAGCACCTTCTCAATCAGAGGGCGTATTTGCTTGGAACTGGTGTTTACAGTGTGAAGGATCGCATTATTCAAGGTTTAGATAAAGCATGCACAAGCTAAACTTCGTTGATCCTCACAGTATACATTTGTACGAGTGCTCACAATTGGTTGTGAAAGTAGTTAAGCATCAAACCTTGTAGCTAGCGAACTTGGTTGCTGTGTGAATATTCAATTCTTGCAGAGATGTTTTGTGCCTGGATGAGGCAGCTTCCAGTTTTTATCAAGTGACAGAAGTGGGTCCATTTCTGGACTGTCACCGAAGCCTTTGCAGATGAAGCTTAGTGTAGAATATGTTGTATATGAATATGTAGCAATTACGTTACAATAGTTTGTGTCGTCAGAAGCAACTGAGATTTTGATGTATGTGAACATTACATGAAGTTGGGTAATTTCCAAAACTTTTACGAAACCCTAGTCCAAAGACTGATAGAAAGCTTCATATACACATGGAAGAAACGTATAGTGAAGGTTCAATGGACGGTGTTGCATAATTTCAAATTTCATTGATTTAATTAGTAACTGGCTTAAATAGTAGTAAAATAAAGGTTTAGTATATCAGCGACTTTACACAGCAAAAATGGATTTTTTTACCGAACTATTTTTGAAATGACATATTTATATATATATTGCCATATCAAATCCTTGTTTATGTTTGTTTTTTTTTGTTTTCTTTTTTATTGATAAAACACAATCAAAGTTTTTAGAATCAAACAAACAAGTCTGACTTAATGAAGTTCAGTTACATATCTATTCAAATCAAGCAAATCAAGCAATATAAGTTGCACTCATTGGAATTAATTTGAATAAAAAAAATTAATATAATAATTTTTGTTAGTTTTACAACAATGTGATAAATTTAGGATAATGTTAAATATATCCATGCTTTCACTAAATAGACTCAACCTTGATGAAGAATGTCGTTGGTCTTTATTGGTTGCAAATCCAATAGTATAAAAATGAATATAGAGTCATTTTTTTTCCTTTTTTTTCTTTTTTCATGATGGTTAGGATGGATAGATTGATTTAGTAAAAACTTGGGTCTATTTAACATGCTTCTAAATTTAAATTTATTCTTTAATTTTTTTTCATAGCTTTAAATTTATGTGTTGATAATACCTTATAATTTATTCTATAACCAAAAGAATTTATTCCCTACAAAAATATCAAATATTAACTGATTGTCTTTCATTTATAATTCTTAAAAATGATTATTTTCATCAAGTAGGATGATTTTATAATTTTAATAAATTGTCTAAAAATACCTAATAAACCAAAAAAAAAGTTTATGAATAATTAAAATATTACAATACATCAACTTAAATAATATATGTACATTGGATTCTAATTTTTAAAATCTCATTGATATATTTCAACAATGACATTTGTGAAAATAAATAGTAAAAATTTAAACTTCAAACCATATAGAAACCAACTAATGTTCTAATAAAAGTATTAATAAATTTAAAATAAAATTAGAAGTATAAAACATAATAATTTTTTTTTCTAGCAAAAATAAATATCATCCAAGCTAACTCTTCACAAAATAATTTTAGCCATTGTAGCAAGAATAAAGAATATTAAATAAAAAATAAAAACCGAAAAAATTCAAGCAAAAATAACTAAGTAACTATATAAATTGGTTTAAATTTGAGATGATTTATAAGCTAAGATTAAAATGAAAAATAATTTGGAATTGCTTCAAATATTCCACCATCTAACTTGAACATACAATCAAAGGCTTATTAATTAAACTTGTAGTAACTTGGTATATTATCAGTTATCATAAAAAAATTTAAAAATCTTGTAACAAATGTTTTCTAAGTCTTTCATGTATATATGAATGAATATATATATATATATATATATATATATACATATGTATTTTGAAATATTTTCTTTAAAAATATGAGAAAAAATATTAAAAATATTGTGTATCTTTTGAATGATTATATATATATATATATATATATATATATATACATATAACAATTAGATTGAATGGTTGTCTAAGACTGTAAAATATATTAGTTTCTATGTATATGCTTTTAAAGACAATTTAATGGAAGCATGTTCCTATAGAGTTTTTTAAAGAAAGTTGCTCAAAAAAGAATGCTTAATTTAAAATTGTTATCTTAAATACCCAGATTTTTTTTAAAAGATGTACATATTTTTTTTATTTAGAACTCTTTCAATCATCTTTTGTTATTTTAAAGGTATGAATTGAGTAAGTTAAAGCACTTTTTTAAAGCTTATAAAGTAAAATCATACCATAATACTTGCCAAATATTGGTGTTAATAGTCTCAATTATTATCTACTAATATATTTACATAAAAAATATATTACAATTGTATATATTTAGACAAATACCTAAAACAAAAGATTTCACCAATTTTCTCTTTTTAATCTTAGTCACAAATATATATATATATATATATATATATATAATTATCAATGCTTCACTTGATTTTATTCTTTAATGAGATACCCATGAATTTTAAGGAAAATAGACAGATTTAATATATTTATTCTTAGATGCATTTAAAATTATTTTTATCTGATTTTGTTTAAACATTAGATCAAAAACATTATATACATTTTTGGCAACATGAAAAAATCTCTAACATGATAATTTTTATTTGAGATAATTCATCTATTAATTATGTTTAAATTTTTATATAGAACTATAGTTATATAAAGAAATACTTATTGCTTAATCACATCAAAATGTAGAAAATATAAATAGTGTTTTATATTATTTAAAGTTAAATATAAAAATAGCATTTAATAAAAAAATAATATGAATGAAGACATGAAGATAAACATTATAAATAGAATCCAAGCATTGTTAGGGTATGTGTGTCAAATCTATTAAAACAATTGTATTGAATTTCGACAAACAATTTTAAACAATCAAATCTCTTTCAACTTGTGGTAGAGTCTTTTGGACTTTCTTTTATTTTCAAGATTGTTTGGTATAAACATAAAAAAATAGTCTCACTCGTAGATTCTCATGTGACAAACCAGGTATTAGGGAAGAAGTTTGAATATAAAAGGAAAAATAAAACGAATAAAATATAAAAAACAATCTATAACTCTTTTAAAAAGTTAACGAAAAAGATAAAGCAAAACGGAATATTCCATCCCAACATAGTTTTATTCCCATGTCACATTCCAGTAACAACGGCGCGCAAATTCAAAATGCACAACGACATGGGAACCAGGGGAACGTTCGCTCCCATCGGAGGTTCACGACCGGGGGCGGGCGTGGGGTTGAGGGCTTGGTGACGATGGCGATGGGGGTTAGGCGGGGGCGGGGGGAGGACGGGGTTGAGTCTGAGCACGAGGAGCGCTGCTCTGGTGCTGCTTTTCCTGCTGCTGCTTGATGGCCGCCTTCAGTTGTTGCGCCGCTCGGGCTGCTCGCAGCTCGGCCTTGCGACGAGCTTTCTCCTTCGCGGGGACGAACACCGGCGGAGGCCTCGGCGGCTTCGGCCACGCTACCTTGGCTCTCGCCAGAGCTTCTCCAAACTCCACGTACTTGTCTCTTTTGTGCGCGAACGCTCTGTTTGCTGGCTCCATCTACGGTGTGCCACATCCCTCTCCTCTCTTATTTTCATATTTCTTTTTCTAAAAAACGTGATGACAGATCATGCTGCACTGTTTTCGTTCGTGGTCTTCTTACTTTTAGTTTTTAATTTTAATGAGTAGACTTCTGTCGGAAGTGTATGCAGTGCGTACAGGTTATGAACTCCGAATATCCTTCACTTGTCTTACGATGTTGACTTATCGATTTTTGTGTAGCTAATGGAAGAAGGTTTTTAGGATTTGATTACCAATTCTACGAGCCATTGGAATGAGTCGATGTAGTGACTATTCCCTGGGTTTCTAAGAATTATATATCCAGCGTTTATTCTTCTCCACAGGTTCTGCAATTCTCGCACAAATTCTTCATAAATACAAGAGTAAAATCAATTATTCAAAAAAAATCACAAAATATGAAACGAGAAAAGTTCTCTCCTGTCTAAATCCATTCTACAATAAAGACGTATAAATTCTTTTTGAATAATATGCTATTCTAAGGAAACGTTTATGAGACTACGTCTTCATTTTTGCATTCAGAAGATATTCTTATTTTTTTAGCTGAAAATTTAATGTTTTTAAAATTATGTTAGGTTCATCTGATTAATATACAAGATCATCAATATTACATGCCATACAACTATGTATCATTTGCGATTTAAAAGCCATTCTACTTGAATAATCTTTTATCACTGCGATTACTCAAGTAGCATGACTCGAAGTGCATTCATTGAACTCCTTCATTAACCTACTGAAATTTTTTTTACTCCTAAAAGATTAAGTAATAAAAAATAAATCCAATCTTTTTTTAATTTCCTAATAAGTTTATTCGTGCCCTACTGATTACATCTTACCTAGGTCATACATGATTGCTGAGATTTTGCAATTTTCATATTGAAAAAGTTCAAATCATTCGAGACAAGTACTTAAGTCTAATGTATGATTTTAGGGAGAAAGTTGCAATCAAATGACACACATTCAACATAATTGTGAGTATGATTCTGATATTACCATGGACAATTTCAATAGAATTTCAGCATTTTCCTTTTTTTTTAATTCAGCTGCGGTCAATGAGTTTTTGGGAGTTTTAGAATCACTAGGTTTACCCACAACACTCCGAACATCATTTTTCTTTGCATCTTCTTTCACATTCTTCTTTTTTTCACCTGAATTGCTATGAATCTTCATGATTTGTTGTGAAGATAAATTTTTAACTTATTTTAATATTTTGATTCTGCTTGGTATTTTTAGAAGATAATTGGATGTAGGGGTGTGATCCTACTAATTATTTCCTTCAAAGATGACCTTGTTTGGGCTTTAAAAAATACTTTCAAGGAACTTTAAGAAATATATATATATATATATATTTATGCATAGTTTTTTCAAATTCTTATAATATACATTTTGTAAAAAAAATAGAAATAAATCAGAGTATGTACTAAATTCGTTGCTTTAATAAAAAAAAAACAATTTTAGGCGACTATCTTTTCAAAAACATTTGCTTCTTTAGTCATAAATTAACAATTAAAAAAACACATTGTTTACAACCCTAATCTCAAAGTCGTAATATTTGAAAAGATACACATTGAAGAGGTGTGCGAGTTGGTCACAGTAGCAATATGTAAGAAAACTAAAAGAATATACCACTCCATGAATCCTATATAATACGACAACTTCGCTTTTAAGAATACTGCCCTTTGAAGTTAATATAAAATCACTGTTCCAGAATAACACATTCTAAAAACAAGAATGTATTTTCACTTCATATTATAAAAAAATTACAAAAGTGATGAATGACATAGTGCCACGTCAACAAAGTTATCACAATCTTTTTGGTTAAACGAAAAAACAAGAACTCCGAATCATGAACGATTGGGACTTTTGGCCTCCATAAGGTTCGACATTTAGGATTGGAGTCCCAGGATGGCTTGGATCCAAGCCCACAGGTCCGGTACTCACGTACGAAAGGTTTGCCACGCTGGAATCAACTCGCCAGCAAGGCGAGGACAGCATGGCAACGTCTCTCGCCAGCTGGCGCGCTCAGGTCGTGACTGGCCACCGGGGTTTCTAGGTAAATTTGCAAGATTTCATAGAATGTAATTAAAAGAGAACGGGGATAAGACTTGCACATTTTATCAGCGCATAAAACATTAATGAGTTACGTTTTATCGTCGCATCGTATGGTTTCACAGAATGAGATCCTAAAAACAATATGATTCTCAGGCAATTTTGTAAAGATAGTTAATTTCATACTGTACATTTTTCTTAAGATTTACAAGGCATGATTTGTAAACATCTATTGAGATCAGAGCATTCAAAAAAAAACAATGATAATGATGGTTATGATAATCTAAGAAAGTAATTAGTTAAATTGAGAGAATCATAAATGGGAGAAAACTCTGAATCGTTAAGTGCAGTAAGGCGACAAGAAGATTAAAAAATAATTCAATTAATGAAAGAAAATGTTCCAATTTAGTCCTTTTTTATGAAAAACAGATAAACCAAATGTAAAACACATACGGGTGAAACCGTTTTTATGCAGTTAAGTACTTTTTATGTAGAATCAAAATTAAAAATAAATAAATGAACGTGAATACATATCATATACATTGAAACACTCGCATTTTTATTCAAATTAACGGAACTCCAGATACTAAACATAGAAGTATTATATACTATCAACATCCCCATTGCAGCAAAAAGCTTTTTAATGCATACCATAAGCACTAAAAGCATGAACATGTAGAAACAGGGATGTGGTTTGCACGGTAGAATACAGTATAGAAAGATATATTTTTTAGAACACACCCTAACACCAAGCTCACATGTACACAGCCAATGGGTTGTATTAATATCCTCATGAAGACCGTCACGAACAGAATGTAATTCTCTTTTTCTGGCTAAAGAACATCCTCTTACACGTCTTACACGTCTTACATCGTCTCACGAACTTTTGGGTCACTGTTTCCAGAGCTTCAAGCTGTAACTGTTCCATTGACTCAGTCGACCGGGATGCGCATAATTAGAATCGATCATAATCACTGTAGAAAAGTAGTCAGGAACCTCGCCACAGGTTGAGAAATGTTGGATTTCCTCTTAAATTGTGCAGATCTCAACAGCTATTCAAAATTGGCTAATCAGTTGGCTGCATTCCAGTGATTTCAGGGATATTTTCCAGACTGATGGCCATAGTGGTTGCTTCTACAAAAACTTGATTCGTAGTTATCACTAGGCTTTAAAATACGTAACTCCCTGTTCACCCAAAAATCTGATTCGGCACTTCCAGTTGTTCCAAACTTCAGTAAGCAAAAGCTTATTCGGTGTGAAATATGAGCCAGTTTCTTCATGAACATAGTCTCTCCAGATCAGTCCTCAGTTAGCGTCATGGATGGGCAGAATGGACTCACCAATTGTACTATTATCATACCCATGAAAGTTAATCTAAGAACCTATCACGCTCTCTTAATCGCTTTCGGCCACGCAGCTCCTCGCCAAACTTGTCCTTCCCTGACTCATGATATGATCTGTCATGATCCTTAATAGCTAGTTCACCCCGAAACCGATCCGAAGGTCTGTCTCTCTCTCTAGTATCCCACTCATCCACAGCACGCCCGCGCGCTGACCCTCTTCCAACTTCACGGCTTCGTGATCTACTTCGACCACTCTCGACGTTCTGATTATAATCCCTTCCTCCCCGATCAGATAGATCACGGTCGGACCAGGAACTATTGCGGTCTTTGCTCCTCTCCCTCGAGACCTCCACCACGCCTAATTCTTCCATGTCCCAACCAGCCTTACCCATCCCACCAGTTGTCAAACCTGATCCAACCTGCGAGTCACCTACTTTGGCCTTCGAGCGAAACTTCTTCTTAAGATTGCCAAATTCATCGTACATCTCTCCGTCGTCCTGGATGTAAAACTAAGTGTCTTAAGATCATGAGGAAACCCTCAAGAATCAATCCTCCAACCCAAAACCAATGCATACATCCCAGACTGATAAAGTACATTTATGAAGGAAATTCCTCTGTTAAGATAAAAAATGAAGTCAAATAAACGCAGCGTTAATGGACTAATCAGAGGAAAGTATGGCAGAGAACAAGCAGCATCCTGCCACTGTTTCGACAAACATCCCGACAATTAATTTAATATCACTTTGAAAGTAAGGTCAAAAAACAACCTCTTCCATCTCCCGTCGCCTGCGTTTTGTTTCCTCAATCTCAGCCTCATCAAATTCTTTGTATCCTCCTGCACGGCCCTCTCTGTGTAGCAAAAACAGAAAGAGGAAAATAGCAAGAAAGGGCCATTATGTCAGGACAAGATTTCACCATAATAGTGAAGTTTTCCGAAGCTTGAAATTACAAACCTACTGAATTTGACGAGATATAAGATGCAGCACATCAAGACAAAACACCTGGCACCGCCTTCATTGAAACCAGGTTTGGCAGTGTTGCAGATGTTACATTTTGTGCGCTTTGCCCAATTTATGTTGCCACACCTGCATGAACCATAAAAAATAAGGAAAACTTGGCGGATCCCTTAAACTATGCGGATCTAGAAAATCCTTCAACACAAGAGAATGCCTTTGAAGACGTGAACAGCAAAACAAGCATCCAGCTGGAGGGAACAAGAATAGATCCTCCACGCTGACTAAATGCAAGTAACTGGCATCTTTAAACTGGATATTGAATCAGTTTAATAGCAGCAAGTGCATAGAAAACTAACATTGGACAATTCCAATCACTTGGACCAAAAAGACTTGGTGGACCACCGGATCCTCTTCCTCTCCCAGCGTCACCAGGACCTCGACCTCGTCCTCGACCACCCCCCGGACCTCCTCCAAAAGCTGCCATATTTCCTGCTGGACGAGCAGTACTGCAGCGATTGCAAATGCCCCGAAATGAAAAATTGATGTTGGAACAGCTGCACACAGTCATTAACATTTAGATCGGGAATTAGAAATACTTGGCACAATCAATAGACGTCATGGTTATTCCATGACAGTCATACTCGTAAAGAGTTAGATTACCAGATCCACACATTGTAGGTTCGTGCAGACTATAGGGTATACCCCTTCACCTCTGTTCATCAAGGAAACACTAGAAGTATTAAAATTGTATGAATAGATACATCAAATTTTCCTAAAGTAATGTTCACTGGAAAAGTCTTCCAGCAAAGAGGTAACCAAAATACACGAGTGGGGTTCACAATTCAGAACATCCAGCAGTTAAAGCAACTACCATACCACAACCAGTAGCATTCCTTCCCAGATTACTTCCAGCGCAGAAAGAAACTCTCAGAAACCAGCTATTCTGAAGCAATAAGCAACACAATAAATTGCCAGTCGATTTCTAACGTGAGCTCAAACAACATACTGAATGTTTGCAAAAAAGAAAAAAGAAAAACTGCATTTAGATCTAGATGTACGACACTAAAACAGACTATTAGAGTGATCTGACAACATTTGGCTAATCCCGTGGGTGAGATCCAGCCTAAACGGCATGCGTCAGTTTAAGATAAATGTATTTTAAAAAAATGATATTATTTACTTAATAAAACCATCACTCCCATCATGCTAATGATTGCCATTGTTTAAACATCGGGGGTTTCCAGCGGAACAAGACCATATAGATTACAAGGAAGAGGCATAAACAAGATCGCCACGGTTACAATGCGCTTTCGATTGGGCCAACTATTACATCCTGTAGCTGCTACTAACTTGTATGGCGTCCTGGTTCAGATAATAGGATTAAGGAAGAGGATTGTAAAAAACATCATACAAGTACAATATCCAATATGTGCATTTCTGAAACATGTCATAAAGTTCTTATGTAGATCATAAAGAAGGGCAACATGTTTAAGGGACGCTCAAGCAAGAAACACGCAGTGCTTACGAAGAGGAAATCGAATGACTTCTTCGAACGGTTCCGTTGAAACTACTGTTCGTCCGGTAAGGATCATAGTTCGTTTTTTATCATTTCCAAAACAAAGCACCAAGACTCTATGAGGTTTCAAGAGTACACTTTGAAGAGAGTATGATGGGTCCCTATCAAGTTCACGAGAACTCTTCATCCGTTGTTATACACGGTTGAATGCGGATTCGATACATGCATAGATTATTTCTGCACCAAGGATCTACACTAATGTGGGATCCGACGCCAACGAGACAAAAGTTTCAAACCGTTAATGATACAAAAATTCTAAAGTACTAGCAGTGGTGTGCAAAATTGATACAAACCTTGGATTTGGGCAAGGCCAATCTCCTTCTTGTTGCCATGGCTTGGCTTCTGCATGACCCCGCCCTCGACCTCCCGCTGCGCCTGGATAACTTCCACCACCTCCACCTCCTTCATAATCTCCCCCTCCAGGTCCTTCAACGTTCTCTCCCTCGCTATCTCGCGGCAAAACTGAGTCATCTTCAATTTCAGTTGCACCTCGAAAGGAAGCGGAAATCGATGGAGGGGGGATTTCAAAACTCAGCGGCTGGGAGTCGTTCTTGATCTCGGCCATCATGAACTCCGTGTTGCTGAACCAACTTATGGCAGACGTTGCAGCTCGCGATCTCTCGTACGCAACGATAGCATCACCTTGAACTCGTTGATGACCTTGGTAAAGTTACCCCAAATCCCAGGTGAGACAGTAGAGTAATCTTTCTAAAAAGATAGAAACAGACAAGGGCGGAAAAATAAAGAATCAGAAACAACAAAAAAAACAATTCGCCACAGTGCTAATAAACATTTTTTTTAAAAAAAAGAATTTCAAAACAGAGAGTAAACGTCAACACAATCCTCAATACGAGAAAACCTCACATTCAGCAGCCATGCTTTAGACAACAAACATAGGCAATCATACACTTCACACAGGCCCTAAGTCCACCGATACAAACTCCATGAAAACCACAAATCTGCTCGTCACGGTAGTCACTTCATAGTTGGACAATATACGAAGCAGATTGAATACAACAAATTATACACCTATCCATATATATATATATATATATATATATATATACATATATATAACTATCTAAGCAGCATTTGCGCAGCACACACCGGCAGACTAAAACCACGCGCAGCACCACCAACACCTCCCGTCGTCGGTTGACACTAATTGAACACCTACCAAAAAATTCATTCGCACGGCGAGATGCAAGCGAAACGAGTCGGAAACAAAAAAGCGAAAATTAAAAAGAAAAAAAGTAAAGAATCGCGGGAAGAGTGGTGTGATGAACCTGGTTGCGGAGGCGATGAAGCTGGTAGAAACACGGCACAGAGAAGCTCCCCCCTAACCCTAACGCAACAACGTGACGCGCCTTCACTTCAGACCGGAAGGGCGAATTCAAGGCCAGAACAGCAGTCGGCGACTCATCGTCGTCGGAGATGCCCTCGCCCTCCCTCCCGAAGGAAAAGAAAGTAGAGACCCTCCCTTCTCCCCCGCATCGGAGATGCGATGAACTGGTCTCTCACCGGCTACTCCCAGTTGCTGGTTGTTCTCACGTTCGGCACTAGGTCTGGAAACCGAAGCTCCCTGGCTTACGTAGCCGTGATTTTCCCTTTTCACACCCGCATCGTCTTGTGTTAGTAAGTAACACTTTTAACATGACGATTCGCCCCTGCTTTTAACGAGGGTGATTTGGAATCGTTTCCACTATTTTAATCTACGTGATTTATTGTTCTTGTTGTTTCATTCAATTTGGGTTTAGAAGAATTTGTGCTTGGCATGTTTGCTTTAAACGTACATTGGAGATTAGTAAATCGTGACAATATGAGTAAACTGATTATTTCAATTTAAAAAAATTGTATGTCTAACCAAGGCCCAGCTTTTTTGGTGCATGCATTCAAATGATTTAAAAAACACCTCTATTACGAATTCAATGTAATAAAAATATAAAATTTTAAAATAAAAGGATTTCTATAGATTGGAAAAAAAGATAAATAAAATTAAATTAAATGAATCAAAAAATGTTAACCTAATAATACTAATAATAAAAATAATATATTATTAGTAGTAGTATAAAATAATACTATTAAAGTTTAAATTTAGCAAAATATGTATATGTATACAATCATAATTATCTCAAATATTTGGAGATTAATATTTTGATTATCTATTGTCAAAGAAAAAATAAAACTCACCTAATTTTATAAACTTTGTTTTCAAAGTTGTTACATTTTTTAATCACATCTATCTATAAGTTAGTTTTAGAAATATTCTAAAAATAGATAGATTAAATAGTAAATATAAAGGGATACTAATTGCATGTTTGCCAAGATTTTTTGGTTCCTTTATTCTTATTCTTGCATTCATGGAACAATAAAATTCCAAATGTTTTATAAAGTAACATTTTAATGATTTTATTCTAGTGAGAGATTTATGCCAATATGCAAGATAATTTTGTGTCAAGATAAATCTTCACACATTTATAAAGCACATTCAAGCTTCTTTCTTTCTTTTCATTTGTTTCCTTTTTTCTTTTTTTTTTCTTTTTTTCAACAAAAAAACTCCAAAAAATATTTCACTTCCTCTTTACACTTGCATCACAAATGATTTCACAACGTCAAGGATGGATAAACCATTGTGGTGCTTGGAATATTAATTAACATGCATTGTCTTTGCCATAGCTAGTTCTTATATGTAGGATGTATATACTTTGAATTTTGGTGTAAAGTGTAATTTTAAAGTCATTAATTCTTTTTGGAAACATACCTTCGATTGTGGCTACAACATCTCTTCAAGGCCTTTTATGACCACTTTCCAAGACAATATGCAAGAGACTTTATTAAAAATTAAAAATTAAAAACTATTATTTTAATGTATTAATGTGTCTAATACTTACACCTCCAAACAAACTATTACTAAAAGTATATTCTTTACATGTTTTATCCATTCAAATGTTTTTTGGAATATAATTTTACATTTTATTTGAATGCCATATAATCATGTAATATTATTTTAATGAGCTTCTTACCAAAATTAGGTTTCAATTGTTTACTATATGTATATATATTTAATGTGTCTAATACTTACTTATAGCTTCTATTTACTAAATTTTTTTTTGGTTTTTTATATAATACTTGAAAGAATTTAAAGATTATATATATATATATATATATATATATATATTTGAGCATTTAATTCAAATTTTAAGAGTTAGAAACAATAAAGACTGATTATATTGTAATTATATATTGTAATTATATATTGTAATTTGAAATAAAGATATAATTGTGATAAAATCAGAATTACTTAATGTGATTTAGATGTAAAACCTATAAAACTACAAAACATATAATTATTAACAAGGTTGTATTTTATGAAGTTAAAAATATTACTATAATAAAGTAACCATTTAAAAGCTTAGAGACGACTTTTACTCTAATTACTCTTTGCTAAATTGTGTTTTTTGAGAAGGGCATTAGCAAAACTTCGTTTATTTGATCATTATTGTTAACAAAATAATTCTTTTTCTTTGAACCAAGAAGTAACCTTAGTTTAGATATTTTGATAGGAACTCACCATCTACATCTCCTCATTGCCAAATGGAACTATGCAATGGTTTTCAAGTGCTACTTCTATATAGCTTGCTTGCAAAGACTTTGTTTCCCAATGCCAACTAAATGAGGGGGTTTCTTTTGCCTGAAAAACCTTAACTCCACATTCGCAACGATAACATGAGACAAATTGATATCTCAAACAATCAAGGAAACCCTATCAAAAGTACACCTTTATGCACTTTATCCTAATAAGAAAAACAGATAAAAGGAAAAAATTAAATGAGAAAGAAAAAATCTTACCAACTGTGACCTCAATCAACAACAAAGTGAGACCACAGTAATGACGCCGAAGACTCCACGCCATGGTAAATCTGAATTAGGGTTTGAGATCATGCAAAAGAGGGAAATGATTGCATAGATGAGCAGCAGCAAGTCCATCGCGTGTTTCTGAGCATGTGGGTTTCAACGCATTGCAGCTAAATCTGCAGGCGAGGAGTCAAAATAACAATAACACTAGCAGTATACATATATATATATATATATATATATACTGTTATTGTTTCATATATATATATGAAAAAAAAAATGTAAATGAAAGAATGGCGTGTTTCTGAACCCTAAGGCGACGAGGAGGCGTTGCAGCAGCAGCGGAGGTTGAAGGAGGATCGGTGACGCACAACACCGGCGGAGAACAATGGGGAAGTCTAGGCACGGAGGGCATGAGTTGTGCTCTCACCACTTGCCTGTGGCGGCAGATGTTGTCCAAGAGATAGGAAGGTGGGCGTGTTTCGTAACTGCCGCGCATTGTTGCTAATTCTTCACATTTCTGCAGTTTTCGATCAATCGGTGTGTTTCCATTTTCCTACCCATCGGAACACCACGAACCAGGGATTGAATCGAGGTAAGATTTGGCTTCGTTGGGGAAACCTGCTGCAGGTATGCTCCAACCTCCAGGCTACGACACAGGAAAACCACGCTCAAGGAACCGGGACCAGCAGATTGGCGGAAGAGCACCATTAAAGTTTCCCCGTGCGGCCACTGCGCCTCTAACGACGCAGCCGTCCGAGCCAAAGCCTGGCGAGGGCAAGCGCGCAGCTTCTCCCCGGGTAGGGTCACCACCCCCCTCGTTTTCTCGTTCTCCGTTCCGCTGCGCAACAGAAACTGGCTGACACCCCATGTGCCGTTCGACTGATTACATGCATGAAATGCATGCCTGCTCCGTGTACTGACTGCACCATCCGTGCAGGTGAGCTTATCGAAGCCTGCAAGAAGATAATCGGCAGCTACGAGAAGCGGGCTGCGCCTGGAGAAACTCCCGACGCGTATGCCGATGTGTTCCTGCCTCTCTACAACGTGGTCCACCCCTACGACATTGTTCTCGTCAAGCAGGTGACTTCCTCTTTCTTTCTTCGCTATCATTTGTGGGGTCCATCCAGTCCGTTCCTTTAATGCTTGGCTGATGCATGAGTGTGCAGGTTCTGTTTGGGTACTGCAGGTACCAGAGGCTAATCAACGCGTTTCTGAAGCATTTCTGCGCCGTGAGGGCGACCTCATTGAGCGCCGAGGATGCGCTTCTGTACAAGGCCTTGACGTATCTGGCGGTGTTCCGCCTGGATGAGCTCAAGTGGAGTGAGTTTCGGTGAGAAACCCACACTCTCACCCTGCTCTGAATCCACAACCTCACACCACATTATGCTCTGTAAAAAACATGCATTTTTAGGAACGTACTTCTACTACAATTATTCAATATCACCAGGTCGTGTAATCGAGTCCTTGCCAGACGCACAAATGCTGTTGAATCTGCTTTCGTAGCTGCCAATTGCGTTTTACCACATTGTGTGAATCATGCGATGTTCATTATATATGAATGTTTGTTGTTCTGGTATATGAATTGTGCCATTGCTGTAGATATTACACGCTGTAAACTTCGGCATTGTGAATCTTCGTTGATTTACAAATTTACAGATTGGGCAAATTTATTTTCATACACATTTTTGTAAGTACTGGTATGGCATAAACTTTTACAAGTTTGGGATAAATCATCGTTCAAAAACAAAATATCGGTTTATCGAATGTTAACTGTGTGAAGATACAATAGATATACCTTTAATGCAATTGTATTATTAAGAATGTGCTCACTCATGAATTTCAGATCATCATGGTATCATTTATAATAGATGTTTATGGGTAAAAAGTTGTGTTGAGTCTTCATCAATATCTATCTATATATGTTTTTTCTTTCATGATACATGTGAAATGAATATATGCCTATTACTATTTAATAACAAACGTATAGGATATTATAAACTCTTGCTTTATAATACTAATATTTGCAATTATTATTAATTTCAAACAACCAAATTAGTATTTTAACCACTCAAAAATCTAAAAGCACATTTAGGAACGAACATAGGTTCACAATACTAAATACATTTATGACCTGGAAACAGAAAATCTCTACTTATATCCTAACTCCTGGACTACATTGCAATCTTTTGCATCTCAAACCTCCAACGTTGAACTAAAGAATATAACGAAATAAAAAAGAGGAAATCAGCCATAATATATAGATTTTTTACTTCTGAACATCCAATTTCTTAAACATCTCATGAATATAACAAATTGCTGAATACCATTATTTTTTTTTATTATTATTATTATTATTATCATTTTTATTGCTATTATCATCGTTCTGACTGTCTTAGACTTGTGGTGTGTTTTTTTTTGTTAAACAGTTAGTATGTGGGTAATACCAGGCTTTCCATCAATATCACATTCTATGTCCAATTTAACAATGCAAATCTGTGAAATCTGTGTGTGGCAGGCGGCTTTGTTCCAGCCAAGTCCCAGTGAAGGTCCTGCCTTTCATACAAGCACTGTTCCTGGAAGAGCTCATAATTTCTTACTCCAAAGAAGACTGGCTCAAGCTTTACGATGGCGTGGTCAGTGTCTGATCTCTCCATGTGTGTGAAGCTCATCAATCTAGCAAATGCCTCACACTAAATACCATTTAAACTATTTGCATGTCTGTACATCTGTCTGTCTGCGTGAGGGTGAATGCAGTTTGTCAACGATCTTCTTCGAGGCCTGCGGCTGTTCCACCAAGAAGCTCAAGCTTATGCCGAAACGTACGTGAATCGTTGCCCTGCAATGCTCATATGTAGCTCACAATGCTTGAGTGTGTATGAAGTGTTTGTGCACTGCTGACGGGGTTTTTGCTTTACCATGCTGAAGGTTAGCGGAGGCTGTGTATGAACCAGATGAGGATCTGCGTTACATTCCTCCTCCGACGACAGTCATTCCTTTCAATCTCTCTGTCAGCAATTACACGCATCCTGTGGAAGTTGAACCGGAGCCTGTGAGTCGGCCCATCTTTTGAAACCGATGCTTGTCTAGGAATTCATGTTTGTAGTTCATCTTCAGTGCTGCTCGTGGTAGTTGGTAAGAGACGGTGACCCTCGTTTTTTTATGGCTCCCGCAGTTCATATACAGAGCAAAGCCGGCTCCAGTCTGGGACAAAGGCCGCACGTTAGAGATGAAACGTGTGTCTCAGGTATTTAAGCTTAATCGGACATTGCTGAGGGAGAAGTACTCGGACCCCAGGTATCAACCCTTCCGCTTACGAACTCTGGAGAGGCCCACAAACCTTGAAACTGTTCGGGAAGAGGTGGGTGTTTCGTGAACCCTCCAGCCCCCTTCAAACTCTTGAACTGTATGATTCTGTGTGCCATGACTTCCTGATGGGTTGAGCAAGTTAAACAACACGTGAAATCCTGCATAAATATCCTCGCATTACACCTCTGACATGATAACATGTCATACTTGTGGGAGAGATGGGTGATAGCTCACACAATCTTGTGTCGGTTCAGGTTGAGACGAAGAGGGCCAAGGAATGTGAGTACATTGTTCCCAAATCAGGACCAGTTCCAAGTATGCCGGAGATTGAGGTCATGTACCCCAAGCCTAGTTCCTTCCACCACCTGGCTAGCTTTCAGAATGATGCACATGTGTTTCAAAACTCGTTTTCATGATTTTCAAGTCATGGTCCAAGTTGTAACTCAAACTGTTCGGCCGATAGCAACGGAGCTATGGTGTACTAACCTATGCATTGATCTGCCGAGAAAAGAATTCACGGACCCCACGTCGTTTCCTTCTTCAATGGTTCAGGTCAAGTTAACCACGGCTGCTTTGCTACGAGAACACTCAAGATTTCAGAAAATAATCGACTCGGACAAGCAGAAACTGCAAAATCTGGAGAGGGAGCTCCGAGACGATTCCCACATGAAAGCATACGAAGTGAGGAATCAAAACCATCCTCCGTGGCACTCCCGGCTTTAGAAAAATAATAAATAATAAACAGCAGCAACCTTCAAGTAGTAGTAGAAGAAGAGACACATCTCATGTCCATGCTATGTGAAGACAACCAACCCTGATCACAAACTGGCTAACAACAGCTGGGCCTTGATGTAGCTGTGTAGAATGAAATGCGAATCCAACAAGAGATCGAACACTGCATGGATGTTGAGTTTAAGAAGGCCACCGTGATAGCCTCTGATCAAGCGGCCCGAGACTCCAAAAAGAAGCATGTGAGTGTCAAATATGCTAACCTAAATCCTTACACTATATTTATGTGTGTATGTGGGTGTGGTTGGAATGAGAAAAGCACTGGCTTTGTGGTGCTTGTGTGTGTATGTGTGTCTGTGGGCGGGTAGCTGTGCATGAATTGGGCGGCCGCGAGTGTCACCAAGGAAGAGAAGAAGAGGATCCACCATGAGCATGCAATGCTGCTGAAGAACATCCGCTTTGCCAACAGATTCAGGCATCACTTGATCAAGGAGGAGGAGAAGGTTAACAAGGTGCAGCAGCTTCTAAAATGACTTCCAAAACTGCGCCATACAATCCATGCGGTGATCACTGATTCCAACTTCCAAGAGGTTTAGGGTTTCACCAATGAGAAGAGAATAAGCATGAGTATTATTCCGACTGTGTAGGTGAAGAGAAACGTGATTTTCAATGAGAAGAAAAATATGGTTAAAAAACTAAACGCGGAATCAGAGGATAGACTTGCGGTAGCCGCCCTACAACGTGCTCGGGAGTACCAATGCAAACAAGAGCTTGTTCGACAGCTCCACGTACGCTTCCTTTCTTATCAAAGTCGCCCACATGCGATGCTGTTAAACTTTTTGCCGTCGGTATTGTCATGGTTCATATTATTACAACGGTGGGTTTGGCAAAGCAGTTTTTGGAGAAGGAATCATGCTATCAAATTCCCAAGTTCGACATCGATTCCACGGGAGGCCACGGGACATTGTCAGAGATGTCGATTGCGGAGCTGCGCCACCGCCTACGCCTCGCCAAGCTGCAGCGCCTCCAAGACCAGCAGCGCAAGCACCGTGATGTCCAAGACAAACTCGCCACCGTGAGCAACATCACTCCTCGCAGTATCCGTAGTTGTGCTTCTGCTTCTTCTTCTCCTTCATCTTCGTCTTCTCCTTATCTATCCCTCATCGTCCTGCCGCTTCCGCTGCTGAACAGAAGCGCCAAAAGCTGCACGCTACCGCACGAATGGTGTCGCACATGCGGCAAGTGACTCGAGCACAGTATCTGAGCAGGAAAGCTCACGAGCGCCGCAAAGAGCAGCCCTCGATCGACGTTGCCAACCAACTCGGCATGTAACTAACAACAACAACAACTCCAAACTCCAAACTCCAACTGCTCCGCCATGGCCATCTTCCTCAAACCCTAATTACCCATGGATTATTGGGGCTTCGTTCCCGTGTGCATTTGCGATAACTAAAGCTAGAATTTCATGAGAAGGTGGACAATCTCTCCAACTGGTTTTCATCTCTTGTTGTTTTTGTTTTTGTGGGTTTCAATTACCACTTCGAATGCACAAATTCTAATGTATATAAATATAAATATATACATACATGAATTATTACACTTATATCATGTTGATTAGTGGTTGCAGTTTCTGTCAACTTTTCTTTTTTAATAAAATTATTTTTAATAAATTCTTAACTTATAGGTTGCAGTAGAAAGTAAGAAAAAGGTGTTGAATGTATCTAAAATATACATATCATTTAATCAAACTATTAAAAGTTTTGTGTGATGTGATAAACTTCTTTTTGAATTATTTGTGGGCTGTTGTTTATTTACAGTTTGACATATTGTGTGACGATTATCTACATAATTAAAGTAGAATATTGGTTTAAGATTCACTAATCTCTTTATACTTGGCACAAGTCATTTTTATCATTTCATGTTCTATGGATACACATTTTCTATTAAATCAATTAAATCATGCTAAAAAAAATCAATTTGCTTGCTTAGCCTCCAATTTAAAAAATAATAATTTTTTAATGCATATTTTTTGGTCTGATTTTTTATTGAAAAATTAAAATCTTTATTTTACTAATTTATAGCTGAAAAGTTCACTCTTTCATGGAAATTGTTTTAGCATAATCTAAATTCGAGAAGATTTAAATTTTCTTAAAAGAAAATACTCTAAGAATATCAAAAGATTCAAAGAATCAATGCTTTCTTTGTTTTGGTTGTAAGCATGTTGATTGATACGGATTAAATATAAATTTAACCTTTCCAAGCTTGTAATAAACTTTGAATAAATTTGAGAAATTTCTATAAATATCAAAAATATCTTGAGATTGTTTAAATGATCTCTTTACAAGGACTCCAAAAGTATCTTTCGTATTGAGGCTTTGTGTTGTGTGTCCAAACTACATTACATCAAACAAAGATGTCCATCTCACAAATAATTTTTATTAGCTCCAATATACTATTTGGTTACCAAAAAATTTAGTTAATGTATATATTTTCTAATTAATACATTTGGTGTGTATATTCCTAATTGCACTTGAATTAGGTGTGATAAATTTGTTTAAAGATAAAGTATGTAACTTTCCATTTGAATACAGGGTCCTTCCACAACCATACAGTCTAATAATGAAATGAAAAGGTTATAAAACTGAAAATACTCACATACAACAAATCAGTTACATTTGTTAATATATTTTGAAGATTCTAGAAAGACCCACCTTCTCTTGAAAATGGAGTTTCTTCTGAACAGGAAAACTAGCCAATCAATGAGTTCTATTGAAAGAGTTGTATATTTTTACATCCTGTAGAGGGTTGAAATTGTGGCAAGAAGAAATTAATTTTTACTTTTAAAATTAGTAGATAATCTATAATGTTCAAAAATAGTTACAATCAATAACTTACTCTTTGTTGCTCATTAAATTGAACAAAACAAGTATCTAATTTCATTAAAATTTTACATTTAACACAATTGGTTCTTTATAATAATGCATATATTTAGATGTTTTGACTATATATGTATTTGTATATCTTCATATATATATATATATATATATATACACCCTGATTCAAGGAGAAAACCAAATGAAATAAGGAGTTATTTTGAGTTGCCAATGCCATGTAAAAAAATATCAACAAAGACTTGAATAACGAAACTTGGATTGGTTTTGTAATGTCATTGTTTAGAACACTTTTGCAAAGTAATATTTATATAGGTCGTTATCATTCTACAAAACACGTTATTAAAATTAATCTATGAAACTTATGGTTCTACATTATGAATTACATGAATCATGTTGAACCACTCTTAATTGATTATAAAAATATGATTACTAAATATGACATGAGTTGTTATTTTTGTGTATGTTTTAATTTTTTCTTCTTTATTACTATTTTCAAAAATATTATGCCACAAAAAATTTGGATTACATTACTTTAAAAGAATGTGTTATTTGTTGGTAATTTCATTTCAAAGATACTTTCATCTAGAATATTGTAATTGAATATTCCAAGTTTTTTTAAGAGTAACTTTTAAATGATATTTTATTATGTGTCAAAACATATGTAAATTTTTCATACATTCATTTGAGTTGTAAATAATCAATGCAAATGTTTTATTAAGTTTTCCCAATAAGAAATAAATGAGTAATTTTAAGATCTTAATTTTTTTAATAACAAATTGTGTATAACATTTCAAGTCAAATGGTCATTTGCAAATTAAGTGTTGAGAGAATTATATATCTGAGGAAATCATCCACTTTTGGAAAATATAAGTGTGTGTACTTGATTATTTATATGACACATATCATTTAATAGTAGATATTGTCTTACAAAAATAGAACATATATATATATATATATATATATATATACACACAAACACACATAAAAATACAAATTCAATAGCTCAGATTTGAATTTGTGGTCATGTTTTGACGATCCATAACTTGACTTATATTTTGTGCCTTTTGAAGAAATAACCATAGCAAGTTTATTACTTTATTTCTCTTGATTCAAATTTTTGGAGCTTAATTTCTCTTCCTTGAGTATAGCAATTATTTTTTGTATTTGCTTATTTTGCACCACTGGTTCCTAGAGCATCTCAAACACTTTTTATGCTAAAATTATTTAAATTTACACGAGCTTATTACTGATCTAAGTTAAGTTCTACTATATATATATACTATATATATATATATATATATATACTATATATATATATTATTACATTATTATATTCAAAACAGAAAGAATTTAAGATTTTTTTTTTATTATTATTATTTTTATTTTTGTTTTTTTACGACTGAATTAAAGTTTTACAGTGTGAGATTACTTTTTGCCATTCACTGTGCATATGTAAAATATTATCTTCACCAATTGATATTTTCATTGAGTTGGGAGCTTTTGATTTCTTAAGTTCTTTGTGGAAGAGGGGGAACTTCGTTTTACAAACACTTTTCTGCATTAATTTTCAAAACGTATGAATGAATAATTCGTTGTAAATGTTAACTACAAACTCATGTGAAGATATCATTTCATTGTATTGACTCTTTTTGATATTGGAAGTTATGTTGTATAATTTAAAATTTCAAAGATAAAAGTGAATTAAATCTTGTGCATATGAAACATAATGAACATGTATTTTTGGATATTTTTTTTACACTTTTAAAAGTATGCAGATTTTTATTACATATTTTTGTAGAATTCAATCACTTGATTTCTCTCTCTCTCTCTCTCTCTCTCTCTCTCTATCTATCTATATATATATATATATATATATATATATTTCTCTGTGTTTATTATAAATTTGTAGCATTTTAGTACCACATGTTTGTCTTTAGATTTTGGTTTAAATAAGGTCATATAACAATTCCATTGTTTCAATCTACATTTGTTTGACTTCATGTGTTTTATATTAGATTCTTTTCTCCCATATTCAATAATGTCTATTTTTCGTATGAATGGCATCATTTAATTTATCAAACAAAAGATTAACCATGAAATTATCAAATGAATAGTCATGTTTTATAAGAAACTCTGGACTTTTCTGTTTGATTATACTTTTACATAATTGACTGATTGATTTAATCTTAAATATTCAAAATATGTAAAAAAACAAAAGTTAAAAAAATTAATTCAATAAACTAATTGAATTTACTTGAATATACTGATTAAAGGTGACTGTAAAATTTCTTTTCACAAGTATTTAGAATCTATAGGATGACAAATTATACTATATTCATACACTCAAAAATTCTAGTTCATAATATCCAATAAGATTAGATTCCTTTTTTATTCGATTGAAAAATTCATTATACTTATTTTTAATATTAAAAAGTAAAGCACCTTCCAAGTGATTGACACAACTCTCTTTGTCTTTGCTTTGTTGCAAACAACACCCAATGCAAAGACAAAGTTTGATGGATTTTTTGGGTAGCTCTAAATTAGGATGAATCGCAACAAGAGCCACGTTTTGCAATGCATCTTGGGTCCTTTTGATTTTTCCCACATCATGTTGAAGTTGTTCTCCTTCAATGACAAAATCATTCCTTTCCATTCTTAAAGGCTCTTCTTCTTCTCGAAACCCGCTATGGAACCCTTCTTTGATGTTTTGTGCACATTGAGAATGCAACCAATTGTGGGAAGTTTTCATATACTTGGCTTCTTCTTTATGATCATTGTGATTAGTTTCGTTCATGTAAATCTTGGTGGTATTGGGTTTCCATGGTTCACATTTTTGCAATAAATGAGGCAAATGCAAATAATTCATTAGCCCTAAAAAGATGTGTTTGGTGCTATTTTTTCCTTTTAGGGTTTTTTGTTTGCATTTGTGCATACAAACTTCTGCCAGATTGTCCATCCCATTCTGTAGACTTGAAAGCACTTCAGTTACAAGGTTTGGGTTTTTGACAATTGGGTTTGCAAGCTCAAACTTTTTAAGTAAACTTTCGAACAAAACACCCTTGGAATCAACTTCTTCAATTTGTACTGTTTGAAGCATTTGCAGTAAAAGTTCGTGGTTGGCACATTTCATTTGTTTTACAAATTCTGGGATTAAATTTTCGGTGACCAGCCTTGCACATTCATCTTTAGACAACATTTGCTGCTCAACTTGACTTTTTTTAAGTTCATTTGGCATTTTCTCTTGAGCATTTGTCAATTGTACAACTTCCAAAACTTCTTTCCATTCCTGCAAGATTATAGTTTTTTTGAAATTTTATTCTTCAATGTGAATTTTAACTAATTGCTTTTTAAAAATAAATCTCATTGTTGTTGTATGGAAGAGTTAAAATTAGGAGTTTTATTGTTTTGTTTCTAGTAACACTGTCATTTCATTTAAAGTACTATGAAGAATTTATGCAAATTGCACCAAGTCATGTTACTGATATCATGATTTTTGCCATGTTTATGGGCAAGAATGTAATTTTGTGTATTCTATGTAACAATTTTGGACATGGATAATCTAAAACCTCATCTAATAGTTTTCATTACTTTTGTTCAAGTTAATTAACAGTTTAGTGAAACAAAAGAATATTATTAATTAAATTTTAATAATTATCTGTTAAATACATAAAGTATTTTGAGTTTTACAAAAAATGATTAAAGAAGGGGGGGGGATAGAGAATGTGGGTGTTGTCATGAATGTTTAGTAAAATTTTAAAATACTTTATGATTTAATCTTAGTGAATTAGGACTTTAACTGAATGATTAATTTGTCATCTTACATGGGTTTGTACTATATTTTCAATTGTTTTAAATAATTGATCTTTTATTAATTTGAATAATTTATCCTTCTTGTTTAATTTTTCTTCTTGGAATGAAGTAAATCCATGTGTTAAGAACTCACGTATTTTTAGTTCCAAATCATTGTGCGATAATTCCATCATTTGTATTTCATCCGTGGACAAACACCAAGAAAATATGCAAATCAACATTTCTTTAAGTGATTCAATTGCATCTTTCATATAATCAAACATTCTTCTTTTTGTGTTATCCATCACAAAGAAATCTTCTAATTTTGATAGGTTTGAATCATTTTCAACAATAGTACTTCTTTCTTTTTCCTGCAAAATCTTGTATTGAGTATGTGTATGTGCACATAGATCTAGATCTGGAAATGATTTTAAAAGCTTTCATGAAGTGAAAAAAATCTGATCAAAATTTTATATATATATATATATATATATATGTATAAAATATTTTTTTTACTTTATTCACTTAATTTCTTTTAACTAAATGTACACAAGAACTATTTAACTGTAAGGATATTTTGATTAAAACAGTACTTGTATAGTGCTGTAATTTCAAAGAATTAATCTTATCATAAAAATGTTGATATTTGGTAGAAGTGAAGATAATGTTCTCTTCTGAAATTATCTATAAGCAAGTTTATGAAAATGAATTAATGCAAATAGACATCAATCTAACCTTAAGTTTTTGTGATTTCGATGGTTTTTTCAAGTTTAGATGCTATTGTAGCTAATAACGCAAAAAGAAACTATTCCTCAAGTACTAATGAATTTTAAGTTCAATGCAAATGTTGTTTTGTCACTTATAATTCAAGTAATAAAATTAGCTTTATTAGATATGGTTTTTACTGAATACATAGATACACAATTCTCTTTACTATAATACATAATAAAAACGTGCCATTTGTCTTTTAAAAGTATAATTCTACTTCCCTAGGTTTAATATTATCAATTACCTTCTTGACTCTTGATAATTTTCTCTCTCTCTCTATATATATATATATATATATAGAATGAAGATACAAAACATTTGACCAATACATGACAAAGAAAAAAAGATTGATACGTTATTGATAGACAATTTTTTATGTAAAATTTCTTTTCACAAGTTTTTTTTGAATTGAAATATCTTTAGAAATATACAAGTATTGCTATGTCAGAAGTAAAGGAACATAAATAAAGTATTTCTTATGTTATATTAAATTTATAAAAAACTACATAAAAAATATTCTCATATGAAATCCAATAAACATAAGTCATTTGAGTAAATATTGACAGTAAATATTGACAGTTTAAATAATTAACACTTCAATTAACTGTTAATTTACTTTACACTGTTCCATTCAAAAGGTAATGGTAAAATTGAAATCTTGTATTAATGGATTTAACAAAACATGAATAAATATTATAAGAAAATTCAATATATAACTATTAATACAATATATGTATATATATTAAGGATTAATTTAATTAATC